AAAAAAAAAAAAAAAAAAAAAAAAAAAAAAAAAAAAAAAAAAAAAAAAACGTAAGCCCAATATCACATAGTGTCGTCGCAACCGCAGCCTTCTTTGACTTCTTTAATAATGCATTTCCGTCGACCTCATACACTCAGAGTTCAAAGGACAAAATCCAACGCGAAGATTTCATTTCGATACTCTTTATAATACCTTTGCCAGAATATTCATGGAAAATTCCAGCCTTCAAGGGAGCTTCGCTATGACGTTGCTCAGTCTGCAGTATCCTTTGGGCTGTCCCAGAATATAATTTTCCAAAAAACTGGCAGCTTCATTGGCAGCATAATTCTTGGTACGAAGATCATCACCAATTTCTAAGTAATCCTGATATTGCTCCGTGTACCTTGGCCAGCTGATAAGAAGTTCGTCATTTTGAGTGGGTACTGGATTTCTGAAAATTTTAAATTATTTGGAAAATCAATTTTCTAAAAATTATTGTTCCATGTTAAGTATTCAATTTGATGACGTAATATCGTAAAAAATATATATATTTATCTGCATACTCAATTTTGTATTTTCCAGCAATTTCCTGTGGGGCGACGTGGTCTCTTTAGTAAACATGACACCCCAGTACATAAAACATGCTATCCACATTTAAATCCGAATTACCCTGTTTGACAAGGTTCATCGGACAATAAAATGAATTATTGCCACCAAAAAAAAAGAAGTTACGAGTAAAAAATATTTACCCATAATAAACGAGCTGACATATATTCATTTGTAATGATGCAAGAGAGCCCCTGACATTTGGCACGAATTTCAAACGACTCTACAACACGTGACACATGTTTATCTTGTGAGGGTCACAAGTTCGAGACGATAAAATCATTGATTAGCCTTTTCATGATAATTGCTGGAATAGTTTTTGCTACATCAGTATGACCAGACACCCCATGTAAGGATACATTTGTTTCCATTAAACACTAAAGTTTTTTGGCATGCACTGACGCAAAATAACTCCTTTTCACCGAACCCCTTTTTTCCACGTTAATTTATGATCGCTTTAAATATCCAACCAGAAGACTAAGCCAATTTGCAGGTATACATGCGAGGGCATAAACGATTTTTTACAGTGTTCTTCGACTCTACCGCAACGCCAGCGCCGCCACACGGACGTTCGTGAAATTACCAACAGCAGAAGTTTAACGAGTCTCGTGGCGTAAGAAACGATACGAGCATTACCGACATAAGAAATGGTACAAGAAACTGTGGATAATTTTCATCGCTTTGTACATTATCATGCACCATCTAATAACGTGTTCCATTTTTTACGAAATTTTCAAGAAAAAAAAAGTACGAAAACGTTACTTACCCGTGTTTCACAAAATTCGCCCATAACCTAGCAAGACGTCTGCTCGTGATTTCATCTCTCGAATTAGGAGCATAATTCTCGGCAAGTATTGTCTTAAATACATACGGAATTTCGTCTCCGTGAGCGACACCTAAAAAGGAGGTTACATCAGCCGAATTTACAGAGGTAAAAAAAGAATCTTTTGGGACTACCGTCACGGCCTCGTGGCATGGTGGAAAATATTTGAATTTCATCCAAACTAATTTCCACGTGATTCTCTTTGAGCCTTCCGGCAAATATACGAATCAATATATATACTACGATATGATCACTGGAATATCAAAATATTTGCATAAACAATATTAAATGGAATATTCGTTCCGGATAACGCGTATTCGCGTTAATGGAAATATCGTTTACATTATCTTTAAAGCGACGTGCCAGCCGGGGTAATTATTTCTCTAATAAATTAATTTGATGTTAATGTAATTTTTCGCTATTGTCAATCGACCTAATTAATGTAGAGCTTATCACTCTCATTGTTATTATTATTACAAGGGTACCCATAGCAACGATCGTTATCGTCCCTCCCTCAATATTTGAGTCTACTATCATTTTTCACATAGTAATTATAAATATCAGGAACACGAGTAGCGACTCTATTATGTCTTCGTGTCATGGAGCACTTTAATTTCACGCGCTATACGCGCCTAACGTAATTGCGGTCTCGCGTACTTCCAATTATTACAATTACCATTATCCTCCACTCACCATGAATCTTCGTGCGATACACTTCATCGTGTATGCCGCCTTTGCCATTGTACATAAACTTGTACAAAAAGACTGGCGCCTTTCGGGAAATAAGCTTCGCCGTTTGCTGAATGCCAGGAACGAAAAATAAACTCGTGCTAGCCTGAAAGCATATTGAGTCGGTATAGGGGTATGGTAGAAAGTAAAATAAAGGAATAAAAAAAGAGAAAAGGTGAAAGTGAGAGATGGAACCTGCTCCATTTGTGCGATTCAGTTTAATCTTACTTCGACAATGGTGTCTTCGAGCAAATGTCTTATTCGTGAAAAAGCATTTCCCCAAACTGTCCCACCGGGCAGACCGCCAATCAGGGCCGTGTCTTCGATCTTTCGGGCGAAAGTGGTAAATCCGTTGAATACTGCAATTTTAATATTTTTAATAACTTTCTTCGAAAATTTTTTATCGCGCGCCTGTAACGTCGCATCTTTGATGCATCTGTGGTCTCGTGTTGCAGTGTTTCAGGGGCAAATTGAAGCAGACGTTAGAGGATGACTTGTGACGTGGGTTTAAAAGGAAATGGGGAACGACTATGACCATTGGTGAATGTTGCTAAAATCATTGCATTAATATTCTAAATACGTTACGGTAACTCGCACGTAAATGGTTATGCTAATTTGCAGAAATTACATTACCCTCTGATAATTGGGCATATTGGGGTTTACTGGGAGTATACGAAAAAATAGTAAATTCGGTTTATCAGGTTGACAAAAAGAGTTTTAAGGTTTTGTTGAAAATTATAATTTTATTTTCCATCACCTGCCAGTGGGTAAATACCCTCTTCCTTGTTGAAACCCAAAAGCAATGGAACCGATGGAAATCGTCCTTCGCGCAGTATATCAAAGGAGCACTCCTCAAGAATGGATCCTGGAGTTCCGGTCGGCTCAGTTGTTGGTCTGAATGCCAGGTCGACCTATACAAATATTTATTTAAAAAAAGGAACCAGGACCTGAACTCTTTCCATGAATGGCTGTACGAAAGCACATTGTTGTAGCATTTCTCTTACGACTGTCACTTTTTTTGCAGCAGCTATTATTTCCTCAGTTGACGCTCTATACAGTCTTTTCAAAAGTTGTTTGTCGCTGCGGGTCCAAACTCCCATGGCTCTACCAAGGAGGTATGCTCTTCTTCGTGCCTCTGTCACAGGACTTACAGCCCAAGGATTCAAGGACGTACCTGATTGCGCAATTGCGTGACGAAACAAACCTGATCGAATGAATATATTTTATCATAGGCCATATCAACTTTGATTATCTCTCATTTGACTATAGCAAATATTCATTTACTCGTGTTTCTTTATACCTCTACTACTAGGCGATAGAATATGAATTACAGTACTGGCTGCACCTGCACTCCATCCACCAATGGTAACCATTCTTTTATCCCCACCAAAAACTTGGATATTTTCCTGAACCCAACAAAGCAGTAACCTTTGATCCTTCAAGCCAGCATTGCCAGGATAGTCTTTAGTCCCAAGACTCAAAAATCCAAAGGGACCCAATCGATAATTAAACGTCACCAGAATGATATTTTCGTCGAGGAGATGGTCAGGACCGAAAAATGACGAATCGGCTGAACCATATTCAAAAGCCCCGCCAAAAATCCACACGTACACTGGTAACAGATCTGTCATATTTTTTCCTACCTGTAAAAACATTAAGCGATGTAAACGTTAATTTACATTCATAATTTTCAGATTTTTTGAATTTCTTATGTTCAATCAATACACTGCTTGTAATACGAATTGAACGATCACCTGTGGCGTGTAAACGTTTGCATAAAGGCAATCCTCGTCACCCTTAAATCTATCTATAAACGGATCAATTTGTGGACATTGCTCAGCATCACTGGTGGCATCCAAAATTCCGTTCCACGGTATCATTGGCACTGGTTCCTGAATTGAGAAATACAGTTATACGAAGCAACAATCGTTAACGAGTAACAAAATAAAAATTGGCCTTCAGTAAAATTTACTTTAAATCTTAGACGGCCAATAGGTGGTAGAGCATACGGGATCCTTGTATAAGAACAATAATGTTTTCCATTGCGATATGTCACTTTGTCCAATCCTCGTACTATTCCATTTCGCGTACGAATTTGACCTTGTGCAAAAAAAATTTATTTAAATATACTTGCGTCGGTTTTGGTAAATATCGAAGAGAAACGAATCTTCCACATAGAGCACAATAAAATCTGCACTTCAGGTCGACGAGAGTAATTAAAATTGTGCAAGCAGTATTTTCCTTGAATACATTGATTATCTAATGACATAAACGTTCAATTGAATATAAAAAAATGATACAGTTAATCACTCACAATTGTAGTTTTCCTTATACGCGTATATACAGTGTAAACCAGTGATTATATAGACCATCAACATAGTGACGATTCGCACTGGTAGCAACATTTCCGAAAAATTTCAATAGAATGTCAATAATTGAACATAAATTCGCTCTTTTTCCAATTACATTACATTGCCCAAATTAGTCTAAGCTTCACAGAAGAATTCACGCGTACTGATCCAATAGAAATTCTGTACAAAATATATATAATGGATTCTAGCTTCCATAATCATCTGTATAATATCTAATCATGTTTATCGAAGTGGTACTCTTGGTACAATCGGCTCAAACGATTCTGACGCATAAAAAACGTGGCTAGAGGAGAAGGCTTCCCCTACTCAGCATGCTCTTCAGTCCTACGTTATACATATACCGCGCGTCGTAGATGCGCATAGAATCAGCTTAGAATGACTTAGGACTGAAGAGCGTGCTGAGTAGGGGAAGCCATGGTTTTCCATGCATCAGAATCGTTTGAGCCAACTGTACACTGTGGGGCATTAATGCCGTCCTTGGGTGGAGCTAGTGGGAAGCGCGAGTGGGGCGGCCGGCAGTGACGAGCAAGCCAGGACGACGCGTAGAAGGGGTAGTCTATTCCCCTCGCTCGGGACGCCAATTCTGTCACGAGTCCAGGCGTCCCGTATAAGAGCGTCTCACTTGCGTCTAGCGCGAGTCGCCCATAAGACCCTCTCACTCGCTGCCAGCGGCTGCTCAGCGTGTGCGGGTAGGACATAGTAGTCTTTCGACCAGGGGTTCATCTGAGGAAAAGTTATGTCATGAAAATGGGGCACGAACTTCGCGAATACAGACATCAATAGTCTGTCCAAAAACCATCGCGCTCGATTACCTGAGTTAATCGATTCGTGATCGAATCGATTAAATGCTTCAAATAGTCCGGGTTGTGCCGAACCTCTTTCCAGATTCTTTGAGAATGCTCAATTACGACTGATTTTGATCTTCTCTTCTCGGGCTGCCATCTCCGGAGTTTTAGCTGGCCATTGCACCACTTGGACTTCCGGATGATTCGAAAATGGACAGTGGAATTATCTTGAATAAGACGAATTATAGGCATGTTTACTGCCTAGTACACCGCGCGAAGTGATGGAAGCATAACTTCCTCCAGTACGCGAATGTATTCTGCAGAATCCATGTGTGGAGATATCTCCACTAATTCGCCCAGAGTCTGTTCGCTAGTCCAACCCCACAATCCACACGAAATACGCCCGCTGCGATCTGCAGGGACGACGCATCTCGGATCAAGCCGAACACCAACTGGCCGCCACACGTGAAGACGCCGGTCAGTTGACAATTGGAAGACTCCTCTTGTCCGTCCAAATCGTAACCTCCCAGGTCTCACGTGCCGTTTGCAATTGTTGCTCCGCAAAAGCAACGCGAACTCTTCGATGTTGCGGGAATATCAAGATTTTTCGGGCAGGCCAAAACAACCATAATTCGCCTCCTATAATCGACGAAGCGCGGTTCTGGCGAAACTCGGAAATTCCTCCCTCGCGGCAATTTGCGCGACGGCCGCGAATAGATCGCAATCAATTCCATTGGTCACGAGGCGTTCCTGGTTACTGTTTATAATTCGCGGCCGCCGATTCTGTGCACGGTGGTCGTGGAGGGTATGGTTCCCCTTCGACTTGATACGCGTTGATCCACCGGCGTACAGTTTTTACATTGCGTCCGATGATCTTCGCGATCTCATCAAAGGGTATTCCACTCTGCTAAAAATCCACGAGGCGTCCGCGTTGCTCGACACTAATATTCGGTGCCTCTTCGATGTTAACTTACTAATGTCTCTGCTAAGAATGAGACTATTTTTCAAAATACTGTATGTAACATTTCATAAAAGTGTGCATAGAACAATTTTAAGGTGACCGCGGATTATAATAAGAGAGCCTAATGTTTGGAGTGAGAGGGTCTTATGGGCGACTCGCGCTAGACACAAGTGAGACGCTCTTATACGCAGCGCAGGCTATCTCTGGGACTCCACTATCTGCGAGTGAGAGGGGCTTATGCGGAGTCATGTTGAAATTCTGTGAGACACTCTTATACGGGTCGCCTGGGCTCGGGACATAAATGGTGTCCCAAGCGATGGGAATAGGCTACCCCCTCTACGCGTCGGCCTGGCTTGCTCGCCCCCAGTCGCCACTGCCGGCCGCCCCACTCGCGCTTCCTATTAGCTTCACCCAAGGACGGCATTAATGCCCCGCAGTGTACCTTAAAGTACAATTTTTCTACAAGGAAGCGTTAGAGTTGTTTAAATACTATTTGAGGCATTAATTATTCTGCTGGTAAAACTGATAAATTACCCGATGATGCTGCCATGTGAAAAACAAGAAAAAAACATGACAAGCTGTCATATCTCGAGTTAATGAAGATTTGCTCAGTTCAGAAGTTCAGTGCTGAAATAATTTTTTGAACAAGATCTTTCACCTTCGCTTAAATATGAGGATAGTTGGCTTCTGTGTATTTTCCTTGTTTTTTTTTTTTTTTATATAAATTCATGGCATCTTTTTAATAATTATGTAATTTCAGTAAATAATTCAAAACTTTGCTTTGCATTTCCATAAGGAGCAAACATTTTTGTTTACGATATAGAATATTTTGCATTTTAATCTGCACTGTAAGCTTTTTTTATCATGAATTTGGTAATTATGTAATTAATACTATTTTATAATAATGATTCATCCAGAGTACCTGCCTTCGCACAGCATAAATTCTATGAGAAAATGGGGAATAAATGTCTCTCAAAATTGAAAATGACTGCAGATTATCTTCATGGCACTTTAAACGATACTATTTATGGAAAGCACAGGCACGAAGTGCTCTCACAAAGCTGAACTCATCAAGATTTGTTATTGCCAAACATAGGGGATTGTTGTGCCAATTTCACTGAACAATATGCCCGTCCGTAAATATTCGCAAATATGTATATACGTATTATACCCATGTCCCTCCTCTTCAATGTATCCCTTTTATGTACTGCAAATATGCAAATCCAGTAATTTTAACAGTAGGACTTAAATCTCTGTAAACTCGGATAAAACCTTTATAAAGATTATAATTATTACTTTTATTTGTATATTATTAACGAACATTAAATAAGTACATAGATGTTGAGTAAAATTGTTTACAGACAAATTCCCTTGGGTCAATATCGCTTTTTGTTATTATATTTACTTTTATATGTATATATTAAGATAAGGATAACGTCGATTCGTATATAAATGTTTGGGCATCGTTTTTATCTTGTTCTGACACATGTGCCAACATTTTCATACAGAGTCGTCACTGTTGCATATGCCTTTATGATACCAAGATAAAGACGATGACAATTTGAGACAATGACTGTTTATAAATTTTTTAAAGGAACCAATATGCGTAAGAAATTAGATTAAAAATGACTATGTTACGAAATACGAGAGAAATACGAATGATAATGTAGTACGTTGCGATACAAGTGCCCGAAGTACGTGATTCTCGCACGAGGGTACTTTGTCGCCCGAGCGAAAAATGGGCCCTATATCAGACCCACTTTCTCTCGGTTTCAATCAGCTGCGAATTAAAAAAAAATTAGCACTTAATTAGGATCCTGACGCTTTTTCATCCTGGTCAATGATTATATGAAACACCGTCTTATGTCCATTACGAAACACGTCATGGTAGCTACTAGGTACGAATGTTTGAATAAATTGTAAGACCCGTTCTAGGGCCCAGATTGCGTCATCATAGGGCCCGCTGTCATAAATAAATAAGTATATATATTTTTAATATCAATTAACTTTCATAAGCCTTACTTTCCTGTAAAGAAGAAAACTTTTTTTTTAAGGTTTTTAAGGTTTTTTGTTAATAATTCATGTAATTTATCAAGTTAAGAAAAGGTTCTTACTTTCATATATGTAATTAAACAGTTAAAAGAAATACTTTGCTTAACCCAACTCTTTTTGTACAAGCTGATTTTATTTAATGTCGTATATATACGTTTCGCTGAATATGTTGGTTACCAATTTTCAGGATGGAAAAGTTTGTAAAAAAAATATTTGTTAACATCGAATTATATGCATAATTGTAAAAGAAGATGATACGTATCCGTGTAATCCATTTGCTGGAAATGATAAGGAATTTATCAGCGAGTTGAAACGCAGACAAAATGGCGGGATTAGTGAGTTCGTAAATTTGAATGTGAACGTCCAAGAGATTAATACGTAAATAGAAAGGACTCTGGGCAGACTTGCCATCATGGCTAAGCGAGGTCGTCATCATCATCTGGCTTTCAAGGTCCTTAAAATCTTTCGAGTTTTGACCGATAATTACTATGATTGACCAACGTTGAACAAGTTGACAGCCATGGCGACACATATGAAGTTATTTTAAAAAATACACTACTGTCTGATAGAGTCGATTTAGGAATTTATGAAAGGATGTGAAATGAGATAAAAAAGATGACTGCACTGTACATAGTACACAATGGACATATATTTGCATATAGTCTTCAATTGCTACTTTCACTGTAGGCCGGTAAATATTTCTTCATCATCCTTTTATTCAATAGCAATCAGACATATTTCATAATAATGACATTAAAAACAAGAGATTTGCCATTCTTTCTTTCCAGGAAGAAGAGAAGCAAACGTGTACGGATTTTCTCGAGGAATTGCAAAATTATTTTCATACTTATTAACGAAAAATTTTTAATCCTCCTGCAAGTATAATAAAATTGATAAAAATTGAAGTCTTAGTTAAACAAGAGGATACTATAAGTAGGGGATTTCAAAACATAATTCACATAATTAAATGAGAGAATTAATTATTCACTTCGCCAAGTCCACCGTCAGCGTCCATATATGTATTTTGTAAGTATATTGATATACAATCCTATAACGTGCTAAGGATAAAAATTGGTCAAGGTAAAAAATGAGGACTGTAAGATCAAATTAATTGCACAATTATCAATAGATCCACGACCGGTTCTCGTTTTGTAATTAAATCTCATATCTTTGATTACTCCCCGTCATCATTAATTTTCCTTCGATTCCAATCGCCCCACCATTAACAATTATTATGAATAATCGCAATGCATGCATTCGTGCTCAGCCTGCGGTGCCCTTGGCATTTTCAGGAACAATTTCTCACGTCAAATAAAGGATCGTACAGACGTTGACACGAGGCTCAGTCGACTCGTTGACGTCGTACTACTATATTGTGAAAGAGGTAGGAGTCGATTGCATTATTTAATATCGCTAACAGAAATTCACGCAACTAATTGACTATCGAACATTCGAATATTTAAATACTGAAGTATCGGGACTGTGGGCCAGTGTCGCGGCGTGGAATTAGACAGCAACGGCATAGTTTGAAACTTGGCCGCCAGGGTCGCTTTCCACTAAAAATTCATCGTTGGCGACAAGTATCTCTACTTATATTTTTTTTTTGTGACAATCGTGAAGCTTGTTAATGCCGTTTGAACGTTCATTTCCATTAATCGGGAATTAATACGTCGCGATGTGCGGAATAGAAAATTATTGTGCATCGTGCAACGTGACACTCGTGCGACGTTTGGGTCGATTGGATTTGACGTTTTCGACATTTTCTATTTTAGCTATTTTACGAAAATCATGAGTTGGTCGAGTGATCGATTGGATTTTTATCGAACTGTGTTTTTTGGTTTTTGACAAGAAATTCGACACACTCATTAACACTGGGAAGGTTTGAATTACAGTTAAGTGCAACGATCAATGGAAATTCTATTATAATTTTACTTAACTTGGTTATGTCAAACATCTATGGCTATGGCAAAGTGCAGTAAGTACTGTTTATCTTCCTTCGCGTTATGTCATAAATCAGAATCCGTTTCTTTTTACTGATTGAATTATTTGAATAAGCAATAAACGCTATAATTCACACGGGCATCAGTCGCGAAGCACTTTTGTGGGTCGATACTCATGTGGACTAGACTTAAAATTCGATAGTTACTTATACATGTATTATCAACGTACAGCATACTTAATTATTTCTAATGAGGATCTATCGAACAACAGAATAAGTAACTCACCTTCGAATCTCAAAGAAGGATATAAATTCTCGTTTATCTCGTGCTAGCAGAGTACTTGTAAAATTAATTCCACTAATTCTTTGCATTGCAAATTCCTTTAAGAACCTCTTTTACTCAGCCTGACGATGGGTGCTTCAAAATTTTACGAAATTCGGTATTTCTTATAACGGTCAAAGAACTATCATGGTCACGCAGCGGAACGAGTGCCCGTAGAGGTCTTTGAGCATTTAACAATAATTTTTTTAAGATTTAAATACGATTTCAGATTTATGACGTGACGCGACGCGACGCGACGAGATTATTCAAAAACTTATCCAATCTTCAACACCCGAATGAATAAATATAATGAGATCACGTTGATATCGTGCATTGAAACTAATATAGTTTTGTTTTTACCGCACAGTATAATAATTACGTAGCATATTAGGTGGACGGTCATCAAATCAATTTTAATTACTTTTTTTTTCATTATTCTTTTATTACATATAATATCCACAACTATGATTACATTGAACAACCTGTCACTTTCGACTTCCAGTATTGCATAGAATAAAATGCAATTTGGACTTTGGATTATTATTGTTATTTTTATACTGCATCGCATATATGTATATACATTGTATATGTGTGAAATAATTCACCCAAATACCAGTACAAATGGGCTTAAATCATTACGCATTTACATAGTGACTTTTCGCAATGGCGGATGCATATTATAATACAACTTCCTGATTTCGTACAATGATGCCCATAAAAAAATGTCGATTTTGTAATCTTCACTCTTTGAATCACAATTCCACATCCAGTAACGTATTAAAAATTTGTACAAGTTTTTCCTTAAACAACGGAAGAGGCAATATCAGAAATAATGCTCTGTCAAATAACATACGGATAATACTTGAACATACATACAAACAATACATACAAAATAATTGAACCGGTTAATTTTGTGAGCAAAAAGAATTTTTTAATATTTTTATTTTTATCCGAAATTTATTCACGCTTTCGCGCTGCTATGAGATTATTATAATGAATTTCTTATTAATTGATATATTATAAGACCGCAGATCGGCTAATGTATTTATTCGCATTTCAGGTTATCACGATGCGTCAAGGCGTTTTATTGGGTTTCCTCTTTCTTCTGAAATTTGACGGCTGTCTAACGGAAGAAACTTTAACCGAGGATTACACGGAGAGTGACTATATCGATAATAGTATCGATCTCATTCCAACGTATGTTTCACCTACAGAGAGGTTCCTCCAGAAACTCAGCAACCCCTTCTGGTCGATCAATCGCACGGACAAGGAGGCTCGAAATATTATCGAACGTTTCATACTTGGCCTACCACGACCCATTCAGAATCTATTACTGCCTGTCGAGAGATCAGCCAAGCAAGGATTCGGCGACATTTTGAATCGATTTAAGGACAATATACACGCCATATATCCTGGTGAGTTGTAATAGAATTTATCCCCTTTTCTAAAAATTATTTTTATTTTTCTTGTATGCTTTCTAGAACAAAGGAATTAATTACAAGCGTACCCTTTAAGTTGGATCAGTTCGTACAGGAAATAAACAGCATATTTAATTCCAATGCTGTAAGGTTAATGAGGGTTTCATGAAAAATTGAGAAAAGTCTTGAAGTCATTTTCCAATGTACGCATCATTCCACTCAAACTCTTCTGGTTAAGTTTTATCCTCCCTCCCTCTTTTTCCTTCCTCGTTTAACCCCTTTTCTCTCATATGCTTTCGCTTTCATCTTTTCACTGTTCCTCAGGCGAAAAGCCGGCCTGGTACCATTCATAGCTTAGCCAGCGGCACTTTGAAGCCTTCGCTAAACCAACTCACTGCGCAGTGTCAAACGTTGAACCCCTCTTCCAGGATTCTTTTTATTCATACGCCTCTAAGCGCTTTCTCCTTCGAAGAGCAATGCGTTGCGGACGTTTAATTAAATTTCAAGAAAAAAAATAGGAAAAAACGGAAACATCAACGACCAACGTAAACTGAGGAAAAACACGCACTGGTCCGTACAACTGCGTTTCGCAACGAGATTTAGAGAAAAGTTCGGTCGTCTGTAGTTGCATGGGCGAGGGGAAGGAAAGGGTAACCGTACAACGGAAGGGTGAAATGTTAGTCTATATCTGTATATATATATGTATATTGTAAATGGGCAGAATGAAAAAAGCGTTCATGATGGAATTTCCAGTGACGCGCGATAACACAAATCACGCCTACGAAATCGGTAGGTTGCAAACGGCTGAACGGCAGCGCCACCATCGACGCTTGACCCATTTTGTAATTCCCGCGCATCCCGCGCGAGACAATAAATCAACCGGATGTCGCTGGGAATTGAAAATAATCGCTGCGGAAACTGAATGTGCTTCCCTTCCTCTTGTACGTCCCCCCTCCCCCCCACCCACCCTACTTCGACTCGCTCTACTTTACTGCACAGATATACAGTCACGCGGCAGCGCGTATTGATACGTAATGACGTACTGCGCATGCGCAAACTCCTTCCACCCATAGCAAGGTGGTCGACCGATGAATTCTTAATCGCATTTAACCCTTACGAATAGTCAGAGGGTGCGTGCGTTATCGCGGGAATTAGCCACCGGGTTAAAGAGGGCTAACGAAAGTGGGATGGAGAACGGCGAGAAGTTTCAACTTGATTTGTGGCACCCTTACGTAACCCGGAAACACCATCCCTCGGTAGATACTCGTCAATTTCCGGTAACAGTAGAGTCAGTCTTTTTTGGGGGTAGTCTATCCTCGTGAGCGCAGGTGTCGAATTTGATGGTTCGGTATATCTCGCTCGTTTTGAAGGACCATCCTTTGCATGCTGCGTCATGTGTACCAACCCTTAGGACTCGCGGGACTGGAAAGCACCAGGGGTTGGACTTTGATTTTAGCATAAGTTTCATACACTTATTATACCCTTGGGCTCTAGAGATACATATTTATCTTCACTTGTAACAGGGCCACCCTTAATTTAGATACTATTCCATACAACGATCTTCACTGGATTTTATTCGGTCAGGCGACACTTTGAACCTACTTGATTTAGTAGCTCTAGAATTTTTAAGTACTCCTATCATCGTTCCAAATTCCGAATTACTTCAAGTTATGGTTTTAGTCCTATGAGTTATGGTCATTCGGTCCTGTGATCATTGTCTACGGTTTCTCTAAGTCTCTTTGATCTCTCTGGTCCCTACTGTCATAAGGGTAGCAATCAATATTATGTGTTTGTATAAGTAGGGACTGTGCTATCAGGCATAGGCCTTTACGTTTCTTAGTTGGGGTTGTTTCTGTTATTTGAGATTCCCTCAGTTGACATATCGTCTCATGGCTGGGTATCATCCCTCGTGGCCGAGGGTGAAGAGTAAGGGTTGTACCCCTCTGCATACTATGTTCCTATATAATATATATATCATTATTATATTGCGTTACACGCCAATTACGTTACTCCAGCTGATTGCAATGTTACAATTATATTATATAAGAAATTTATAATCCGAATATTTTTCAGTTATAATTAATACCAACATTGGAGATTTAATATGTGGTTGCGCGGTAAGTGGGAAAATAGTCGTATTGCAATTACCGTTATACGTGGGTTCTACGATGCATAACGTACATAACTCAGACCCGATTAACGACACGTGAAAATAATTGTACCATGCGTGAGAATAATTGCCCAGTTCTGCTTCTGGTTGATAAAAATTTTTCTAGTCACAATTTTTGGCACTTGATTGTGAAATATGTTTTTTTCTTTTATTCAGAAGCGTCAGGAATTTTATTATCCATAAGAATTTCGTACAAAGACCTTCAATGATGTTATTGGTAATTGTAATTGATGATAATGTTGGTAATACCGTGCGATTGTAAAATGGCCGATATATATGTCAATCGCGAAATACGTAAATGCGATTAGAATGAACAATTGCGCCGATTCATAAGAGTATCTTTTAATCAATTTGCAATTTAGTTTTTGAATTGTAGCTAACGTTCGACGAATTGTGGCCAAATTGCATTTCGTAAACCTACTAAAAATTAATTAATGGGAAACGTGGGGGACACTTTTCATACGTGCAGTCGAGCGCAATTATAACTGCAATGACGTGTATGCATATTCGATGGTATTCACCATTATGATTATTATTGTCAAGCTGGCCGAGCGTTAAAATAATATAAATAAATATTTTTTGTCATACAACGGTAGATACAGATATTTAAAATTTTGAAAGTTCGAAGTGAAATGAACTTTTTATAAAATTATAAAATGCTAATATTCATGGTAATGAAAATGTATGCTTACCAAAAAAAAAAGCATCACTATGACACGTCTAACTTTACATTCAAGTAGAATTAAAGTTTGAGGATTTAATAAGAGAACAAAAAAGCACTATTTTATAATGTCTAATTTTACATTTATAATTGCCTGTTATTGTTTTTTCAATTTAATTTCCAGACTGCAATTAATTATCAGTGTGTCATAACATCACTGTTCTATCAATGAGACAAATGAAGATGCATTTTTTAAATTATTAAAATTATCGAAACAGTATCAATATGGAGTGCAGTATATATATATATATATATATATATATATATATATATATATGTAATTAACTCTTTGACATACAATGACGTCTCGGAGACGTCATTAATTTCATTTTCCATTGTAGACTTTAACATTTTATTTGTATGTCAAGGGGTTAAGACAATTAAAAGATACTATGAATAAGCAAGCAAAAATATCGCAAAATACTTGACGCGTGAATATCAAGTATTTCAATTCAAAAATCCAAGATGGTCGTAAACTCTTCGGTCGTTTGACTTATCGTTAAATTTTATTCGTCTCCTACGAGTCAACCTGGCAGCTTTCATCATTGTAATATTTACCAAGCGAACTGTATGGTTATAGCCACAATAACAAAAGTCATAATTCATAATGATCCCCGTGATCGTTGTGCCATGATAAATGTAGTCGGCGGAGATTTCGACGGGTTTTATTACCAAATCGACGATTGCGTGTGCTCCTGTTCATATCCCCAGTGGTTAAAATCGTCCGTCATTATATTCTGACGTTAGCAACCACTCCCGGTTTAATTTTTTATTGCACTGGATCGTCGTATAAATGTAAAGTCAAATATTCATATTGTCCCTTCAGGTACACTTTGGTGTGGAGCTGGATCCGTAGCCAAGAACGAAGAGGACATTGGTATCTTTAAATACACTGACTATTGTTGTAGGGATCATGACAATTGTTCAAACAATATTAATGCTGGTGATGAAAAATATAGTCTGAAGAACAATGGAATATTTACAAGGTAATCTTAAATGCTACATATTCATTTCATATCATTTATCAAGCTAAGCCTAATTCTTATATAAACTCTTGGTATGGTCAATAAAATAAAAATTGTAGTCTGTTGCAAGAGACTATAAGAAAATTATTTAAAATGTGATTAATTATGTTAAAGCAAAATGCTATTTAGTTGTTGATTTACATATTTTATAACTTTTATATCAATACTGAGGTCCTTTGATTGAGTAATATATTTTAGTTAGTCAATATGTTCCCAAGGAGATTGTAAAAGTTATTGATACTTCAGTGGATCAAATGTTTAATGAGAATACTAAGTAGAGTGACGGCCTAGTTGCGTTAACCATGGATGAGAAGTTAAAGGTCAAGGTGTATATATTATTGAGAGATGTTGACCCTGATAGAGTATTAATATAATGTATATTATTGCATATTCATTGGAGTGCGATGGTCAATTAATGACTTTGCAGATTAAATGAGAATCGAAGTGAGCTACAACTACTTTATTTCATTGACTATGACTGCGAGAGGTTGATAAAATGAATGTTTGACTTGATAATTATTTTAATTTTTAATTATCATTATTTATCTTTTTTCAGATCATTCTGTGACTGCGATGAAACTTTTTATAAATGCTTGAAAAATGCCAATAGCCTAATTTCACAAAAGATTGGTACTACTTACTTCAATCTCCTGAGACCGCAGTGCTTCAGATATGACTATCCCATTACTCGGTGTAATAAATATGCAAGGTAACGAATACGAATGTAAATAAAAAAACGTTAAACGAATAGATTTTTGTAACGTTGTAATCTTTTTGGAAATTTTAGAAACAGACTCTACGACAATAAATGCATCGAGTATGATTTGGATTTAAATCAAAATAAAACTTGGCAATGGTTTGACAATCCGAACTTCTAAGGGAGAATGTGACGGATGGTAAAGCCTACAATCCATTTACGTAAATTCCATAGATTCAGGTAAATCCTCTTCATCTCATTTACATGAAATTAAAGCCAAATTAAAATCTTGTACAATGTACTGGGTAGATTAATGTTAATTTTAAACTTTGTAAAATTTTGAAAATTAATCAAACTGAAATTGAATATATTAAGACATTTAATTAGCTAAATAATAATGTAATTAATTAATTTTTGATATTCATATATTAACACTCAGAAATTCAAAATTACGACGAACAACACTTACAATTAGTACTATTGAAATTTAAAATGTTTGTCGGTGCGCAGATTTATCGCGCAGGACTCCCTCCAAGTGGAAGGAGTGGGGGGAGCACGTAAGGTGCTGGTCGGACTTAGAACGCTCATTCTTCCACGAGCCAATCTCCTATACTTATTGTCTAGTATAAGTTTCAGTAACTGGCATTTTATAAAGCCACAGTGCATTAATTGTGGTACTGTGAGTTACTGAAATTGATTTCGGAACATACCCAATGTCGTAAGCATTGCCTTAATCACCTTATACAATTTTGGATAGAACTAATGACCACTAAATCTTTTAACTAGTTTATTTGTAGCCATCAAACGATTCTACGTCGATTAAGACCTCACTGAATGTTCTTACTTAAAAAATTAATATTTTTCCGGCCAACTCATTGCCATCGTGTGACCTACCCCCGTCACTGTTGCGCTTACATTTTTTTAAGGTTTTTGGCAGAATCAATGACTACCAAAACTTTTAACAAATTTATTCGTAACCACCTAACGATTTCGCATTGATTTACCTCCTTATCGAACAAAATCGATTAATAAATAAAATATATCCGGTTAACTTCTCGTTAAAATTTGTTTTTAACATTCCAGAAAAACTATTGACTACCAAACCTTTTAATTAGACTACCAATCACCACCAAATGATTAGTACAGAAAAAAATGTTTAAAAGTTAAAAGGTAAAATTTATTGGAGGTGAAAATCGGCTCATTGGCAATCTCTTTACTCATCTCTGGTAGATGATTCTCGGAGTAATATGTGTTCCACGTCCTCTAACGGATTTTTTCGAAACAAAGACTAGTCGCGACAACGCTATCTGGCGGAAGCATTCAAAACTAACGAAAAGTACAGTCGACCGGAGATGTAAATAAATTCTAACCAATCGATACGAATAAAATGTTACTACGTATAACGATTAGTGTATATTTATTAGTGCCTATATTGGTTAAAATAGGAATTAGAATAAAGTCGGAATGTAGGACTTAAGAAAAGATAAAATTTAGTAAACAGTTGAGGAAATTAAAAGATTACAAAAGGAAAGGTGTTTTGAAAGAAAGAATGCGTTGAAATTAGAAGCAAAGGGTAAAATAGACAAAAAAAGGTTGTAAAGTAGAACCTTGCAAATTTCTTCCTCATGATTTTACTCGGTTTTTTCTATCACAATGATGCAAAGTAAAATCTTACACTTTGCTTCTTGATTCTTTTCCGTCGTTCACAAAGCCTCTATGAGGAAGTTCTTTGAATTATTTTGGCTTTCTCATAGAGGAAGCTTTGCAAGAGTTCGCGAGTTATGTACAATTGAATTTTGGTACTTACAGGAATAAAAAATTAACAATTTTTAATCTAAAAAAAATAAGACATTTTGTACATGGCTATGAATGAATTTTGGAAACCCTGCACACACAGACACGCGCGCGCACATGCACACACACACACACGCGCGCGCGCGCGCGCGCGCGCGAAAATTTGAAATAAAGGAAAAATTAGGAAGATGGAACGACTGAGAAAGAATAGCGCGCGCACATGCACACACACACACACGCAATTTTTAATCTAAAAAAAATAAGACATTTTGTACATGGCTATGAATGAATTTTGGAAACCCTGCACACACAGACACGCGCGCGCACATGCACACACACACACACGCGCGCGCGCGCGCGCGCGCGCGAAAATTTGAAATAAAGGAAAAATTAGGAAGATGGAACGACTGAGAAAGAATAGGAAGATAGTAATAGATGAGAAAAGCAGTGTAAATAAAAGGTAAAAAGATTTTAAAGAGATGATATGAAAGAAGAAGACCTAAGTACATATTTAGTTGAAACGAAGAAAGTATGAGGAGTGATAGAATATAGTAAAAGAAAGCATAATGAAAGATAAAGGAAAAGTCAACGAAATGGGCCCCACTCCGCCCATTTCGGTGGGGCCCTACATCTCCAGAAGAGAAAACACAAGAAAGAGAGAGAGAGATAGAGAAACAAAAAAAGAGAAAAACCCCCAGGTCCTGCGGCTGTTACGCACAGAACTAGAGGGGGGAAAACTTCATTAAAGGAGGGAAGTCGAGTCGAGCAACAAGAAAGACGCAAAAGGTAAGTTAAATGTGAAATATCTATCCCTAGTCAAGATTCACTATACGAAAGACCATGGCCGTAGATACCCTAAGGGGGCTCAAGGTCCCCGTCGGGAGACCCATAAGGTCCAGTTGCGGCCACAACTTGGGCCCGACCCACTGAGCAAGCTCAGCGGATGAGACGGAAGGGCAACCCCTGACACTATGGACTATACGTGTAGCTACTATACAGAGTGACTACCCTTATATGAATACTCGATTAAATATGCTCGACCCGACCAAAGGAATAGGACAAGTAAGACAAGCACAATGGAAAGTGATAGGGGAAAGAGTAAAATCAGAAGATAGACAGGAAGATAAAAAGTCCGAAGATAATACAGAAGTCGGGTAGTAGAAAAGTAAGGAATAGAGGTATAAAAGTAGAGAAGAAATAAGAAAAGAGATAAATAAGATAGGAAAGAAAGTAGAGAAGAAATAAATATAGGAAGAGAAGAAGGTTGGGAATGGATAAGAGGGGTAGTGCTTACAAGAAACCGGCTGGAGGAAGAATGAGCGCTCCCAGTTCGGGCACTGCCACCGTTCTCTCCAATCATCAGTTTTGCTCCCACTCGCCGAGTTTTGCGCGATGAATTTGCACGCGTACAATTTTCGGCAACTTCCAGTACTTCTAAATATTCTTGGCCAGAATTTCTGATTTTCAAGTGTTAATATCTAACTTTATTGATTTATTGAATTATTTAAATATTCCAAACACTCAATTTATTAATATTCATTTTCGACATTTTACAATTTCATTTTAATTTCCATCTACTCGACGCCAAAATAAAATTGGTTTCAATAAAATCGGCCCATTGGCTATCTCCCTACTCATCCTTGGTATTATGAATAAAATACGTTTCGGTTTTACACTGTAGCAATTTTAGGTTTCCGTTACGGTTTTAGGTATAACATTTATGAAATTACAGTTAATGGTTTCAGTTTCTTATTTTTTTGGTTATTATCGGTTATCCATTTGAATTTTGGTTACGGTTGCGGTCCCTGGAAAACACAGTTAAGAACGATATAAGCACGTAAACCGTGCAATAAAAAAATAATGCCACTCTAGTAATTCTTTGATAAAATGAATTTATTTATTGTAATTAGAGCTTCGACTCCAATAAAAGTTATTACAATTAAAGTTATTTCATCTCATTGTAAATCTGCTGGTAAATTATTCAATCCCTTCGGCGGAACTCCTCTTTTAATGACATGTGGTATCGTTTTTGGAATCATTCTAAAAATTGTGGAAATAAAACATTAGACAATTATATTTGCCAATCGGGAATAACTAAATCAATATCAAATTCAAAAACTCACGTTATACAATCAATAATGGGACAAACTGATAAACAAAGTGTGCATCCAGTACAGTCGCTAGTCACTTCCGGTATGTGTGTCTCGGCATTAAAAGTAATCGCTTGATACCCAGAATCGGCACAAGCCATATAGCATTTGCCACAATTAATGCACATATCCTGGAATATTGAATCAATGAATAATTCAAATAAGATTCATTATCATATTGAAACATTACGTGATTATTTATGATTTGATCCATATCAGAATAATTTTTCTATTATTCTTCTATGCGTATACCTACGTCGTCAATAAGTGCAACAACTTGTTCCTTGTTATCTAGCTGCTTGTATGATCGTATGTGTGGCAGAGCTTTTCCGATTACGGCCGATAAGGTAGGAATCGGAGCAACGGGCTTGGGTGCTGGTCTAGTGACTGTTGATTTTATAGCCAACAGATCCGTTTGAGCTTTTAGTTCAGCTATTTTTTCTTCACGAAGTTTTTGATACTCCCCGAAGTAAGGTACGTTCTAACGAAATTACAGAATTGTATTAACTAAGTATATTCAATGTCATAATTTATTCACATTTACCTTTCCCAGAGCATGTTGAAGGTTGACTATTGGTTTTCCTTTTTGATGTTTGAAAGTTGGCGGACTCTGACCATCCCAGTCTTTAACCTGGCCCAAGCTCTTTAGGTATAATAAAGTTTTCAAGCCGGTCGTGTAATCCTCTATCAGAGTAAAATCTTGATTTTGTATTGCACTTCCAACCTGTGGTAAGATAAAAATGATTTTTATCTACAAAAAATGCCTTGTTCACGTTTACGACATACAATGTTAATTTTTGATTCCGTCGAATGTAATGTTATGCAAACTGAGAAGGTACAAATTATTATTCAACCTGCACGACGGATGCACCGCATTGCAAAAATTGTAATGTGACATCTGCAGAGTCAATGCCGCCAATACCAAGAATTGGAAAACCTGGTATTTTATTGGCTATCGAGGAAATGGCTCTAAGTGCCTGCGGTCTTGTAGCATTTCCCGACATTCCACCATAAGTCGTTGCCTTGGCGGTGCCAACTGCTGGCCATGGTGTTCCATCGGCATGCAGTCCCATTAAACCTTGCACAGTGTTAATTGCCGACACGCCATCGGCCTGACCTGTAAATTACATCACTGATATCACGTCTAAGAACACAATAAAATAAAAGGAAAAGATAAAAATCAAGTAATTACTTAAACAAAAAAAAAGAAGTAAATTTTTCTTCATAGCTGATATTTACCTTCATAAGCTGCCTTTGCTATGGAAACGATATCAGTAATGTTTGGTGTCAATTTTACAAAAAATGGAATATTCACAGCTGCTCGTACCCATCTTGAAATGTTCCTCACCAATTCCGGATCCTGTAAAGCAACAAGTAATATATATAAAAGAAGCGTTTATATCAAATTCATTTATTAACCCGTAAAACATACTAAGTAATTTCAATTTTACACACTTGACCACATGCTAATCCCATCCCAGACTCTCCCATTCCGTGAGGACAGGATAGGTTCAATTCAAGTGCGTCAGCACCGGCCGATGCTGCCATCTGTGCCAATTCGGTCCAGTCGGCTGCATTATAAGTGCACATGATACTCGCAATGATTATCTATGATAAACAAAATAATTGTATTATTGAACAGTTAGTAATATTATAAGTCGCAGGTGTAAAATTTATAAAATCATTGATCTAATTATTAATAAAAATAATTATGATTAAAATAAAGATAAATGTATGAAAAAAATAAAGGAAGATATTACCTTTGTGGGAAAGTCCTTCTTCAATTCAGTTACGCTCTTGCACCAGTATGCTGCAGTTTTTTCGGATATTAATTCAATATTAAGAAAACTGCCCTGTTCAGGGCCGTAATGATGCCGTGACGTGGTGCCTTTCACTATACGTGGAGAAACATTCGTTACTAGATCCTGTAAGGAATGTATATTAAAAAATAAATTCCAATTGAAATTACAGATTAACTGAGATCATACCTTGTCCAAAGAAAATGTTTTTGTTACAGCAAAGCCCCAGCCTGTTTCGAAAGCTCTTCGGATCATTGCACTGGTGGTACAGGGGGGTGCAGAAGCAAGGCCAAAAGGATTTTCAAATTTGAGTCCACAGACTTCGATACTTAAATCAACATCGTCGATAGGACTGTGGAATTTTGGTAGACACGGCTCATTGGGTACCGACAAGCCGAGAGATTCCTTTGAATGATAAAAAATAATAGTTTGCTTTTATGTAAATTATACGAATTTTTATAATGTTAGATGTTTCATGATTTTTGTTATTAAAAAAAGAAATTGTGTACCTGTATGTATTTATGAATATACCAAGCAGCCGTTTTCCCATCATTCACTGATTCAACAGTTGTTTGCGCAACTCCAGCTAAATCGCCACCGCAAAATACTCCTGGTTCTGATGTCTTCATTGTATTCACGTCAACTTCCGGTAGACCCCATTTGTTCAATTTAACTGGAGCCATTGCGGTTTTAACTGCAAAGGGAATTACACGACTGCAATTATATCTATAGATATGAATTTATAATGCACAGAATAATTTTAAAATACCTTCAGAATCGTATAGACCAGATCCAAAAGCTGAAATAATAAAATCAGCCTTTAGTCTCACAACTTGGTCTTCATCCTCGATCCATTCGCCATCTTCATTCTGTTCGGTACGATAAAACTCGATAGCCACAATCTTATTGTTTCGAACAATGACTTTTTTTGGAGATTGGAATGGAACAAACTCGCATTTTTCATCCCGTGCCAATTCCATCTATTAAAAATTTGTTGTCAACATGGCATGACAAAAAAGCATTATTTAATTGAAAAATTTGGTCGCGCAATATAATCATTAATGAAGGTAAAAAATACTGTTTTAGGCGTTCAAATCTTACCTCTTCGGGAACTGCTCGAATATTAGTGAATCCTTTTCGAAAAACAACAAAAACTTTTTTAGCACCGCATCTTAATGCTGAAGTGGCGCAATCAAAGGCTGTATCCCCAGCACCCAGGACGATTACGGTACCGTAAAGATTGGGTAGAGCTGCACTTTTGCAAGGGCACATTTCTGGTTTACTACCTTTTGAAACAGCTGGTAGAAAAAATTTTGATGTAAAGAAGCCCATTTCTTGGGTTAAGGATTTGAAGATAGGGATCAACTTAGGTTCTGGAAGGCCAATTCCAAGGAAGACAACTTTGTATCCAAGGTCCTTAAGTCCCTGCGGACAAAAATAATTAACAATTAAAGTAATTATTTAATCAGTCTAAAAATCATAGTATTTAGCATCTCACCTGAACAGTCAAATCCCTAGTAGATAATCCTCTACCAAATTCAATCTGCACCCCTAAATCTTTTACAAGATCAACTTCAAAATTGACTACGTCATACGGAAGACGATACTGAGGAATTTCTGAAGAGCTTAAACCACCAAAATAGTTTTCCTTTTCGAAAATCGTGATATCATCGTAGCCAAGACGTGCCAAAAATGTAGCACAAGATAAAGAAGCTGGTCCACACCCAATTAAAGCAATTTTCGTATCCGCATGAGGTACGGTTTGTCCAAAAATTCTTGTCTGAGGTATTCTCATCTGCTTGAAAATCTAGAACCATATGAGTTTCCAAAATTGTTAAATTATACCTTAAGAAATTCTAACTAACGAAAGCTTCTTCTATAATCTTTTCATATTCATATTTACTTAAAAAGAAATTGCAAATTCTCACGTTCGTGGCGAATTGCTGTAATCCTCCAATGTTAATAGGTCCTTCTTCAACAGCAGCAAGATTACATCCCCCAACGCACAGATCACTCGTGGGACAAACCATGCCACACGTGAGACCCAACGGATTGTCCGAAAGAATTGCCTTTGCTGCTCCATAATAATTTTTATTCGAAATCGAGGTAATAAAGCTCTTAATGTCCAATTGGGTCGGGCAGGATTTTTGACAAGGCGCATCTGCACATTTTAAACAGCGCGCCGCTTCGGTCAAAGCACCACGTTCACTCAGAGTCGTGGGTTTTATATCATCGAAATTATTCTTCAACGGTCCACACGACTGCAAATTGATAAATAATAAATAGTTGCAACACCAACAAAAACGCCGAGATATCACTCTATTATTTTTATCATAATCCTCTTACGTCACAGTGTTTACCAGCGTTCCTCTTCCAGTGCTGCTTATTCCTTTTAGTTTCTGCCGAAGGCACGAGATTGGTATACGGCTTTAATTTTGGATTGATGTTCAAAAGATTCTGAAAAGGTAATTTAAAAAATTGTCAATATTCTTGTTACCGCCAAAGATTATATGCATGCATTACCCTGTGTCTATTTATTGAAACGATCATCGTAATTAACATTTAAAGATAGTTTTATGACACTAAGAACTTAATACACATTTTATACCTATTCCTAATTTAATTGCCCATAGACATTAAGTAAAATTCAGCAAACAAGAAACACAAATAACAAATAATCCATATAAAGAATGTTGTCGAATAAATTGAATATCTATACCTATCTATTTAACACTAGATTTACCAGACCAGTGATTTTGACTGGTCGTGCAATTTCAATTCAAAATTCCTACTGCATGTAACATTTGCTTTCCGAAATGATATTATGACTTTTGTAGCTATAAGTAGACAATACATTTTATGAACTTAATGTTACTTTATATATATTCGTAACAAATATATTTTTTATTATTGACACTTATACCAGGACCAGTCAAAATGACTGGTGCATGTTTCTATGAAGAAATTCTGTGTAGAAATGACATTGGGGCAGCTATAACAATTGATGGGTACTGCAATGTTTTATCGGCACAGAAATATGATTTCGGGAGAATCAGGAGACCGATGCAGTACATATATCGGCCCATGCGTCTTTCGTTCGTTCCCTTATCGGTATTGAGCCGATTACGGCTATTACGCACAGTATTTATTTAGGACAGGGGCCCAGCTTTGCGGGCCACCGCGGAATACAATGCATTTTTCCGAGATTTTTACGAGACATTTTTTGACGAGCACTTATTTTGTAAGTGTACGGGGCACGAATAGCCTTTTTTTCTCATTTTTTAAGAGTGAATAAAGACTGGAAGCCTCAATAAGTATTTTTTCTTATACACCAGTCATTCTGACTGGTTTTGGTAGAAATAGGTATATTTAAATAGATGATAAATCTAGTGTTAATCAAAATCAACTCAGCACAGCCTGATCATTCAGCCAATTCACGGTGAACTTTTCTACAGCCTACTACGGCTTTGTCTAAACTGTACATACCATACATGCATATACCGTACCCACTGACCAAAGATTGTTTTCTAGATAACGCATTCATTGAATAAAAAGAATTAACCATAAAGTGACTTTACTAAAGTGCATAATCATAATTGTTCAAATCAATTCTAGTTACCTCAATATCAGGTATGTCCTTGCTCAAAATATAAGGAGTGGGAGCCATTGGAGTTTTTGCAAAGATCACAACAATCAATAAACAATCGGTAGCACTCAACAATCGTAACTGAAGCAACTGACTTCGAGTTACACGAACGAAGAGATCAAACTTTAGAAATCTACGAGCAAATACACAGTATTGAACGACGATGCTCTGTGAATAGACGTTTGTTATTCTTAACCTCCCAACGTCCCGTCCATAACTGAATACGTGTCGCACGTCCAGTCATAACATCGCGCTACATCACATCTACCATCCCACCACTTTACTCTTACGTATACAGGCTGTATGGCTTTGCTGAAATAAGATAACCAGTACGTTCTGATTTTTCGTCTTGCGCAATCTCAGCTTCTCTACCATAGCTTTCAAAAATCCGATTTATCACTAACAATACGACTGGTGGATCTTTCAAGTTCTTGCTTAATGACAACTACGTATGTATCTACTGTAGGAACCAACTGGATGTGTATCCATGCTGTCATTTGTTAGGTTACCATTAATTTCCAGCACTGATAAGATTAATACGAACGGTATGATAATTGATAAGCGATAGCATAATCCAAATGCACCAGAAGCAATGATTACTGAATTCCAATTATCCAGATATGTAATGTACTTTCACTTAATCCGTTTCATATTATATTGGATATATCTAGATCAACTTCACGATGTTACTGTAGAAAAGTTTATATAAGAAAATGTTCACTCGGCATGAGACTGCAAAGGATACGTTTGTTCATACGTAATGCATAACTTAATTGGATAATTAAGGTCAATAAAACTCGGTATATATAGTTCGCATCGTGCTATAAAATTGATGAATCTCTTTTGTGTTATTTGACTTTTCGGAAAAAAAATTAATGCTCCCATCTATGTCATTGTCGATAATCGTTCTATTATGTTCATAGAAATTTGTGGTTATGTACTAAAGTGTCCCTGGTTTTGTTTTTATCAAACAAACAAGTTTCGAACTTTTCTGTTAAACCTATCATGTCATCTTCTTAAATTGCATATCTGGTCCGATTCTACTCTATCATTTGGACAAGTTGTACTCAATTCTCGTTTGAACTTTGACGTTAATGTTTCATGACAATACGTGATAAAAGAAAAAAACTCCGGCGCTATCGAAACAGTTTGTGACATTTTCAAGTATATTTAAAAGTACGCGCTAAAAAGTACCATCATGGATATTACATCTTTGTCCAATCACAAGCTACCGAAAATATCGTCCTATTACAATGTCAAGCTTACGTTACTCGTTAATAAATATTTTGGATATTGGCCGTCGCTTAATGTAAATCAACGATTTTATGCTATCTATACGTTCTTTAGTTTTTCACTGACAATCGGCGCTATTTTACTTGCCGAACTTGTTTACGTGATCGTTTATATACGTGACTTTAACAAATTGACATCGATTTCGCTTCTTTTATTCACAAACGTCGTTCACGTTTCTAAGGTTTGCTGTCTTGTTTTTTTTTTCTTTTATTTATTGTTATCTTATCAATATATTCTACGAGAATACTTTTATGATAAGGAATTATGGGTGTTGGATCTAGATACAGAATTTAATTCGTAAGCGTAAGCAGATACGCCATCTGTTGGAATATGTAGAAACTGGTCAATTCTCGAACGAAACGGATAAATATGAAAGGATTGTAACGTATTTCTCTTGGTTTGGACTATTTCATTATGCGATTAATGTCTTGTTTGGAATGGGCGCTATTACTGGATGGTCAATTATATCCTTGTTTAGCGTTGACAATGGTAATATGTTATTTTTATCAATTACTGGTTTCGTAAATTAACTTTTTATCTTATTAGCCTTGCTTTAGCGCGTATACATTTTTGTATTTCTTTTTAGATAAAATTGACAGAAGATTGCCTAGCGATGGATGGTTTCCATATGATCCATTAAAATCACCTGCCTTTGAACTCACATGTGTCTATGAAATAATTATACTTCACGTATGTGCCTTTCATAACTTAGCTCTGGATCATTTGACGGTCGGTTTCATGTCTGTCGTATGTTGTCAATTTGTAATTTTAAATTGTAATCTACAAAGTATTGGAGACGATGTACTCAATGCTGAAAATATAAAAAATGATTTATCGAATTCATTGAAAAATAAGGAAAATGACGACTTGATTTATAAACGACTGGTTAAGTGCGTCGAAGATCATATGACAATTATTCAGTAAGTATTTGGAATAGAAGTGAAGTGAAAACGGATAAAATGATATTTTACATATAAAATCATTTTCAGATTTGCCAAAGACGTCGAGAACATATTTAATTTACCAGTTTTTCTTCAATTTCTGGAAAGTTGCCTGGTCATTTGCGTAACCGCCTATCAGATTAGTCAAGTGAGTTTAACTTGGGCTTTTCTGTACTTTTTCAAAAGCTCTGAGCTTCTTGCTATTTATGTCAAATTGTTTCTAACACACGTTTCAGGATTCCAATAAAGGTACTAGTGAAATTTTGGGAAATTTTAGTTATTTAATGTGCATGGTGTACCAATTGTTTGTCTACTGTTGGTACGGAAACTCCATATTATTGCTGGTACGTAAAATTGTAGAATAATTTATTTTCAAAAAAATATGATAACGTCACTGATAAAATCGCAAGAATATTCCAAATTAATGTTATCGTTTCCCTAGAAATGACCTGAAATTATATTAAATGATAATAATGCCAATTGTTGATAATCAAGACATATGAAGAAATGACTAAGGAAATGATAACCAAAAAAATTATTATTATTCCACTTTATTAATAAAGCTTCATACTATATCGCGCACAGTATAGAAAAAGCTGTAGCAGTGTTAGAAAGTCCATATCTGAATAAAATAAATCTGAAAATGGAAAAATTCGTTAGTCGATTCAAATACGTTAAATTTAATTGTTTAATAAAATTAATGCGATCCTGAGAGAGGGATATTCATAGCTCTTTCGCGATATTAAACAGTACAAACATAGCAATAAATCTTTAGGAATCAAAAACACGGAATAAAAGACGATTTGGGGCGAACTTTCATTTGAAAGTATCTCTTGCAATAATTCGATATGTGTGTGTGTGGCCTTCGCCGTATCTACGTAGATTGATCTATATAATCTATAGCATATTCAGTTTCATAAATATATTGGGAATCACTATGTTAGTCGAAATTGTAAATGTTATTGTGATTTGGGGAGATTTGGAAAAATTACTTTTCTTATAAGAAACATCGCACTCACTTATAAGGTTTACCATAATATAAAAAATATACATTTAAAAATAAGAAAAATGCAGTAATTAATAGCTATAATCAACTTTCAACGCGATTTATACGCATGATAGACCGATACAGACAAATATTAAATTTTCAAAATATATAGGGTTCAATATGCATATGGAAATATAATATAATATATTACATGTCAATTTCATAATCAACTATTTCATGATTGCTTATAGCATATTAAATATTCCCAACTTCAATACGTGCGATGGTGGTGTAATGGTCAGCATAGTTGCCTTCCAAGCAGTTGATCCGGGTTCGATTCCCGGCCATCGCACATTTTTTTTACAATTTATTAAATTTTATTAAATGAACAATACAAAAGAAATACGAGTGTATAACAAAATAGTATTTTATCTATCTAGTACGAATGAGTATAAGACACAAGTGTGAAGTTTGGTACACGAGCCGTTAGGCGAGTGCGCCAATCACACGAGTCCTATACTCATTCGTACTAGCTAGATACAACAGTTTTTGTAACAAATGTTCAAAGAAAACGCCGTCTGGCCTTTCTTTACGAGAGATGACACTGTTAACCTGTCTCAAAAATATTTTTTAATAGGTTTCCCCTTCCTTAAAAATATTTTAGATGCCTATGACGTCACTATAATAAATTTTTAGGTAATTTTATAGTCATTTATCCAAAAAAGAATATTTTAAGGTGCCCTCTGGCGACACGTTGCGGAATCTTCTTTGAGCATTTGTTACAAAAATATTTATCCAAGTATTAAAATGCTATATCCGGTTATTCAGTTCAAACGTATCAGCTGAACATGGTTTTACCATAAGAGTCAAATGGACGTTAACTTCAGGTGGTATGTTTGAACTGAATAATTCGGTATATTTGAATAACAGTCTCATTAGGTCAAGTTCACTCCTTAAAAGATTATCACCATATTCTGGTACCAAGAGCGGATACAACTTCTTCTAAATTTCACGAATAACGACGTGTTTACTGAAAAAGATGAAAATTTCAAATTAATCATCGCACAGTATACATACAATGGACTGTTTGATTACATAACTCGCCAAAGCATTGTAATCCTGGGACTTTTTTCCTTTAATATTGTATCGATAACAAATTTGATATCAGGACACGCGAGATATTTACCGATAGAGGGGTGGCATCCTTACAACGTCACGGCAAGTCCAGCATTCGAAGTAACATTTACTTATCAATTTATATTTTCCGTAGTCATGTTTTTTAATAACGTTGCTATGGATACTTTGTCGCTTTAATAGCGACTGTTTCCTGTAAACTGGAATTATTGAAATACACGATTACGGGTATCGAAAATAACATTGTGGCGGGATCTAACACTTTTGGTGGTAAAATTCAAATGAAGTACAAAGATGATTCTTACGAGTAGTAAAAATAATGTATCCACTATAACAATAAGATTTTTGAGTGAGTCTCGTTGTCTTTCTTCCTTGAGAATATACAAAGAAATTTATTTATCCCTTTGAAATTACGATATTTAGCTTCGCGAGGGAAATCGAGTCGATAATCGGCCCTGTAATTTTCATCCAGTTTCCTTTCAACTGTTTGACAATGTGTCTATCAATATTTCATACAGTTCAGGTAATTCGCTTGTAAATCTTTAGTATGTTTTATTAAATCTTTTACTTAAACCGATAATTTCTTAATTGATAACAGCATCACCTGATCAATACTCAGGGATGTTTATGTATTTCTCTTCTATTGTATACAAAATCTTCGTCTATTCCTGGCATGGAAATGAATTACGTCTTCAAGTAAGTACTGTAACAGGCTGTTATGCCTGGGGAAAGGGTATCGGTTGTATCCGTGTTTTAAAAATTATTTTTATAATCGATATTCAAGATGGCCGCGCGCTCAAGATCTTCTCTTCTTTTAATTTTTATGAATCATAGAACTTTTCTGTTTATCTATGTTCACAGAGTGAAAGCGTCGTTCAGGCTGCTTTTTCTGGCAACTGGTGGAAATCGAGCGAACGATATAAACGGGCTTTGCGTCTGATGATGGTGAGAGCAGGCAGACCACTTACTATCACTACTGGAAATCTATTGACGCTATCATTAAGTACGTTCATGGGAGTAAGTGTCATTTTACAATAATACTTCAATTTTATATATATTATACAATACTAGCCATTCGTAACAAAAAGGAACGTTAACCCTACCTATCCATCCCTTCTAGATTTTGAAAGCATCTTACTCGTTCTTCACGGTATTGCAAAGTACCAACAAGAAAATCTAGTTAATAAACAAATTGTTTGATTAGTTTAATAGTTATATAGCACTTAATTGGTAAATGTGTTTTCAGGAGTTTAAAGATATTTATATATTGATAGGCAACAAACACTCAAAAGTTTTGAACTTAAATTTCCGAGTGATAAAAAGATAGTGAGTTTTCAGATTTAAATAAAAATAAAAATTACTTTATAAACCTCATTCGTTCTATTTTATGCTTTAATTGAAAATAGCTTGCGCCATACCTGGTATTAGTGTAAACACACAAGACAATCCGCGGCAGAGTCGGAGCGAGCCCCAAGTCACTCTCGCCATATTCCAAAAACAGTTTAATTATTCTGGGTCCCCAATGGGGACCGTACCAGATATCAAGCTGATAAGAACAGATACTACACTTTGATCTCAGGTACGGAGAGCCGAGAAGCGATAAACATTGGATTTAAAAAAGCTGTATAAAACCGTGACGTTCGCCAATTTTAATGTCGGGTTACTTGCGACACCTAGCGGTATAACTATGTAACTACTACAGCTCCTAATGCAGGTTCTCTTGGCACTCGATCCCCTAGGGAATATAAAGCCATAAAAGGAATAAGAAAAATGCAGGTTCTACCCCTTGTCCTTTTCATAAGGGAATTTCTTAAAACTGTCGTTAAAAGTTTATTAAAAATATTTGTGTCCATCTACTGTAGCTCTAAGTGACTCGCTCATGTTGAATCGATATGTTCTATATATTAAATCTTTTATTAGCAATCTAATGTTATACAAAATTCAGAACAGGATAGAGTACATCGGAAAGATTATAAAAATTCCCGTAGGAGGGACTTGGCATCGTTTCTAACGAAGCGTCGTATAATTACGGATTAATTTACTAAATCTAGATTTATTTAACGGTCGTGTGATTATTTACATTTTAGAACTAGATAGAAGCATTCTTTTTTTATCTCGTAACATCTTACTACTTAGTTAATCTTACCGGTAATAGCGTTGTCACGTTAATTCCTTCTCATTGTTTGGATTATTAATTAACGTCGTAGTCGATTAGAATCTCCATTAATTGTGATCGTCTAGAAATTTTAGTGTCGACCTCCATACTCAATTAGTCGTGCAAGACATCATATTGCAAATATCTTTCAATTAAATCTCCTATTGCTTATCTATTCAATGGTAAATACGAATTCAAGAACGTTACGACGTTGTTAATAAATTATAAAAGTTTCATAGTTAATAACATAATTTTCTTGATCACTGCCCAACGTCAATAAAATACTTTTACAGAGTCTCAATGCGTCGAATAAGAAGAAAAAAATTCCAAATTCTCTCCCAATGATAATAATACATAATTTCAAGTCTGACTGTAACTTTGATCGAATTACTTACGAGCATGAAGACGTTCTTAAATTTCCCGAAATTACGTATTTCCGTAATTTACCTGAAAATCGTTCATACGACTTTGCAAAGGATTATACATATATAACTATATACGTAATGAACAATCGGCAGGCCCGCAGCCTATACTGAATGTGATGTACATACATATTTGTCAGCACCTGTTTTCATATAAAAATATATAATACTAAAATCAATCTTTTAAGTACTGCATATATACTATATATGTGTGTGTATATATATATATATATATATATATAAAATACAATAGTCAAAGTTTGACAGCATCTTAAATAAATTGACAGCTGATCAAATCGGCTCCGAATGATCAAATGATAAGTTAAACAGGATCAGCTTATGAGATATTGACGTAGATTAAGAAACTTTTAAAATCCATATACCCCTCATTTTCATCGAACGTTAATTGCATTGATGTCGATTGAAAGTAACGTCTAGCACGTAGCATTTACAAAAACGTTACAATTTGATACAACTGATACATCAAAGAATCGATATCCACGACAGAAAAATATTCATCAGTAGATTTAAAAAAGACATGCAATTCATTCGGGGACGTGAGACGAAATTTTTGGCGTCTATTCGTAAGAAATTTTTCTTCAAGTCGTAAAGAAAAACACATTGTGTATTTATATACGTGGAGGAATAACGAAAGACGATGCTCTCTTAATTAATTTCTCTTGCTCGAATTGATTAGATACTTGCAACAGTGTGTGAGCAAGTGCTTCTCGCCGGAAGTCTCGTGCTGCGAAGCCGCAGTCAATTCTCTGGTATAGATGTCAAGACCGTATTGGCCTTCTTCAGGGAAATTAATGGCGAAGGTCACCACGTCGTTATCGGCCACCGAGTGCGACACGTACTTGGAGAGTCGTTTCTCCTCGATACCATTCTTGTGAAGGGTCGCCATGAAGTCGGTTAACGGTCGGGACATGCGGAATTGAATTTCCAATTCACGGCCAGCGAACACCAGAGCCTCCTGAAGGAAAAGAAAGGAATTAAAAAATACCGACACGTTTAGTCTCTGCGCTCTTACGGCAATGATAAGAAATTTTATTAGACAGCCAAACGTTATCGCTTTCTTTTTATTTACCTTTATGAAAATTGTCAAAGAAAATGACTAACCTGATGCGTGATCGGTACCAGGCCAAAGAGTCTGGTTGCTTTTGTAGGTCCCCATTCGCCACTTGCACAATCAGGCAGAGGCACCATGACGGTCTGAAGTTCGTCGCAGGCAATTTTGAATTTACATACACTCTTAAATTTCATTGGTTCACCAGTAAGATATTCCTTTGGCGTGACGGCGTTTGCGAAGATGTCCAGAAGGAAAGCGCCGGAACAAGGTGCGTGAACGCGGAAGGCAACGATATTTCCCACAACCGACTAGAAGGATAGAAATTAATATAATAAAAATTGATTGATTAAAATTTACAAAATGAAAATTAAACTTGGTCATTGTTTGTACAACATCTAAGAGGTGCATAGGAGTATGAAAGAGTTTTATTTACCTGCATGACAAAACGCTTGAGGGATATACCGTCGTAACCGTCGCCATCGCTGTCATAAAATTTAAGATTGTAATGGAAGATGAGAGAAGACTGCATATGTGCTGGCATTGCTATCCTGACTGTTGCTGCCCCCGTGGAATCGGTATACATGACGGCATTGGTATTCGTATCCGGGAAATAGAGTCCGTACCTAAAGAAAAAATGTATTATTCATAAAATCTGAGTAAACTATAATTTTCAAGTTTTTCATCCGCGCAATGTATCGACAAAGACTACTTCAATTTCGTACCTAAAGAAGAGTGACCGCACGAACGGTAACTCCTCGAAATCTTTCAGGGAGATTGGTTGTTTAAGAAGTTGCCAGTCTTCCTGCACGGGGAAGAACTCGTAAATGAATTCTCGTGGATCAGTCAGGAAGTAATGATCATCGTATTCGTACCTTTAAATCAATGCATAAAGATATTAATCGAATTAAAAGAGACGCGGATTTAAGGTATAAAAAATTGTTTCAAATATTTCAAGATATCAATAAGCTATGTAAACACACCTAAGACTGTCGCTCTTTCCTTTAGACTGTCCAGGTCGAGGAACCTCTTTGGCATTGACAAGATGTCGCGCCCCCCAATTGCACTGAACGAATCTCCAAGCGCCGGCAACATAGACGGCGTTCCAGCTGTTTCTAAATCTATTGTCCTCGAAACGTACACCAGGTTGATAACCAGCTGATTTGCTGTATCCTTTGATGACCACGCAGTGGAGCCCAGCATAGCTGAAAACAGGTATTTGTTAAGGAAAAAAAGAAACAGGTAAAAAGATCACATGAAAAACAAGTAAGTAGCAGTGGAACGCGTTAGAGAGGTATTCGCACCAGTTTCACGTTTAGAAGCCAAGAGGAAAAGTCTCAGCAGGTCTGAGAAGAGTCGAACTTAAGCAGAAGGAAGGCTGGCTATTTTTACCAATATGGCGAATGGGTACATCAGGGACGAGTATACTCTCCCGATGGTAAATTGGTCTCACCTGCAGAGTCGCTTGAAGAGAACGTGATAACTTTCCGTGCCGTGTTTTATCCCCCTAAGAAGACCCATGGGAGTGTCGCCACGTAGGTTATCATCGAATTGCATGGTGTTCAAATTTTTCACAGTTATCCATCTGAAGATTGTTCGAGCTTTTTCTATGTCGGAACCGCATCTGCTTACTAGTTGTCGTACCAGGTCGGTGAATGTCTTTTGATCCTCTTGTGCAACCTAAAAAAATTATAATCAATTAATTGTAACAGTCTACGGAATATTTATTTATTATTAAGATCAGTCGTTCACCTTACCGATATAGCTATTTGGTCCATATCAGCAAACTCAAGGGGATCATTGTAGATATGATATTTGGCCAAGGCTGGAGGTTGAGGTGGAGGTGCCTGGGATGGATAGGGCGGAGGTGGCGCCTCCTGGGCATATCCATCTCCTTCGTCAAGGTAAAGACTTTCCTGAAGCATATATTCACTTCTTGCTTCGTTTATCAATTCCAGCATCTCAGAACTCTGCTTCTCGACCAGCGCTGCTGTCGCTGCCCTAAAATATACACAGTTGCGATTTAAAGATGGCGGATGACAAGCAACAAGAAATCACTTTGATATACCTACCTCTCATGCTCCAGCATCTTACGCGTAAGACTCTCCTTCTTCTTATCCCTGCGAAGTGTCATGTTCTTCTCAAGATCATCCTTCTCCTGTTGGAACTGCTGATTTCGTCCTCGTCCACCCCTGTCGCGTTCCCATCGCGCTGATAATCGCTCCAGCTCCTTTTCCCATTCGTCCTGTTAGTACAAAAAAATTATTATAAACAAAACAAACAACTCGACAGATCAATCAATAACACTTTTCGATCTCCTAATTCAATCGGCATCAATTTTATATTCAATTCAGCAAACCGGAAGTGTCTTACGCAAACATGAGATATAGGATACTCTTGATACATAATAACAATCAACATGACATGATTCATATCCGTTACGTATTTCTATGCGTTTCCGGTACTGACCTATGGACTGGAATAAAATCGAAAGAAATTAATTAAATCAAATTTGAAAATACAATCAACATATATAATAAGAATTTAATCACTGATTTGACACCGTAGTACTTTTTTAATTTATCCACGAGTCTTGTGAGAGAATTAAAAAAAATTTCGTTTGACATATTTAAATATGGCGGTTGTTCGTGACTTGCTGGTGAAAATGCCGTTAACGATTTTACGAAGGAACATATGGGGATATGATTACTATAAAATTAATAGAATTGCAATTATCGCACAATGGAGTACTAATTGTCCAACGTTGCTTTGAGGACACGACGTGGGAAGGATTCTCACGTTTCTGATGAGTTTTACAGCAAATATAATAACTTGACGACCAACGTCACACTTACGGTAACTATCGATATTAATTGCTAATAAAGATGGAGGACCGTCTGTTCTTAGAGACGGAAATATATACGCACCCTAAATTCTTCGCGAATTCTTCTGTCCTCCTCCTCGCGATGATATGCGAATTTTCGATATAGGTCATCTTCCTCCTTACGATGTTTCATCTCCAGACGCGTTTGCTCATCTCTGTCCTAAAACACAGAACGATCGATATTTCAATAATACAATATTAAAAAATAGCCAAATCAATTTTTGTAATAAACAAAAAAATAGAAAAAATGTTTACATGTAAATTTCTATATAAAAATGCAAAAAAAATTCAATCTAATCTCAATATACCGAACGTATTTTGTACGTATAATGAATCTTGGAATATTCGCTCATCAATTGATACATGTATCAATAACATTGACTTATCCAATCAAGTTAAATTAATCAAGTTAGAATCGCGACATGAAAACCAGCCAATCGGCTTGTTCCTAATGATCCTAATGACAAGTAATCGCAGATAAAGGTGCCTCAATTTTCACTATATTCTTCGTACGTTGGCAATAGCCAATGAAGCCTTACATTATATTTGAATCTCTTTTTTGACATGTCGATATTTTTTTTGTTAAATGAAAACATGAGGTAAATCATAGCAAGGAATGATAATGTCACTACAAAATGTAAAACGGATAAGATTCCTGTTTACAGGTGATCCGTACGCTGGTAGACATTATACACAAAAGTGCACGAGTACCAAGCAGTCTGAAGTAACGCGACAAACCGGTACATGTAATCGATTGCGTTCGATAAATTTCTGCGGTATCCTCAACGCGACGACAACAAAAATTACGCTCGCACTATTCCTTTTAATTACGTTCTAGTTAATGTTTTTCCGAGCAAAACCGCAAGTTATATCTCGTCAATGTTTTAAACCAAAATAAAAAGATTTAGCTGTCGTAATCACTTTTTGTTAATTATCAATACAGTCTCCTACAGATTTTTTTAATAGAGTCAAATAAAAATTTGTTTAAATCAATTACGACACAAGAAACACACGCGTACAAAAACCTATGAAAATTGTGCATAACAGTTACTTAAGCTTAAAAAATGTTTATACCGTTTCCCTATTGATAAAAAAAAATAATACAAGATACTTTTACGTGTAAAGCACGTCACCGTAATTAACAAAAGGTTCAGCATGCAAGTGGTAGATGGTATCTAATCAAAGAGCAGTGATAACAACTTCCTGGTGGACCGTTAAATATTATATGTAAATTAGAGTACGCACGAGTTCGTCGAACCTGAGAATTCTCAATTACGAAGTAACTTTGAATTGTCTTCGAAAGCAGTAATCGTGTGTATCTACATACTCGTATGATGACGTAGTAACGCAGTAAATATATGCATATATACATACGAATAACACGATACCCGCATCTGAACAAGCAAATGCAGGTGAACGTGCGCAGGTGCGTTATTACAAATGCTTGTCAGTTATGCGGGACAATAGTGAGGTTAGGAACGTCATAATTTTCTAACCGGCAAAACTCACGCAGTGTGCCTTGGATGTACATAGTGAAGTAAATGTGCACTGAATGCTGATTAAAAGTAGAAATGTCATTGATATGCCAGTCCAACTGCAATGGGGTCCAATAGATCGGTGTCGTTGACACATAAAATCTTTTAAATATTGCGTATTTAGATATTAAATGCAGTCAGAGTCAGGATGCAATCGGATAAGAGGCAAAACAAGTCCTATGTTTTTGTTCGGTACTATTTAGTCAGACGATGTGCATGCATAGGTTATATTTGATGATGTACTCCTGCAGACTACTTTTCTAATTTTACAATTACTTTGAAATACGTACTTTATGCAATAAGGTTTATCCATGTCACTGTAAAATGATTTTGTAGGTCGACTGCTGTTTTGATTTACGTCCAGAGACACACTCGGCATAAGCACACAACCAGTTGTAATACATATGGAGAAATAAACTGCATCGTTTAAACTTGTCCCAAGTGCATGACGGGATTGTAACCTCAAATTACATACCCGACCTATCCCATCCGCATGCCGTTCAAGGATTTTATAGAGAATGACTTCACGTTATGACTTCGTGACGCATAAAAGTAACTGCGAAAAAGGTACATCTAGCTCGCCATCTATATTTTAATAGTTCATGTTCGGCGCGCATGGTGAGACTAAAGCCTAGTTCACGGTACTTGAAATTAGTAATGGAAATAATATTACAATTAAATACGTGACAAGTCTTAGTTACAATTTATTAATGTAATTAACATTGCGTACACACGCCACTTGTGAACTCGGCATAATCGCATTTTCAAGATGTCGTCTGGTACTTGCGTGCAAGTTTCATTTATATGACGAACCTGCGTGACACTTGTTTACATTAGATCGCAGTTGCTCGATGAAACTTTCGACAATTAATAATCGAAGGCGAGGTTCTTAGACGTAGGTATTTATTTTATAGCAATAACTTCTACGTCATAAATTTTATTAGAAACATTGACAATTTCGCTATTATTAATCGGCATGAAATATTCGAGCACGTGAGCGTTTATGGTCTGGCGAAACTAAATACTTACCGAGAAACTTCTCTTGGATGAATTTTGTGGAATGAAAAAAAGAAAATTTTTATCAAGTAACGTGCAATGATTCGCACGTGCAATTTTTTCTTAGCTGTATAAAAATTAGCGTAAACATTATAGCTGGTATAAAATGATCACGGAAGAAGGCAGCGTTTGACCATTCGGAGTTCACAGTCCTGACGTCATCACGTCTGAACAATAATTTAATAATTTTTATTATTTCTTTTAATAAATGGAATATCATTAGAAGTTACTATCTTCATAATCTTGTTAAGAGGCAGGATCTCGGCGTGCGTGCATTACAGATATTTCATTAAGCCGGATTCACATGTACTATACAGTAACACGCGAGGCATAGTAGACAGCCGCACATAAAAGGTCTTTAAAACAAAAATTTTCTATATGTAAAATAATTTTGGTCTTTTCAGCAATAACATTTCTTCACCACAAAAAAATATGAAAAATTAAAATCTATTCAAAATATCGTCGATGCTGTACATTTTTATATCGATTCCAAAAGCTATATTGGATTATGATTATTATATTTTTCATTGCAATACAGTCAGGCCAGCTGAGAAACCGAACAAAAATGGCGTCCAAAATGAAAGGAGCCTGATCTCATTGGAGTGTCGCCGGCTCCATTTTGGTAGCAATGACGAAGCTCCGTGACGTAAAATCTCCAAGTCTTGCAAACCTTATAAAGACGAAGGTTCCCGGGTTTTGGAGTGGGACGACCGATATATGCGCTAAGCTTTCATACACGTGTGATACGTGGGATTCAGGTAACACATTGAGGACCAAGTCTCACGTTTCTATTTTTAATAAGACTAAAGCCCCAATGCAGCCTTATAATTCACATGTACGTGCACCAGTAAAATCACAATGCGCGACACGTACCAAAATAACGTATACCACTACCAGACACGAATTTCCAACAAAAAAATAATATTTTCAAAATTCTTCATAATTCTTCCGAACGGTTTTTCCCACCGCAGAAAATAAGGTCATACCTTAAACACCCGCGGAGAGTCCAGTGTCCACGCATTACAAGAGTCAAATGTGCACGCATGTATCAACAGGCCGTGTAACACGTCACACCTGTTCACGTCGAAGTAAAGGAGTGCCGTTAGCTGAAGGCCGCCTTGGTTGACACAGAATTTGTATTGGTTGTACAAACGAAGAGCGAGCCCATGCATAGACATTGAAAACCAATTCAGTATTCCATCTTGCAAAAAATAAATTTTTCATTCATTGTCAAAAATGTCCCCCCAAAAAAAAGACAAGCACCATAGGATACAGTATTGACTGAACGAAATTTTTTTTTTTCAAACCATTCAACACCAATCACTTACAATGATTGCCGTGTGTGACAAGAGAAAAAAAACGAAAAGCCCGATAGACAACAGCTCGTAAGTAACAGAAGAGCATGACCATCGATTACAATAGTCGGCAGTGGTAGATTACAGGTTATCGTTAGTGAATCGATGCAGCCTGTTCCTCAATTGCCATTGTACGTTGTCGTGCGGTAAATCGAAAGGCTGACAGGTATAGCGGCGACAAAAATCGTAGAAGCGTAACAATAACGACGTGGAGTCACTCGGAAGTGAGTTGAGTTGTTTATTATAGGATCGAGCTAAGGATTGTCGTGGGAGATCAGGAACTTTTATTGAAAAACGTGTATCAATGGGGTTAGTGGTTGTTGCACAAGCTGAGTTTTCACCTACGAACATAGCGAAGAACAACGATTGAGTTGCAGTTGGATGGAATAGTAGATCGATCATAATATCAAATATATATATGGTATCTTCCTACGTACAATGCTATATGTACGTAGCACCTTCTACAGAGAAGTTGGTCATCGAGTATATACAATATATAAGTGTTGCAAGTTCGAATCTGTCAGCCAATTAGATGAACTTTGTGAACGCAATTGCTAATATAATATATTCGCAATCGCACGATGTCACGTATTTCGAAATTCTCCCGTGTGCGCAAAGATAAATTAAACCGATACAGAGTGAAACTGACCTTAAGAGACGTAATAAGGTACGCGGCCGTGCGCGATAACTTCTCACGAAACGTATGATTCACGCAACGCGGTAAAAGTGGAACGGAATTTCGATCACAATAAAAGTGATACAGGCGTATAAAAAAAAAAGGTACGACGACTTGGCGACAAATACTTTTCACATCAAGTTGCATATCAAGTACGTTTGTGGCAGTACATTCTATTAGCAGGATGGTAGTATTGAAAAATTTGTGTTATTAAATTCAGTTAGCATGGTCATACTATAGATAATTATAATTCAAGTTTTTATAGTTGTTTACAGACTATATAAAACTTATATAAATTTTAGGTTATGTTTCTAACCGTCCTGGACCCTTGATCATGCTGCTTATATATCTTTCCCTCTCTTATCCGTACACATGCAGTTACGGGCGAAAAGATTAGGAATGCCGAGCAGACACTCGAGGCAGCCCACGGAATGTGTCGAAGCCACACGAATGAGATGGCTGAGGAATAAAAGGTGGTGGGAGGAAAGGTGGATGCCGACGACTCGCCAAGGTCGAAGCTTAAGACCGGTTTCCGGTACGGAGTAGTAACACATAAACTGGGCTCCGTCAAAAGACAGTCTAACCTGTCGCTGCTTATTACTGTGGCATTTGGGCTTCCTTGGGTAAAAAGGTCATAAAAGCTAATAGGTTATTTAAAAAAAATCGTAATTTGCTTACAAAGTTCAATTCAACGTAAATCAATGCGAAAACTTACAATTTTTGCTTTTGCTGTACAAGCATTAAATACGTGTCGGAATTGGAGACTGGTCGAACGACTCTATGATGGTTATTAAAATGTTTAGCAAATTTACGTAGGAAGCGAATGATACCTCGAGTGTGCTAAAGGCAGATTTCTAAGAGACACGTAGGTGTCTGTCAGTCGGTTTTTATTGGATATTACAGAAATGGCGGCAGAACGCAATCTCACGTATATCTATAATTATATCCAAACATAATGGACCGAGACATAATAGATAAACGTTATTTTCGGTCTGATCGTATGTCCATATTATATAACAGTACAATCTGGAAATTAGATTTTTTTGCCAATAAATTTCACTGCCGCAAGAATCACTCGATACAAAGCCACTGCCACGTTGATTTGCCGCATTATGATCCGAAATTATATGAATTTGACAGGACGTGGTACAAAGAAATTTTTTTCACATGTAAAATACAAATTGACAATTATCGAGTAAAAAAATAAACGAGACAAAGATGGCGGCGTTAATGACCGATAGTATTAAAATTGGTTTACGTAGTACGTTACTGACTCGAATCATGCTCATTTTCTTACCTCGAAGTTCGAACCTAACCTCACTTCCGCAAGACGAAAAACCTGTCGACTCGTAATGTCGTTCTTTGGTTTCGTAACGTCGTACGAAAGAAAGTTTACGTAATGGCCGATTACATTCTTCTCTCTTCGTACAGGGAAGCGAGGCTCTCGTGAAAATCTACAGTTTCGGTCGACGACGTCTTGTTTACACGAATCAGCCGTATTCGTCGATTCTCTTTAAAAAAAAAATTAAATTACGTAATACAACCTCATTTTGTTATTATCATTATCTCTGCACTTGAATGCAAAATCCAGTATTGTCAATCGCTCCTTGCGCATGGAATGCATCGATAATCATACTCGATCGTATCTCCTGCACATTTCTGCATATTGAAAAGGCGAATCGAGTTTATAACAACCATATTTATTTTCGTATTATTCACGAAGTCATTGATTGGCTATCGATATTTTTATCAAATTTCTCAGCGACGATCGAGGTCGACAGATTTTTCATTATCGAATATGAAATCAAGTGCAATGAAAAATCGTATCTTTTTCTCCGTACAATTTTTGATTAATATACTATAAATTTATATTTAACAGCATGGGGTAGATATCGTCGACAAAAAAGAAGTACCGTTCGACAGAGGCAAGTAGCGTGTGTGGTAGGCCTGTGTGCCATATATAGGACGTAACCGTGTACAAGAGAGGCATCGGGGCCGTTCTCCTCGATAAATATTCAGCGGCACAATTTCTTCGCCAAATACGGTCCCCGCGACGTCTCGGTTATAACGTAGGCAGAAATACGTGAACTTCAAAAAAAAATAATAATAATCATAGATACCGGCACGCATAACTATATGTCATAACCATACCAATGACTACCCACATGCCTGTGATTAAATTAGTGTAACGAGTAGATACGGTTAAACGTAATCAATCGATGTATTCAGCATCCGCGATGGACCGAGTGAGAAAAATATTTTATCCATTTCCTGGAAGAAATTGCAAAAAAAAAATTCTATCATTCTTTTAATTGCAACGTAAAAGAATTATTTTTTGAAAAATCTATGACAAATTTTACTTTATTACAAAAATCATTCTTCGTTGGTTTAAACCTAACCTTCCCTCGGTCTTGTCTCCGACAAACGACAAAAGCTTTGCGCAATCGTTACGCGTGCCATTATCAGACAGGAAACATGCCGTTTCCATTACGTCCTTAAAGACGAAGTCATCATTTTCGATGACGTTGCCGCGCGTACCGATCCACCAGTGACGACTTTACCGATGAGAATCGGGTCACACTGTATAACCCGTACCTATATCTATACAGTTTGCAGAGCTACATATATAATCGCCTATATGTACCCGTATACGCGCATGTGCGTATGCGCGCGCGCGCGCGCGAGTGTTTATGCATATATTATATATACACACATACGGGCCCACCCAATAAGCACGCACATTCAAACCGGAGATTTAACTGTTTTTACGCAGTTATGTGTTTACGGATATGTACATTATTTACCTGTACGTACTACACAGAGACGATGGCGAATAGAAAGTGTGCTGGAATGCAGACTTCATTCCGCCTTGGATCCAATGGGCCTCGTGAAGAGCGGACGCAACAATGCTGCCATTGTTGTGACTTCTTGAGTTGACAGGAAGGGTAAGGAGAAATAGGAGGGGAAGTGGAGGTCTCATCTTAAATCAACACGATGAACTTTACGCGTATTTAGAAATCGTGTGTTAAAAATTTGTTGATGTTCACAAATTTAGTTTTTTAACCCCACAACAGAAATATTGTAGGTACTCGGAGAATTAAAATCAAAATTTTTTTTGATTCTGTTTGATTACTGCAATAAATTAATTCATAGGTTATAAATTAAATTTGACTGAGAAGCGGATGGCGTGGAACTGCAATAATTTTTCATATGAGGATAAATTGCATGGTTTTTATCGGACATATCGTTGGACGTTGTTTATTAATCGCGAGTGATTTATTGCACGAATCATGTTATCTGATATCTAAGAAAAGAGAATGCCCTTCGTATGGTTTTTCTTTGGTTTGACAATGCTTGGAGTTTAACAACAATAGGGTGCAGTACGGCTTTTGAATTGCGAATGAGGACGAATGTTGTTGCTGTAGATTTTGCTGCACATGGCATATGCGAGTTTGATGTCTTTAAAAAAAATGATTATTGATAGTTATTTATGCTAGCTTTCCAATTGTCGATTTTTATTGTTGTTCCGCAACGGCTCCACGGGTGCTTCCTTATCGTTGGAATAGCCATGCACGGTTGAGCGTTACTACGTTTGGCTATAATTCTGAAGGAGATAATAAAATATTTGACATTTAATTAATTATCATGAGTCTACCTATTTCCATGTAATATGTATCCAAGAAATATTTTTGTAGCGGTTCTTAATGGCAATGGGCAATTATTCAATTAATAACTAGATAAAATCATTAGGCGTTAACGTATAAGTAATTCGGTATAAAATTATGGAGTGATTTAATGAAGAGGAAAAAAAACAGTGCGCTCTCGTTACACTGTGTTATTGTAAACGTGACCTCGTTACGGTTACCTGTTATTACGTCGCGAAGCATCTTTAAAGGAGGTGCAGCTGAGCTCATTGCCAGCATCAATCGTCACATTGTCTCTCGACCGTTGTCTGAATCAGCACGCAACATCCAGCTGTATATTGAAAGGAAGGAGAACGACTTGAAGGCATCCATAATAAGGTACAGAGTTATTACGTAAGATCCGGTGGTTCGTTCATTTTCTAGCCATCAATGGCAAAACCAATATACCGTGGCAATAACGACAATAATTGCACCGGCAAGAGATTGCAGATGAAATTGCATCCGCAGCTGACTAAAAAGTTTTAAGAGAGCAATTAAAAGAATTCTTACTCTCTAAGCAACCAGAATACGCTGGTAGGTCATATGGTGAAAAACAGAAGTAAAAGAGAAGACAAATGTATAACGCGTATATGATATTGGTATTGCTCTTGGCAAAATGTACGTGGGCGATTCAGTAATCACCTTGCTACAAGAATCCAGTACAGTAATACTTTCCGATCTCGAGGAATCGTACATTGCGAAGAGTAAAACATATTTTCTGACATGACGTGCAATCACATTACTCACTGACATAGAGACTGACACGTCCATTGAAGCCTTACACTGTAACATGTTTTATATATGTATTTGTTGCGCAATCATAAACAAAAACTTATACCGGTCGACGACACTTACTTTTGGAAAATGGTATTAAACGTAGTGACGACAGCTTTTATTGGTTGACTTTCGCTGCTATTGAAAATATCACAGGGAAAGAGGACATCGTCGGACACTTTCGCACGGACAATAAATCATTTTCCAGGATCTTACCCGAAGTTACAATGAGACGAATTTGTGGCACGACCTACTCGGCACGTAGTAATCAAGTATCCTTCGTAGTCGTTCAAAGTAATTAGTCTAATTAGCCCGATATTCGCAGAGACGCGTGAGACCGGCGTTGAGGTTACGTGCGTGCGCATGCGCGGCGACGGACTATCATGGTGGATACGTAGCGCATGCGCAGTAGTCATTCCCTAATTAGTCCGTTGAATACGAAAAGAAGTGTACCGCAAGCGGAAATAATTCAACTGTGCATGTATAACCGTAGGTTACATTTCTCCGTGTCTGCACGCGTCTACTACGAACGTTCAAGATTGTACGGAATAGAAGGACTTATAAAAATGGCTCAGGTCGTTTCCACGATAATGATTAAATAATACGCGACATCGTGAATTCCAGTCGTATTATTCCCTGTCTGCCTGTACGCGGTCTGATTGTCGCGCCATATTTCTCATTGAGTAAATATAGTCCCAATGCATCTGAGGAAGTGACATTTTTTATTATCCCGTGCCAAGGACCGTTAACCAATTTTATTTCACGAAATGCCTCGGACGCATCAGCGACCCGTAAACTCATAAAAGATCTAGAGAAGCAAAAAAAAGATATCTTTCATACAGATGATTACACTATTTATTTATTTTTAATCCACGCAACAGTTATCCCGGCACACAGATGGCACTGCGTACGCACACGTGTATTATATATGTATATGCAAAAGTTGATTTCTGAACTCAACAAGATGGCGGCGCTTCCTAATTTCAAGAGCAAGAAAATTACCTTCAGGGCCGCGCTTGCTGATCGATCGTCTTGTTACCTGCTGAAGACTGCAATAAATAATAATTGAAGCTGACTGAACGTAATATCCCGACTCTAAGAGAATCACGTTGCGCTCCTTCTGGTTAATCGTGCCGAAGCGTTACCAAGGAAATCTATCAATTTCAAATCGATTGGAGTAACCGGAAGTTGTAAATTAATGGGCAGTACCTGCTAACTGGATAATTATCGAGTGAACGAAGACATCACGCGAGATCGTTTGATTTTTTTTTATTACTCCATCATAATGATCTATATATATATATATCAGGTATGAATTTCAACTATTTATTTTCTGCCACTGTGCTATACCTATATTGCCATTTTGAATTCCATTCTGTTAACGAAGGTAACTACTATGCCGTGATGATCTATCACTTCATCGTACTACTATTCATGATTATCTGCACAAGGACTAAATTAGATTTCAAGCTGGCAGTGGAGTGAGCTCATTCGCAAACATAGTTAACGTCAGGAATACCTGCTAGGTATCATATGATACCTGTTTCTCAATACGGCGAAGCTCAAAGGAAACAGGATGAAGGTTAATGATAGCGAAACGAATTGTTACTTTGCAATCTTTGAACTCCATATTCGGACATGAGTGAATTAATCATAATGCAATTTTACATGCACAATAAAAATGATAACTAATCATAAGGCCATTTTGCATGTACAGTAAGATTCGTAATTAGAGTCAGGTCGAAGAGCTGTGTCATGTGTAAAAATATTTTTTAATTGATAGTAAACCTATTGACGTATATCTGTCAATACAGTTTTACATTTTTTTTTTACATTTTAATTCATGTTTTTTTGTCATTCTAATAATTTCCTTTTTTTCTTATCGAGCCCGCAAAAGACTTTCAGTCCCTTTGTGTCGATGCCAATAGATAGAACACGTGGGCTGGTTTCTATGAAGCGCAAAAAAGGAACGTTCGCGCGATAATGGACTTGAATAATGTCACGAGACAAAAAAACCTTGCCAGAGAATCAGCTGTGTTCAAATTAAAATCCAAGTGCCTCTCGGGCCTTCCCTGGGTCGAACCTCGCTAGAATGTTAACGAGTCGATTAACCAGAAGATTTGTATATCGATCCGTTCACACGATTCGATAGGTTATGGCGGCACTTTAAAATCCTAGAGTCGCTGGCGGATACACGAGAATTGAAAACAGCTTTAAAATGCAAACTAACAGTACAGTCCAAGTCAAGGTTCGGAAAGTACTAGTCAAAGGCATAGCCGTCCATTTTGTTAACTAATATTGCCAGATACATTCGACATGATGACAAATCGAATCATTAAAAAATTCGCCATTGCCATAAGAATCGCAAATAAAAATTTTACATATTTAACCGCCAATTTTCAAATTGACATTCGACCATAGAACCTCGCGGAACCATGTGAAGTTGCGCGCGCATGCGCGTATAACCCGGTAAGGATCAAGACAGTCGACCCGTGAGAATACTCCATAAAAATAGTGATTTCAGTATTCAGGGAAAGTACACTCTCGCGCATTGTTAAGTTTAAAAGGAAAAGAAAAGAAGAAAAAATAGGTAAAAGTACAAAACACCTAAGATTTACGTATAAACAAGGGAAAGTTCGTGTCCACGTTAAATTAGAAATTTCATCATAACTTATCTCTTCGATACACTCGCTATGTACCTTCTTCCAAGCCATTGTCAACATTCATTCATACATTGATATACATTGATCAAACGTTCGTCCTTGCGTCACTACCAACGTATAAAAATATGCTTAGGTATATTACACCACAGACACGTATACCAACCGTAGTTTGTAAAACGTTTTAAAAAATATTCATATCTACGTTGCAGAATTTATATCATCCCTATACAAGAGGACTGACTCCATTACTTTTTTATTTAAACCGCAGACCAACAAAGAGAAACAAAACAGTGAAACGCACATAGCGATACGTAACGAATATCCTGCATCCACCGTTGGATTTGTCGTTTGAAATTTTAAAGCGACGTAAAGAAACGGAAATCAGTCTAGCTTCAAGACAAGTAAAATCCCTTGGGAGTCCAACGAAACTTTCCAGTTTCTCCAATTGCATTCTCAGCATTGAGGGGTAAAGAGAGTCAGAAACTGGTGTACACAATCCACGATGCAAAGTGCGAGGACGAAGATGGTAGAGATGGAAGAAAACGGAAGAGAGAGTTTCGAATGTACGAAGATATACAAAGGAGAAACGCAGAGTACATATATTGATACAGTAGAAATACAGTACATAAGACAGGCAAGCTCTGGAGCGTTTCAGTGTATAAAGCCATTCACCCCGTTCGCTGTCATAATTCCGGAAACCGCCAAGCGACATGGCTGGATGGTAAAGATTGTATCGGCGTTCAATATGATTGGGCAATTCTTTCTGACTGGTTGAGAGAAAGAAGAAGAAAAAAATCCTTAAAAGGAATGATCAATTAGGACATTAATATGGGAATTTAATGAAGAAATGAAAATATGAATTCGCTAAAAAAATTTTATATGTAATTAATTATCGTATAGGTATAATTAGCGCACGATTAATTAAGCTTGAATTATTATTCGAGGATGAACGGAGCTCTAGGATCATACGTACTCCGTGAGTGATCGACGATCAATACCAAAAGTCCAGGTCATTGTGCCGAAGGTGGTTAAGGATCGTCAAGAGTGACCGGACAAATGAAAGTTCTCCCTGGTAAACCAGAAACCCAGAAACACAGAAAGATCCGAACTTCGTTTGCTGTACGGGCATGGCATTACTTGGAACGTTTTCGAGGTGTCTACACGCACCTTGGACACGGGAGTGTAATTCCTACTGGAATATAAATGAGCGAGGTAAGCACGTGGCGGAATACAAATCGAAGACCTTCTTTTATAGGTTAACCTTAAACTTGACTGTTGCAGTCTCATTCGAGAGGATCTGTCTAAGGGAATATTCGATTAATCGAAAAGCTTTACGATGGGAGATCGACATTTTCAGAGGGTATTACTGGTTGCATGTTGATTTGAAAAAAAAAAATAGTAAAATTAATAGTATTTTTTAGAATTATGATTAGCGATTAAAAATTGATTTACGGATTTATGGCAACTTGAAATTTTTTTTTTTTTCAAGTTGCTACTTACTTATTGCTTATGATGTATTCTAGAATTCTAACGCGGAGCCACTGTACGACTACTCGTTAACAATGGTTAATTGCAGCTTTGTCCGATTCGCCGTAACGCACAATGCAGCAGCCTCAAGTTTGACTATAATAATAGAACGGCAAGGAATAATTAGCACTGTTCCAGGTAATGCTTGGGCGAATGTTAATTAGCTGGCGCGAATGCCATACCGAAGAATGCTTTCGAAGTGTTGCTTAGTTTTGAGAGTAAGGTGGGTGGTGGTATGACTGTCTTTGAGAAAATGACCGAGAAATTCAACGAGACGGAAACAAATTATTTGGCTGAAGCTGAGATGGGAAATAAAAAAGTTTCTGATATTCGTAGATTGTTTACAGTGAATTGATGTGTATACAAATTTTTTTTTTTAGAGATCAATTGAAAGTATATGGAAATTTTGATTTTGAAAAGATGAACGATATAGACGTTGGAAAATTATGCATTGTTGTTGTTCTTATTATTGTTGTAGGCATTACGATTTTTTTCGATTGTATCATTTATCTCGTGCTCCTTCTCGTAAAAGGTCACAACCTGAAAGGTAGGAATCCTGGAGTCCTTGGAAAATCGAAAAACAGGTCCTGAGCTCACGCAGAAGCCAACACGAGTGCACTGGGCCATCGTGATAAATAAAACGGAACATTCCACTGTGCGAATACAGGCGGCTGGTGCACGGTACAATTTAAACTGCAAAAATTTCCGAGATCGTACAACGTTCGAAGCTCGAAAAATCGAGGTCGATTGACAACGCGTACGTAAATTAAACGACGATTGACAATTGTCTCGCCGGATGAGCAAGAGAATGGAGAAGGAAACAAAATTTAGCGAAAAAAATTAGGTTTGGTAAACTCAACGAATCTAATAAAAGTATTATCTACGTAGTAAATATGTGGGACTTATGGAACCTGCATGCGTGAAACCGGAAGTGCAGCGGAGCGTGAAGTTTCCCCTGGACGATCCCGTAAGCTACTTCTGACTTTACGGTTATAAATCACTTTACAATAGTCTGGCGGTGCGCGATGCGCTGTAATCTAATTTTGCCAGCGAATGCGTGAGAACGCGATACATGTGCAATAGGGTTTTTTTTTTGAAGAAAATAAAAAAAAATAGCAAAGACTGTGTTCCAAGGAAGAAGGGACGGATGGTACCTACCAAAATCAAGACGAAAACAAGATGGCGTCCAAATTGACAGACGTGTAAAAAAATGCGCTAATACGTTGTTTACGAAAGTGATCAATTACGTTTAAACGGAGAAAGTAATCGTTCCCGCGCAACATTTAAACCACACGATTATAGAAGTAATGACGACAGCATAATCGAGCATAAGTTTCAGCCATAGACTTTTTGTTAGTTCGAAGGAAGAAAGAAAGGAGAGCGGTCGTGCTCGAGAGGGTTTGGGGTTTACTAGTTCCGGCATTCTCCGCTTGGCGCACTGCGCGCCATCCATTGAGCTATATTAGGCGGACGAAAATAATTGTGTATTCCATGATTTTGATTCTCGTGGGAAGAACTGGTAGGAATGTCTGACAAGGTAGGGATCTTGAACAAGAGAACCCACGTATGCAGCCAACGAGGCAACACAGCCCAGTCCAGCCAGTCAGAGTCAGCGCAGTCATTTTTATATAAGGTGATTAGATTGGCATAGGAGAACCGGACGATGACGTCACTTCACTGTCGGTGACGAGAAACGTCGCTTATAGAATTAACGCTTTTTTATCATGCTAATACGGTCAAGCCGGGAATTCGCTGGTACAATTTTTCAGTTGCACAAATCGCATCTTGATTCACGTATAAACGACGTTGATTTTACGAATTAAAAATTTCGATACTATAAAATTGTACGTGGATACGTATACAGAAAATATAGATTTGAATATATCGTATAGTAATAACAACGATATCAGCGCCGCTCGTCGAGCAATAAACAAATTAAAGTCTATCTTTTCCACTAGTTTCCTTTCTTCTATACACATAATTAAATTTCTTCCACTTTTTAATCATCCTTTCTCGTAATTTCATGCAATCAGACGAGATCGGCATGCCTCTCTTTTGCAGTGACCAGAAATGAATCACAGGAATGCATTTTTACGGCGGTTAATTAAAATTCAAAAATCAATAACGATAATCAATCATTGGCGATCGATGAGCGTCGAGATTCTCTGCTTAAAATTTTCAACTGAATAGATCCATATTGAAATTTCACTAAATAGAACGCAGGATCGATTTATATCTCGGCGAAGAACGCCAATAGCATTTGACGCGACACCTGTTCATAAGTTACCACAGAAAAGTCGATCCAAAAAACGTCACACCTATATGCGCGATGAGAATATCAAAATAAAATCACATAATGAATATTAAAATTTCGCTAAAAAAATTCAAACCGCATTAAGCTAAAATCAACAGAACCTAAAATATCACTGAACAAACTACACGCAGCTGGTCGATTCGAGTTTAAAAAATATTATAGTCTTCGATCATCGGCATTTTAATCGACATTCGTCGTTAACGATACTAAAGAAAGAAAAAAGAAAAAGTAGCATCCGGTTCGATAACCTAACCGAGTGCTCATGGGAATTCCAATCAGATATGTAGATCACTCGTTCACCAGACGTACCACTATTTATTTCGATAAAGCAAGGTGCAAATTAGATCGTCGTACCGGAAATTATAGCTGCCATCCAGCCGCGCCAATGATAACAGTACGTGATATATAAGAAACAATGATAACAATTTATGGTACCAACTTACCAAGTAGTAGTCGATGGGTTTTTCGCGTGCTTTGCTATATCCCTTTTGTAGTTCAGTTTGCTTGAGGGCGTGAGCGATGTGAAGGGCGCTGGCGTCGAATCTGCCATACTGATAACCATCCCCAGAGTAATTGTGATTGTAGGGGGACGACGCGCCACCAGGACTCGTGTGAAAATCTCGATGAGACGAATTGACCGGAGGCGGTGAACCGTGGCCATTTAAGTGTCTGGGGTAATTCGGTGATTCCACCTGATCGTATCTGTAGCAGTCAAGAAAAAAAAAATCGATAAACGACCGACCATGAAAAAATTTTTAAAAATAAATTTTGTAAAAAATATTTTCTTTCTCTTAGGAAACCGAAAGGGTACTAAATTAAAAAAAAATAGTTTTAACCAAAAAAAAAAAATAGTCACGGCTGCTCAGACTGCGATTTCCTTAAATAAATGTCATTTATCTTCTACAGATTTCAACCCATCCATCTTCCTACTCGAAGAACCACGTGAAATCTTGCGTGAACAAATATCTCAATGCTCGAATGCACAGCGAACACTTTTACTGACTCGAACCAGTAATCGATCCTGCAATCTCATCGACTCGTCTGATCTATTCAAAGTTTCAAGATTCTTTCACAACGTTTACGCAGCTGCAGTTAGGTGTATACATGTACGCAGGTGCGTACTGACCTTTAGCTTACATATTCTCACGCAAAGACGCCATGAGCACAGTTCTTTTTTACTCCGAGTTTTAACCAGTGCATTAACTCCCGTCTTGCATGTCCAACTTGTGCAAGTCACCGTCGAACCGTGAGTTTCTCATCAAACGTCATATCAATTCAAATTAACAATAACGCACGCTGTACCGCTAAGATAAACATTGAACCTTCGTATGACGTGTACACGTATTACAGTGCTATTTATAAAAAGAGTCATTGCATTAGGCGCGTGATATAAGAAATAAAAAAAATAAACAATCACAAGCTTATTTACCCAGGTGGATAAACACCTCGTGGCGATGCGCCTCCAGCCCTGATTTGTTCATTGACGTATCCACTTCTGGGTACGTTCAGCGCACTTCGTATTCCCACGCTGGATCCATCGAGAGTACCTGGACCAGGTTTTGGCACGTGACTGCTGCAGTAGACTTCCTTGTCGTTAATCGTGTGCTGATTGTTGTAATATGTCTTGAGGGTCAACTTGGTACCGCAAATAGCGCATTTGAAGCACCCTGCGTGAAAGAAAGTGAAGTCCTTCAAAGGACCCACCCTGTCGACTTGATAGACAGTCTGTGCACAGCGCAAGCACGTGCTCTCGTAAAAGTTTGGTCGGTACATTGTTTCCTTCTTTTTTTTTTTTTTTTCTTTATTTTCTGTCTGTTAAATCACACAAGTGAAAATCCTTTTCTCTTAGTATTTTCTTTTCGCCCTTCCTTATCCTATGTCTTGCGTGACTTTTTAACAGCTTCTGTCTATTACGTTGACGAGCCTGGACCTACTCGAGCATCTTTGAACCTGGGAATTGAAAAATGTGGGTTAGACCCTCTTTTTGGAAAATAATTTTTAAATTGAATTCGGAATCTAATAAAATCGACCCAAGAGCAGCGATTGAGGCCACGTTGGATCTCGTGCCACGAAAACTAGATTCGCTCGTTAAACGTGGGAAAGCGGTAAATATCAGCAGTTTATAAAAGGACGATAGTCTTGTGTTATACTTATGAGAATTTTCTTTCGATTGTCTGCAAGTGAAATATCATCCATTAGAATTAATTGAAAAGACAAAGATAACATTCGTGATTAAGAAATTTTTTTGAGCTAACAAATTAATATTTTCTTTTTATATGACACGTAAGTCGAAAAAATTCTTATATCTTTGTCTTTGTATTTCTTTTTCGAATTTCACTTCATATGTACAAATTCGCTAGTCGATATTACGACGAATGGACGCGATAGAGTATGACGTCACTGACGGGAAGTGCGAATTACGTAAAGTAACGAGCAAAGCGTGATTTGGTCTATGGAATGACATTTTCGTAAAAAAAAAAAAAAAAAAAAAACGTCATTGCAATTAAATTTAGTCATTATTGCAGAATAAAATTTAATCCTGTACAAATTTTCACCTCCAATCGTGACTGACCGGAAAAGGATTACATGAACGGGACGTAAAGAAAACTAAAAAAAAAAAAAGAAGTCGAGCTCAACAAATCTAACGACCCTCGTAAACAATCGTGACGTGCGTATAATTAACCGTGCGCCAGTAATTAGCGTTCTTTTTTTTTTTACGATCATTTCGTACTAAACATTGACACTTTTAAGGAGAGGACTCTTGGCGAATTTCTCACGTCACGTGGCATAGCAATGGTTTTAGTCGATTCTAATTCATGGAGATATTGTGATTTTAGCATTAAAAAAAATAATATTTATTATTGTCGATTTCACTTATTGTTATTGTAAAATATTGCATAAGAAACTGAAACCGCATTGGAACGCCCTGCTCGGCTTTCTTTCAATGCTACTGCGGAATCCGGTCTGCCGTCTATCGTTTGAAGAAAGCTTGGAGAATTCTTTAAGGACAACAAACGTGTACTACGTACATAAGAACGTAAACCTGTAAGATTCTCGCTGAGAATTATCCAAATCATAATAAGCTAGACGGTGAAGATTTGTCACGACGACTCACATAATTCATACAATCACGACTCGTACAATTCATTGGCACATGACGCGTGACTAAGAAAAAAAAAATGTAGGTAAATATAGACAAAAAAATAGCACTCAACATACCTCCGAAGAAGATTAATGCGTAGAATCCGTATTCACAAATTACGTATATGTATACGCTGCTTGATCACGTCAGTATATACGGTTAGGTGTGAAAAGGTTTATGAAGAAAAATAAAAATGATGGAAAATAAAAACAATTCCGCACAAGAAAACTCACTGCAACTATTCTCACACCGGAAAAAAAAAAAAAAACTACCCAGCAATTTTTGGGTCTCGTTTGCACTAAACGAAGGGAACACCTGTTCCTTCTTTGGCACTTGGTTCCAAGGACACGAGTGTAGGAAGGTCTCGAGGAGGCGAGCTCTCTTGTTCGCGCATCGAAATCCTCAAGTCAGGGGGCCACGCGGCCCACTATTCTTGCAAGTTAACTTCGTTCTCAGAATGAAATCGTGGTGAGAGCAAATCGGGAGAGTTCTTGAACGATCGGCCAGCTTCGATTGACATGGGCACAGAGAGGTAGGAGAGAACAGAGTCTATTGGAAAGGGATAGACTAGAGATAAGTAGACACGAGGAGTAGAGAGAGAAAGAGAGAGAAAGAGGCCGAAAATAAAAGAGAATTGAAGAGAAAGAGAGAAAAAATAGGAAAAAAGGCAAGGAGATAACCGTATCGAGTCTTGAGAGAAATCGCCGGACTTTTCACTCGTCATTAACTTTATTGACGCGACGGAATTCTCGTTGTATTTAACGAATTGCCGATTTTAATTTTCACGAATTCTACGACTATGTCCCTTGATCGTGTTTTCGAGAAAAACCTACGAAACACCTTGCTCGAGAAACGATCCGGCACGGCTGTTTAACACTCGCGGCCAAACCGGTAATACCACCTACTCGCTCGAGGTCCTGCGACCGTCTGAGCATCGGAGAACGGCCATCTTGGTAACAGTTGGCGCCAGTAGCGCTTCGCGTGGAGAACGTTGAAGAATGGCAACTGGATCGGGCCAGGCGATCGGAGAATACTCTCTCCGATTTTTCCTTACTCTCTTATAGCTTCTCTTATGACATTTACTATCGCCGAGAAAAAGACTGTTCGTATTGTTTTTATTAACGATTGTCAGTGTTCGATGGTTCTTGAACGAAATTTATAACCGCAATTTATGAAATATACAACGAAATAATTATTCCTTTATTTTGTGTTTTTTAGAACGCAGCGCATTTTTTTTCTAAGCTGATAATAATTCATGGAACTTGTATCTACTCGAGTAAACTATGTGTTTGTACTGATAAGTCACGCTAATGAGACTTTTGTTTTAATAGATAAAGATTCGAAATCAATGAATGTTTCCATAGTAATTAGTCTTGTTATACCTGTAAAAGGATAAAGTCGTTAATAACGACATCGTAATGAGTGTCTGAAAATGTTGGGGTTGGTATCCAATCATTACAGGGTACAGTGTTCTACATTATCGGCTGTGATATACAGGTGAGTATTGGGGGGCGAGTGGGACCCTGTTCTACTCGGGCTAGCTCTACACGGTACTGTTAGAAATTATGGCATCCGAAAACGGACACAAATCAGGCACTCAGCAAACCCCCTACACAATCCACGAAATTCGCTGCTCTACGATACAACGAATATTACATCCATAACATCAAAAACACCAAAACTTGCCAAGCGTTTTGCATCCAAACAACTTGAAAACATATATCCGCTATGCATGCAACTTATAGCAAATATAAACTATAGACATAAATATCCAACATACACTACGGTTTCAATATCTCGAAAGAATGGTGAACAACGCGGAAATATAGAAACTTACACTCTGCATAAATACGCATAAAAAAAAGAATACTCATGAACGCCCAAGAAAACTCCCAGTTGAAGCACCGCGGTCGATGGCCCATTCGCAATATGTATATATAAAAGATATAATATAAGTAAAATTCCGTAACTGCATGTATTATCAATAAACACACATTTACTACTACTACTAAAAATCAGAAAAATTACAAATTTATAAGAAGAAATATTATTATATCACCATTTTTATATCGAGTAAGCAACATTGATCAGATGTCACGTAATATTATGCATTTGAATATCTTACAATTAGTGATGTTTTTTATTGGATATAACCTTATTTAGACGTTTGCAACTATTTTTAGATATTTCATAGGTATTCATTTCTATATGGGTTAATTAAAATGAGTTGTATAAAAAATAAGGGATTGAAATATTATTTATTTTAATTTTTGTTTTGAAAATTTCCAAAGCTTGTATCACAAGGTGGTTTGGTACAGTCTTACAAATATGATAGATCAAACTCTTTCACTGTACACTGTACGAATTTTTCTTTTATATTGTTTCTTTAAACAAATGGCATTGTGACTTGTGAAATTTTAATTGTCTCGCGTTTCCGGCTCATCGTCATATGCGGCCATGATTTTCTCCATAATTTCCCAGAGCTTGTTTCTTGTCAAGTCTTTGCAAAATACCTACAATATTTCATGAGATTGATTTATAATATTAATAAATATAATAATGCCTTTTACAAGGTAGTATTCATTGGTACTTGTTTCCTGTACTTACATTGAACCATGGTTGTTGATCACACTCATCCATTAAAGGTACAACTACACCATAAATTTGTAATGATAAATTAATGCAAGCTATTGCTATTAAATTTGATGGGTAATCGAGGATAGCTGGAGAATGATGGAAGTCTTGCAGAAGTGCCATACTGGTCTTTGATACAGGATATTTTGACCATTCCTCCTCTCCGAACCAAGCTTGCAGCGATCTTAGATAATGAAGCATGTACTATGAAAAAGAATTAAATAACATATTACATAACGATAGCTTATGTAACACAAACTTTATACAGATATGCTAAGACAAGTTGCACAACAAGTTTTACCTTGTGGGGATGATCAGGCATTACTTGGAACTTGAGCATACGCATAATCAGTAATTCTGCTTGAACAATTGCATCACGCATGCTCCAGTACTGATCACCTAATTCTAAGGGCTGTGATCCTCTGTGCAAAGTATTGTGGGAAACATTCATCACGTCTCTAATTTTTAAAGGATCGTCTTTCACTTTCCCAGCAAGGTAAAGACATGTTGAACCTATTAGCTGTTAAATGAAATGAAAAAATGTGAATGTTTAATGAAAATATTAATATATTATCCCTGTTGCATTCACATATTTCTAAAACTTACATAGCAGTCATATCCTTGCAGTTCCGCTTCTTTGAAAAACCTATGATATAAAGTTGCTGCTGTAGCGATCGTCAATGGATGAGCATCTAATTTTAGTCCTGCAATAAAGTATTCATAGTAAAAGAGTTCATTGAAAGTATAATCAACTAAAAGAAATTTTCTATTTACCACATTCGAATATAAACCTCGATACAGTGAAATTGTCATTAGCTTTTGTGTAATCAATTGTAATACTTTTTTGCAATGTATTCCTTTTCTCTCGCTGCATAGCTAAGACATCAATAACGTCTTTCATTTTCGAGCTGTACAAAAAGAATACATAATATTCAATAAACATCTTCTTAATACATCATTGTATAGCACAACATAATAAATTCTTCTCTATCAATATCCACTCGGGACTTTACACACGAAATGACATATAGGTTATGTATTACGCTAACCTCGTAAATATACAAGACAAATCTTAACTGTTACCTTAACGCTTCATTAGTTATCGGCTCCGTGGGATTCATTCTGAAACAAATCGATATTCCAAACTTAATGCAATTAAACCAATTAAAACACAATAGTATCCACGCTCATAAATCTGATTTTGTTTATACTCGTACTTTGAAATAAGTATAAAGCAGTATAGAGAAACAAATTCGGCATGAATTAAGAAGTTGGTTACGCAGCGCCCCTAACGATCCATATGCAAACTAATAAGCGTCATCATAACATTACCAACCAGATTGCATACACATTGACGTAAAAACAATAAGTTTAAATGACCTTAGATAACATCAAATTATAAAATTACAAGCAACGTAATAGTAATTTTAAACATAAAAAAATACAGTATGGATGTATAGGGTATCTTACCCGCCATCACTTCTTTCTTGATTAATTCCAAGCATAGATATACTCTCTTGGGCATCCAGACTCTTCAAGAGAGATGGTTCGCGTGACATTACGAAAATGAGCTAGTACCGCACGCCTGACATCGTTAAATAATTACAATACGCATAGATCAATGGTAAGGAAAAATGTAATCACTTTGATCCTTATCGAGTATCAATTGATTATCCCACTGATAACACAGCACCTATGGATAATTGACGTCACATCAAGTCATGTAAATAAGAAAAATAACAGAAAATAAAAAGATTCGTCTGGACTTTGAACCCCTCTACTGTCTATTAAAACTCTGCTCACCAAAGCTGCTGTTTAGTGACACGTTCGTTGCGAATTAAACATCATGTCTGTTGCGACCAAAGGTACGTGTGCTTTTTTTTTACACTAATTTGAACGTTGGACTTAGGAGAAGTTTTTCCACCCTCCCATTTTTAGTTAGACTGATTTAGTTGAGATTACTATTTGATTTTGTGGTTAAACGATCGTTTAGGATTTTTGTTACTTGCTTTTAATGCCGATATTGTTATAGATATTATGAACACTGTGGTCTAACTGTTTATCAGATATGTTAATAATCCTGATTTAAGTATTTCTAGTTAAACAATTGAATATAATGGTTGGAAGATGCTTGATTGAAATAAATGATAAACGTTTATTTAAGGTGGTACTTCAATTTTTGGAATAGCATTTTCGGATGGTTTCAAGATTTTTGGTCTTCGCGTTTTGAACGTTAAACTTCGAATATATTTTATCTTAAAATGAATTATTGCGAGGTATAATTATGTTTCGAGATTTATTGACTTATTGTTAAGTAATTGTGATATATATTGCTAAGTCACTGTGTCACAGGTCTATGACTTAAACTCAAGCGACCTTTGCTCAGACTTACATAAAAAGCATGGGACCCTAATTTTCAGCCATGTTTGTACTTAATAACAACACTGACGTGCTAGATCATTTTTATATATGTACATTGATCATGTCTGCTGGACGGTAATCACGAGTATAGGAATAAATATTTTTGGAGCACTAGAATGTTACTTTTTTTTAACACTATTGTATTGCTAGACGTGTGAAAAATAAAGTTTAGAAGTATTGTTGTCTTGTAACAGTATAGTGGGGGAATCAAATAAATATACAAGTATTTGCTTACAGGAATTTTCATCGTAGCTGCAAAGCGGACCCCATTTGGAAAAATGGGTGGTCTGTTTGTCAATCAAAGTGCAACGGATCTTTCAGTAGTAGCAGCAAATTCTGCTATTCAAAGTATAGGATTAAATCCTGAAAAAATAGACAGTGTTGTATTTGGGCATATAATGAATGTATGTAATCTGAGATATTTTGAAAGAGAATTTATTTATTGAAATCGACCATGTAAGAGTCATTGCACTATTCTATTTATAGGCTTCATCCAGTGATGGAGCACTGTTACCTCGTCATGTTCTTCTGAAAACAGGCATACCTGTAGATAAACAAGCCTATGCTGTTAATCGCTTGTGTGGATCGGGCTTTCAGTCAATTGTTAACGGAGCACAGGTAGCCATTTTAATTTTCAGTTATATTATCAGTATATAACTAAGTGTATCTTGCAAGTATTCTTACAAGTAATGTAATACAAATTTTTGGATTTTTAGAGCATATCTATCGGAGAATCTAATATTGTTCTTACTGGCGGGGCTGAGAATATGAGCCAGGCACCGTTCATTGTTCGAAATGTTCGATTTGGGACAATATTAGGACAGAAATATGATTTTGAAGATTCTTTGTGGGTGGGATTAAGCGACTCTTACTGCAAATTGTCTATGGGTGCAACAGCTGAAAAGTTGGGTGCAAAATATGGATTGAAAAGAGAAGAAGTTGACCAGTTTGCTTTGAGAAGTCAACAACTTTGGAAAGCAGGTGCTCCAAAACTATATATTAATTCTACAGTTTGGACGAATAATTCTTAATAAACAGACCAAGTAATGAACATATGATGCCTTAGCTCATGATGCTGGTCGCTTCAAGGCTGAATTGGCGCCTGTAACTATTCCAAAAGGGAAAAAAGAAATTGTTGTTGACACTGACGAACATCCACGTCCACAAACGAAGATCGAGGATCTTACAAAGCTCAAGTCCATTTTCCAAAAAGATGGACTAGTGACGGCTGGTACCTCGTCTGTGAGTTTTATTTAATCTATTTGTTTCATTAATGATATAACCGCTATCTATATAGGCCAGTGAATTACTTTAGGTTTACAATCTAATCTTCTTCTCTCTATCATATATGTTCATTCCTCTTAGAAGAATAAAATACAGCTAATCTAGTTTCTGTTCAAGTAATGAAATTTATTAAAGCTGTTGTTACGTAATGATTATTTAGGGTATCTGTGACGGAGCATCAGCTGTTATTCTTGCCAGCGAGGAAGCTGTCAAAGCTGAAGGTTTGACACCTTTGGCACGTTTAGTTGGATACAGTATTGTTGGAGTCGATCCCAGTATCATGGGCATTGGTCCAGCGCCAGCCATCAAGAATTTGCTCAAAGTGACTGGAAAGACGTTAAACGATGTCGAACTTGTTGAAGTAAGTAACATTTTTATCAACGATTCTAAATCTGTTGAAATCGTCGTTCATAAATGTCTCCTTTCTAATACGTCCATTTAACAGATCAATGAAGCATTTGGAGCACAAACTGTAGCTTGCATAAAAGATCTTGATTTGGATATTAACAAAGTGAACGTCGATGGTGGAGCCATTGCTCTTGGACATCCACTGGGAGCCTCCGGAAGCAGAATTACTGCACACTTAGTATATGAACTCAAGTAAGCATCACTTTATAATCAAATGATTACTGATGTTTATTCCATTCAAAGCTTATTTTTATGTAATTTTTACAGGAGAAGGAAGGCCAAACTGGGAATTGGATCTGCTTGTATTGGAGGTGGACAAGGAATTGCCTTACTCATTGAAGCGCTATAGAAATTAGATGAATTGAAGTAAAAAAATATTGTTGTTTAGAAGTCTGTTATGAGATCGTATGGTATTTATGCATAAAGTGAAAATAAGTCGCGAATTAAGACATACTATTAATTACAATGAACCATGTCCATTAAAATTATTTTTATACATGTACTTCCTACTGAAATAATGGTATATTCTACATATAATATTTTATTGTATATTTTTATATGCTGTGCCTTTTCTATGTATGAGTACAGTATTTAAGAATTAAGTCACATGTCTGAAATGTTGTTGAGAATAAACAATATGCTTTCTGTTAACGGAGAATATTATACTTTGTGTGATCCTCAGAGCTTGGTGTTCTGAATAATAATTTCTTAACATTACAGTGAATGCTCTTTGGTCAGCTGTGAAATACATAATCTTCAATAAAATACCAAATATTTGTATGGTCTTTTAATGATCTGTAGAGGTTTTTAAAACGGTAAAAAGTGAATAGGACACTCGTAAAATCTGGAAAAAAATGTTTGACTACCAGATCAAGAAATCTAATTATTTTATTATTAAGATAAAAGTCTTAGTACTGAATCCCATACCAGTTTCCGGCAACCCATGGAAAACTATATTTCCATCACTCTCGCACACGTTGTGGTTCCCAGTACTGGTATAGAGGTTCAGTATTGGAATTTTTTACTTCAAATACTTACTGCAACAAACGTTTCTAAAGATAACTTTAGTAATTTTCCAGCAGTCAGGATGACTGGTCGACTTGCTCTTAGCATTACCATTTGTAAAGCTTTTTTATAACGTCGATTATGTTCCCACCAATTCGACGTGAAAGACATCCGCAGGACACTTTCGCTCTAAAAATATTTGTAAGACTCAACGTTCTGCCATGTGTGTTTGACTAAATCTTGCATATTGCAATTTGCTTATGCGAAATTTACAATACAGACATTCGCGAATATATACCTACCCGCATTGCTACATATTCTATGCGATTGTAATGGAAAATTCATATTACTTTTATTATTTTAGATAAATCGACTTACTTGAAGCCACAATTCATTTCCATGCCAGCAATAGATAAAAATTTGATATACCATACAACAAGTGTATGCGACTGTTCCAAGTATTTCCGATGGAACAAATACAGTTGTCTGTGAATCAAAAATTTACATTGAAATCAGGAATAATTCAGTACTGCAAATTATCAATACAAAATGCATATTACCTGAGACATGTTAAAAGTCGTTAAGCAAATGATAACACAGTTTGCAAGAAATTGCAAGAAAATCGCTGTACCGAAAAGCGATTGAATTTCTTTCGAAAACCTGCAATTAATTAATAAAATATCAAACATAATTAAAAGAAAGAAAAAATTACACAATATTTTACAAACAACTAAAAATTACACTCACTCAATAATCTTATTGTTATGCGCGATGCACTTTCTCATCTCTTGCCAGACTTTATTCTCGTTATCTTCAACGTTCGTGACGTTAATTTCATTATGGGAAATTTTACAAAATTCATGATTAACGTTACTCCCAATCGTAATGATATTGGTCTTCAACAATTCAAATTGACAACAAGCAACTGTTATCAGACCCGTGATCAAAGTATCCATCGCCACGTTGTGGAAACATCCGCTTATGACTCCAACAGTTTGTTGAAGAGTAATCAATTCGAATGCTGGCGTATTTGTTACGTTGAAAGGATACCAGAGTGGAATTGGTAAACGTTTCATATGTTTTATAATTAGATCTGATATTGAAGTAAAAACCCAACAGAGAACAGCTACGGTTCCAAAGCTTTGATATGCGACATGATGAAAAATGCCTTTCCAGGTATATTCATATGCGATAAATTTAAATCTCTCGTTATTTCTGGTAAATAACTCGTCCTGTAGACTATCCAGAAGAATCTGAATTGACTTCTGATGTCGAAGCATGACGACAACCTTTGGAAATAATTTTCTATGAATCCAATAAGACTGATAGATAAGTAAACCAATATTTTTCACACAAACGCACACCCTCGATCTTTGATCAAAGCGTTTGTAATAATTAATTAACGAACCTTAAAGGCGTGGGCAATATTCGTCATCAGGAGGGCACCGCAGCTTACCATTTTTTCAATATCACCCCAAATCATAATTATCGTACCAAACTGAGCAAAAAGAAAGCTGCCTAATATTATGTTCAAGACAAGGAAGCTATAGACGAAGTATAAATTTCGGTAGCGACCCTGTGGCGGCCATGTTCCCATGTAGCGAATTATGCTGAGACTTACTTGCAAGTGAACATTCGTTTTTATGGGTTTCACAGATTTTTTTCTCGACTCATAGAAACCCATATTTTGTATTTCCATTATTCAGAAAATTATTCGATGTGATAAATATTTTAAAGACTTGTTGATCAGAAAAAAAAAGATCTGTCACCTTTTATTTATTTGACTAATTTATAATTCAGAGCTTGATTTTCGAATATTTTATCATTTCCAGCGATTCTAACAGCTAAGCTATAATGAAATTGTATCTAATATCGCCAGGTAGTGAGCGTACCACTCTTTCCGCAAATTACAGATCGATTGTTGCATTTATTAGAGAATGTCTCTACTGTGTAATTACGTAAGATTATAGTAATATTATTTAAGTCTTTAATCAAGGAGAACTCTAATTGCATACTTCCGCCAATGCTGTAGCTTGCAGAATATTAACGAATGCATTTATAATAATCACCGTATAGCTGCACTATTTTCTGTCAGTAACGTTCGAACTGCTTTATGTGCTATGTGCTACTACAAAATTGATCAATACTATCTGATTAAATACAGAGATTACAATACATGATCGTAAAGTACATTTAAATGACTTGAAATTGTCGAATTATTTCTTCATATCTCCCCCAAGTAATTGTTATTAAGTAAACGTCGTTAGAACAAATTATCATTTAAATTATTAATAGCAATCTCTAATGGTTACTTGATGTGAAATAAATAATATTAATTTTCTTTTTATAAGGTGAGTCCGATTAAAATTAACCATTCGCGATCGATACTTATCAGAAACTCATTATCTGGAACTGAATCTAACAATAAGAATGAATTTGATTATTATTTACATTAAAACGTTAATTTATTAAATTATACATATCTAATTTCATCATATCGATCTTATATCAAATTCATCCGGACTTACAGATCCGCCATGTAAACGCCGTGAAAATGTCAACCCGATAAACAGAAAACGACGTTCATCAAGGAAGTACTGCTAAAGAGAATTAATTATACAATAAAGTCACAACAAAATTTTATTCACAGGCACTCTCTTTTTCTTTTAGGTCCTTGTCCTTTGATTTGCTTTTTTTATGATAAGTGCATTTATTTTTATATCAGCATCTTGATGAACGTTGTACGAATTTTTGTATCTTGCAATTATCAGTGGCCGTTACGACATAAATGCGTCTTTCTGAAATAAATACTTACAAATAGTGATGTGATATTCTGCTTTATCTTTTTTCTTGATTTGATTTATTTCTTGGTTGAGGACGAGTGTCACACCAGACTATATTCGCAATAATAGTAGTGATTTTCAGAACATATATTTATTAGTCGAGAATCCCGCCAAGGATCATCAACGACGAAAAGGACGAACTCACCCGCATGGTCAGTACCTGATTAATTATAGCAAAAGAAATTAGTAAGAATGTTAGCAGTAATCTTGTGAAATATCGATATTCATTTTTGATTTTTAACATTCTTTTATAAGCACGCTGTTATTAGTCTGGTCCATTGATAAGAATATTATTGAACAGTAAGCTTTGCGTGTACATAATAATATGATGCGAGGATAATCTCTACTGTAAAATTTACACATAGAATAATAAAAGTGTTCTGTTAAAACCTGCATCTTCGCAAAGGACAGTTTGTCAATTATTCTCCAGGATTAGTGTAAAATAGAGGTTAATTTTTGTGACAGGTCAGTTGTAACAAACATGGCCGATGCTATATGTTGTCCGCATTATTTGAATTCAGGTAGTTATAGCGCTTCACACTAGTCAAATCAGTGCTAAATTTTTAATAACGTTTTTACAATTTCTAGTGGTCTAATTAACAGTTCCGAGGAGTTACTCACGTAATAGCATTAGTTCTTAATATATAAGTACATTCGCAGCCGTGATTCGAATAGAAAATCAAATATTATATCCAAATGTTCGATGTCATATTTTGTCGTGCAGTTTTTTTTTTTTAAAGAATGAACTATAATAACAGTCCTATTATGACGAGCAATATCTGATTTGGATTATTGGGAAATCTTTAATCGATTGACCATCGAGATTTTGTATAAAATTAGTTGTTCAAAAATTACAGCCACTTGTATGCCTGATATTAGGTTAGGATAGGTAATTAAACGGTTGTATCTTTTGAGCTACTAATATTATCTAAAGTCTAGATCGCCAATCGATTAAGAATCTTCCAATAATCAAAATGAGATATTGCTCGGCATAATTGGACTATTATTATGGTTTATTCTTTTAAAAAACTGCACGAAAAAACATAACATCGGAGATTTACATATATCAGTCGGCTTTCTGTTTGAATTATGGCTGTGAATGTATTTATATATTGAGAACTAATTCTGATACGTGAGTAATTCCTCGGAACTATTAATTAAACCACCAGAAATTGTAAAAACGTTATTAAAAATTTAGCACTGATTTGACTAGTGTGAAGCAGTATAGCTACCTTAAATAATTAACAAAAAACTTCAGAACGTGCTCAGGAATCATGAATTTAACAAAAGACTTTTTAGTGGTTCTCAAATTACCTGTATGTGTTAACGCGCGAAAAATGAAACTCACGAACAATTGGTAATTCGAGCTGTAGATGAGCAATTAGCTATTAACTATAAATCGCAGAGACGCGGCAGGTACTGAAGTCCTAATGTTTTCATCCTTTGGATATTAGAATTATTTAATGTTATAATAAAGATTCAGTTTCACTTTTCTATGCTTCTAGGTAAATACAGTGTCAGGTCGAGAAGATAAAACTGTAACGATCACGTAACGCAGATCATTCACAATGTTACCACACTTCGTAAATAAATCCGACGTCCACAAATGGGTGAAGAAACTATGGATTGATAGCGCGCGTCAACATTTATCAGATTTAGGAGTAAATCCAGAAGGAACGATCCAAATTTTGAAGGATCGCCTAATCCGATGTATCGTACGTACTTACTTCGATGCGGACGTGCTTTGGGAACTAGAGGACGAGGAGGATTCAGGAAGCAATAGTAATTTCCCGGGAAAATACTTTTTGAAAGAACCAAAAAATCCGCCGAAAAGATTCAAGAGATGTACATCAGAACCTGAACTAGCCAGTTTCAGAGAAGACATGCTTAATCTAGTGGACGGTCATAAGATTGCAGCAATTCCCATGGAGGAATCTGAGACTTTAACAACGGAAGATTCATGTTCCCAGAATAGAGACAATCATGAGGATGCCAAAGAATCATCTCTCCTAGCGGACATACCCCGAAGTAGTTCTTCACTAGTTACCATGCATATGCCCTTCATTCAGCATAAGGAAACAGTAATTCCTCATAATAATACTTTGCGCAACGAAAAAGACGGCGAACATCGCCGGGAAGAAGTTGCAACTTTTCAGGATGGAGATAAAATCTCCAGCCGCACAAAAAACTCGAGAGAAAATTATCCCACGTACCCTCCTCGTCACAATAAGTCCACCCATGACGACAAACAGAGGCAATTCATTTCCTTTTGGGGTAGGAAACGTTTTAGAAATAAAAATAACAGTACTTACGAAAACCTACATGATCGGAGTGAAGACTGTTCATATGACAGGTACAGAAGCTGCAAGATTAGTCGTGCCGATTATGACAGCTCCCAAGGTAACGGACGATACAGAAGCGAGGAAGGAAAAGAAGAATTTCGCTTCCGAAATAGATCAATGGATAATGAACACAAGGAGACTTCGCGTAGAACTCAGAATCAAGGCCACGAAGACATGATTAACAATCCGATAGATCGTGCAAGCAACTATAGCGATTCAGGAAGCGATCGTGATCATTCAGATTATCCTGGAGGTGTCAATGATCATATAAAGTCAAATCCTAACCTTCCTGACTATGCTAGGGATATAAAAGAGAATAGCAACGAGGTGTACAAACATGACTGTTGGAAGAGTGACCAACGAAAATTATCTGCTTTTAAATCGCGGTTTAACAGAGGTGATGAAGTCGACGTTTGCATAAATATAAAGAAGGAGGATGTGTCTCAGGATGTAGAACACGACGTGGGAGTGTCTCAGGATAATTTCGATACGCTTGATTCAGTGCCACAGATCATACAGGATAATCAGCTTGAAACAGCATCAAACCCATGCTGCATGCATGCAGCTTATCTTCGAAGTATTCAAGAGTACAGCCAGCATTGTTGTGATGGTCCATCAATCATCTTTATTAATCGTAAAGTTACTACTGATTGCACGGATTTGATGGTATTAGAAAATATGGCAGTCAAGCTGGCTAAGAAATGGCAGATCAAATTCACAGGTCAAGATGGATGCACTGTGCAGGAATTTATCCAGAAGGTAAACATGCATCGCAAAGGCACATCAATCACGGATGATGAGTTGTTGAAGGTTTTACCTTCGTGGTTGGAAGGTCGAGCAGCACAATGGTGGAATATAACGCATCATCGATGGAGAAATTGGTCAGAGTTTTTAACCGATTTTGAGACCATGTACGCTGGTCCTATTTATCAGCAGCGGGTTCGAGAAGAGTTGCGCTTGCGGACGCAAGGGCCTAAAGAATCCTTGATGGATTATCTGATATCTGTGCAAAACATTATGTCACATTTGAGACCGCAGCTGTCTGAAAGAGAGAAGTTGGATCTGATAATGGATAATCTTCATCCGGATATGTACCCTTACTTCTCGCCAAAGCCATTTCGGAGTATGGAGGAGGTCCAAGAGCAGATGATGGTGATTGACGCCAGGAGGGCTCGTGCACGTTATTATCGCGTACCACCATTGCCACAGGATTCCTTGTTTCCGGAGAATGCGTACCAGAGATAAACTTCACGTGGGAAGAAGCACCGCAAGTCTATTTAGGATTCTGATATTAGATTGACGAGTTGCCGAAAATATTTTTTGAGTAGGTCGTGGACTTAGGTGGAAAATTACCAATTTTTTAAAAATTCTATGAACTTTTTTTTTTGAGTTGATAACAAACTTTCGAATATTGCAAGAGAATATATTAAGGAAGTATACGTGCGAAGAAATAGAGTATACAGAAATTAATATTGGATCAAATCTAAAAAACTTATTATTAATATTAGTTATTCATCTGCTGGTATTTTGTGTCAATTAATCGTAGATCTATAATTATAACCCCTGACATTTGCGTCTAATGGCCAATTTCTTCACTTTCGGATAAAATTCATCCTCCGGATAAATCCCCAGTTATCCAGTCATTTTCAAGTTTCAGAAGTTTATCCGCAGGTGAAGAAATTGGCCATAAACATATTAAGGTAATCATATTTTTTTTTTTTTTTAGAAAAATGAGCAAATGCATGAGGTTATAATTATTAATGTGTTAGTGTCAGTTTTATGTTGGTGGTTGGTGCATCCTTTTCTATATCAACCTTGTCCCCCTCTTCGGGGACTTGCAAGTGCTGCCTCTTATGACAAATTCCTCAACTTCTAGTATTCTTAAGTATTTCCCTCCATAGTTTTTTGAACTCTATAATTTTTCTAACTTGCTGATATAATTAAAATTAATATATGCACTTAGCGCACGTTTTATAGCACTCTACAGAAATGATCTCTAGATGCAATATATTGATACCTCTAAGTTTATTCATTTTGCAACATAATTTCAGCAAGCATCAATCTTCCATGTAATGATGTTCTATGCTTAAATGCGAAAATGGTTTCTACGCGTGGCCCTAAGTTTAAATTTTGTGATGGCGAAAAGGTTTTATGTTATGAACCGGACCCAACAAAGGCTAAAGTACTTTATGATTCAAAGGTAAAAAGAAAATTTTGTTTCATGTAACGTCTATTACACTTTTTTTAGTTTGCCGGTTGAACAATGTTGTTTACATAACCTGAAACGTCAATCTATCTTTTGTATACAAAGAGAATGTATGATTTTTCTTTAATTTTAGAATTCTTTATTTTTCATAAGTAGAACCGGTTTGGCTGATACATTTTTGTTCTGTTACAAACATGTATATTTATTTAATAAGAAGTTATTATATTCAGAAACAAAGGAGTATAATTAGTTCACTATCATCTATTATGTGCAGTAGATTCAAACAGTATAAAATGTTATTTGTTCTTTTTATTTTATTTCTATGTATTATGTAAAGTAAAATTATTATTGTCATGCAAATTATGTAGTTTTAAAATAAATTGTCCTTAAGATTTTATGTATTTGTACTTGAATATTGTTTAATAATTATATTCACTTTATACATTTTCTAGGTTTTAGATGTAATTGTCAATAAAGATCAAAGAGGTCGAAAAGCTGTTGAATATTTGATACATTTTCAAGTAAGTTCAGTTCTGCTATTTAATTGTATAGCAATTAGGATACTTTTTGATACACCGTTATAAATCACTCTTTGATGTCTGTTTGTGAGCCAAAGTTTATTGTTATTTTCTACTAATATTAAAATTTGTATATGGCAGGGGTGGAACTCATCATGGGATCGTTGTGTAACTGAAGAGTATGTTTTGAAAGACACCGAAGAAAATCGACAGTTGCAAAGAGATCTTGCACAGAAAGCTCAACTTCAATTGTAAAATTTATATTATTGCCATAGTATATTTTATACTATCGACACATATTCATATTTTTGAAGATATTGTAAAATATATTTAAGGCTGGGATCAATCATTTAATTTTTTTCATAGAGGTGCATATTTATACCGAAGAGAACGCAAAAAGAGAAGTCACAAGTCGTCATCAGAACGCTTAACAGGATCAGGAACGGAGCCGAGACGGAGAGCTAGAAGCGGTGGAAGCCGTGCTACCTCAGCAACAACTGGATCATCAGAAGATGGTAGTTCAGGACAACACGACGATTATGACACTGAGGTAAAAGAATTTGATGTATATTTTAGCGTTGCTCGCAGTGCGTAAAGGGAACAGGATTTCATGTAAATTCTGTATACAAGCTCATTAAAGTTTAAGATATAATTAAGTTTCTCTATAATAGGAAGCTATCACGGAAGAAGACAGCGAGAGCAGCTCTGAATATATTGAAGATACAAGTGACGATGATGAAAGCGGTGGAGGAAGTCAATCTGGCGCAAGTAATAGACCTGGTGTAGACCTAGACATAGGTGCTACGCTGAAGCGCATTCTGGATCAAGATTTCGACTTAATTACACAAAAGAATAAAGTACATGCCAATAAATATGAATCTTGTCTAAATGCAGTTAAAAATTTATCACACATTACTTTTAGCTTGCAGTATTACCTGCACAACCTACAGTGGCGAACATCCTGGAGTCTTGGGTACAACATTTTACTACAACGCAACTAACAAATATTCCGGAGAAGCCACAAAGAAACAAGTCGAATAACACTGTTGAGAAAACTGTGAATGATGTTAACATTTGTCGAGAAGTCGCCGACGGCTTGCGAATATATTTCGACTTTACATTACGGGATCTTTTATTGTATCGACAAGAGAGAGAACAGTACTGTACATTGAAGTCCTCGTTTCAGTATAGTGAAAGTGCTTGTCCCGTAAAAGAAGAGCCTGTTGAGTAAGACGTTGTTTAAATATTAGACTGCATTTGGTTCATTTATAATATCCATCGATTAACAAGTAACCACAATTATTGTTCTTCGCTAGGAATTCAGATGTTGTGATTAAGGAGGAACTTGAAGATGCTGAATATGCTCACTTACCTCCATTTCGTGAACAGGAATCAGAAATCGAAAATTCGTCCAAGCCGCTTACTTATGTTAAACGCAGATTGCGTTCCTGTAGAGTAAGTTCAGTCGACGAAGGAAGGCAACTGAGATCTTACGAAGACGTCAAACAGGAACCAGGAAATTTGTCAAGGTATCTTCTTATTGTCTGAATGACTTTTTTTTATATTAAATATCAGTTTACAGTCACTTGACACTTTCAGTAGTATGGCCAGTACAAGTTCTCGTTGCTCAAGTCCACGTGGTGTTACTTTGCGAATGCCTGTTATACCTTCGGCACAGATTGGAGCTCTGCTTCAGCAATCGAATAGTTGGCGACTGATGCCAGATGCTGCGAAACGAGCTAATCCTCCATTACCATCATCTTACTACGGTGCCATTCATCTTACCAGACTCTTTGGTATGTTAGTCACTTTGTGTAGAAATAACTTAGTCAGGTTTTCGAAGTCTGTATTAAAAAGTGACATCTCTTTTGCTTTTAGTCAAATTACCAGACTTATTACAATGCACCGATATATCAGACAAAAAGCTAAAAATATTGTTGAAACATTTGGATATGTTCTTAAGGTAACATAAAACGTTCATACTATCTTTAAAATTTGCTTTATAGTTGTCATGGGGATTACTAAATTTACAGCTATATGGAAATGCATCGAGAATGGTTTGGAGAACAATTTTATATGCAAGTGGAGAATCATCCACTGCCACAACCAACGAGTCCTTGAAGAAAGTGTAAGACAAGATTATATATATATTTTTCCACTTAGTAATTTATCTAAAGAATAATGCATACTTAACTAGGAAATATAAAGCAATTCTTCAATTAAAAATGTACAATTAGAAAAGTCTAATAGTTAGTTTTTGAAAACAACAACTAATAGTCTCCTGGTCCAGTCCTTGCCCTCATCCAGCGTTACAAAGAATTTCTTCCATTTCTTTAAAGCACATCTTGTGGACATCAACGTCTTCTTCATTTGGTAAGCATACGTGTACATTTCTACACACATTAATAGACATAGACTGTTTCATAATATTGCTATATCATAACTTGTAAGCGGCTGTTAACTTAAACATTGATCTTACTAAAATAAAAAAAATACAATGCAACGTAAAGAGAACATGAGACATAACAGACGTGTTTTCAAATAATGAAAATTATGATAAGCATTAATACAGTGGGAATCCCCTGTATATTTATATTGATATGTAAACGTAAGAAATATTTCTATGTTAAAAATGCGTTTTTACTACTATGCAAAATTATTATTTTAGCACTAGGAACCTAATATGAAAAAACACATTACATACTATATATATTTAGTATATAAAGGGGAATTGACGGATAGTCAGTATAGATTCAAATTTAAAAGGCTTGCTTATTAAGAAGATAAAAATGCTAAATTTAACGTAATCACCCTGATGTTTGTATCCTTAATGTAATTTCATCGATTCAGAAAGTATTTTCAGGCATTCTTAATTGTAAGATATTGATATTCTACAGATAATGCAATATCATCATAATACGTGGCGCATTGCTAAGATCTATGTATATCATTTTTGGATATAAGGCAGGAGATACGTCATTTTGATTAATAATTAGTTCATTACAAATTAGTTAAACAACCGCTCATTCACCTAATACCTCCATAACTACATATAAATCAGTATTACCTACTTCAATAGTTTTTTACCTAGGCTGATGACCTGGATGTTATTAACCAAGGAAGAGCTAAGGATAAAAAGTATATTAATAAGCTTTGAATAGTACTTGAAAAGAAAAGAAACGATTATTTCCGCAAAGGAACAACAGATTTTAAAGAAGTCAACAATGAAAAGGAACAGAACAGAAAAGAAAAAAGACCAGAACCAATGCAATGTAAGTGAAGTAAATCTAGAATGCAGGAGACAAAAGGTTCAAAAGGATAATTATGAGAAAAGCCGCATGTTGAATCTTGCAATTTGCTTCCTCCTAATCGTAAGTAGTGTACAAAGTCCCTACATGAGAAAGCATTTTCATTTTTTTTAAATCTTTGGCTTCCTCATGGATTTCCACCAAATCTTATACCCAACAACTTTGCACGGTGATTTATATGAATCGACGAAATTGAGCATGGCAAGTGAAATACTATTGAATCGGTTGAAATTGAAAACTCAAAAACTTGAATTGTATGCAGAAACAGATCCGTTTTACCGATATACGCCAAATTTGATACATATCACGGCTGAATGATATTCTATACTTTTAGAAAGTTAGAGTTCAATCGGTGAAAGTTGACGGGAGTTATATTGAAAAATTTGATTTTTCGAAAAATTCAAAATATCATAAAATCAAAACTTCTCGATGGATTCAATACCAACCAACCTTAGATACAAATCTTTTAGTCAAGAACTATGTAGGCCAGTATCACAAAATTTGCGACTGCTAGAGTGATAACGATCTTTTTTGGAGGATTTGAAAACGATTATGTGAACGTAATTGACAAACTCTTTTGTTTTATGGAGCCACTTGAATATATTTATTATAATTATATTAATGTTAAAGTTCAATGCGCCAATAGGCAAGTTGAATGAAGTGAATTTGAAGCACTCATTATATTTCAGGTCAGTCGATTGTCAGGTCACTGTGGCTCGACCGTAATCCCACTCCTATGCTCAACACGTATTTGCACATAAAAAATGAGCGGTGGTTCCCCGAGATTCGCGCTTGCTCTTAATTCTGAGAATTGCAGATAAATAAAATATTTTGCAAGCGATTAACGTATAATATATAAAGGAGATTTTGCAGGCAAAATGTAATCTATTGCTTCGAGGTCTTCCAACGAAAAGCAACTCTTGGTAAGCATACCTCTGGAGTGAACAGTTATTTACTTAATAAGAGATATTTTCGCATGATATTGTGAAATGGCGAGATGATTATAAAGAATTTTTAAAAAGTATTAGTAAAATTGTAATTATTATTCATTCTCGTTGAAGCTAATCAGATATTAGCGCCCAAATTGCTCTTAAGAAAATTCTTTATGAAGTCAAATGTAATTGAAAATGAGATTTTAGAATTATTTGCTAATCTACCTTAGTTGCTGCTGAAATCGTTAATGAATTTGTATATATAAATATTCAATTGTATTTATAATTGTGTACAGACAGAAAAGAAAAAAAGATGAAGAAGTTTGTTGCGTGTTTGGCCATTTTCGTGGTCTACGCGACTATTGCTTCAGCCGATCCGAATCGTCCAAGACCACAGCAAGTTCCACCTAGGCCACCTCACCCTGTAAGGATAAAAAAGAAAAATTGTAAAAAGCTTTTTGATTATAATTGTTTTATATACTATTTGTATTCTATTCAAGCGTCTACGTCGTGAAGCTGATCCTGGAGTAAGAACCTCTCTTCCCAAACCCACCCCTCATCCGGTAAGATTAAGAAGGAAAATTTAATTAAATTTTTGATTAAGATTGCTTTATGTGATATTCGTATTTTATTCAAGCGCATACGTCGTGAAGCTGATCCTGGAGTAAGGACCTCTCTTCCCAAACCCACCCCTCACCCGGTAGGACTAAGAAAGAAAAATTATTTCATTTTTTTAGTATAATTGTTTTATATAATATTTGTATTCCATTTCAGCGCATACGTCGTGAAGCAGATGCTGAAGTAAGAACCATCTAACAAGCCAACATTTTCTGCGGAACCTACTACGTCTGCATCAGTAATTCATAGCAGAAGCACATATTGGAGTCTTTTCTACATCGAAATCTATGCTGATTGATTTGTCCCATGGCGAAGAGTTTTATAACAATCATTCGTCGATGACAGATCATTTCGGTTGAACATCCAGTGTTGAGGCCAAAGAAGCTACGCAGAAGACACAGCAATCCTTTATCAAAGAAAATAATCCAAGTCAATGTTCGAAAGTTCAATCTAAAGTAAAAATCACTACTCAGAGTATATCCCGAATCTTTTAGCGCCATTTTAAAAATTTGACGTCTTTAGAGATTAATTCTATACATGATTCAAAGAATTCTCAATAAATATAAGTTGCTTTTGATGTTACTTATAATACAACTATTGTTTTAATTCTATTGCGATCCCGTAATCATCAAATCCTTAGAACATCCTACAGTTCCTTAATCGTTTATTTATAAAGAGAATACCTATTTCCATTCCTATTCTATTAAATACCATACGAAGATAACGTTATGAAAAAATGATTGTTTTTTTCTGTCAGTGAAAATCTCGTTGATATCAACGAGATGTACTTTAACTGTGCATGAATAAATATAATATTAGATAACTGTGCGAGATATTTTCTACAAATAACTGTGCATTATTAATTTTGATTGACCTGAAGACTAGCGTGAATCATAAAGTCGCAGGTCACTTTCATCGACAACAGGAGCACCAAATAGTCAGCTATCTTGCAGATGAACATCGCAGACTTAATAGTTTGCTTACAAAGCCGTATGAAGGTCATACTTAGTATTGAAGCTGGTGTTTAAAAAAAAGAAAAGCGAATCACACTCGATAAATATATTACCAAACTTTACAATTCATCATTGGTACATCTCGTACTTGATAAAGGAATCTCGCAAATAAAGGCACGCGGATAACGACATGTCACGTCATCCATTCCTCCGTCTATGAGCAAAACAGCACAATTTTGGTGACCGCCCCGGTTATCTGGGACATTGGACCATTTACAGGTCCACTTAGTATAACCCGCAGCTTCCAGTGACTCTCCAGTAATAGTCATCCAATCAGTTTCCTCGAACCAATTGTGTACACCTATATAGGCATCTTCTATATTTCCATTGTTTTTCATTAGCTGAAGTAGTATTTCTTCTTCTCTTAATGAATTAATCACTGCTAAGTGAGCTGTATAATAGGGAATTATTAAAATAGCTATAAATACAATATATTATGTATATATACTTGTATGACTCTTGTAGAGCTTACCACGCTCATCGATGCAGGCTTTGCGAGCATTATTCCAGCTGAGCTTCCTCTTGTGAAGTTTGTAATAACCATTACCTTCTGTCAGAGTATAGTCATCCCTGACATTGCTTAATAGTGTTTTGCTCTGGGTGTTTTTAGTTATCGGATTAGAGTAATTGGGTATATTATTAATGTGTATGCTTCCTATACTATTATTAAAAAATAAGGCACCCAATGAAAGCACTCTGGTTTCATTATCTGCATTCAAAATGGTCTCAAGTTCACTGCTCGTATTAATCTTTGGTAATATCAATGATTCTACATCGCTATCACTGTCTACATCTATTGGTACCCCGTTGCTCCAAGAAAGAATCAAACTGGCAATTACTGCATACAGTTTCCATGGACTAGAATACATCTTTATGTAGTATGTAACACACTGGAAGAGAAAGACTTGACTGACGATCTTTCGAGGATTCTCTATTTTATAAATCATCTTATCTCTTTCAGAGGTTAAAGGTTCCACAATCTTATGAACCGTAGCACAACCTCCATATTGAGATATACCTAGTAGTGGAAATTCCACCATTTACTAGTAAGTATTTGATAAATGTCTGGGAATACCCATGATAATATATTGATTTTAAATGGCAAAGGGTAGATGAGCAAAGAAAAAACTAGTTATGAAAGTCGAACTGCGAATTTATTGAAGAAAATTGAAGATTTACATTTTAATCTTCTTCCTCTTCTTGGGCAGCGGTACCAGTTCCTTTGCGCATATTCTTCCTCTTTACGCGACCAGGTCGGCCACCGCCGAATGGCGACTTCAGGGAGAAGTCAATGTGCTTCTGTGAGTCCAGACGTACGATAAAAGATGGGATGTTCACCACCTGCTTTCGCACACTGCAATCATTGGAAAAATTTTGTTATAAATTGTAATCACGTGCTGCTTTGTCTGATAAGTTGTTTCTTCAGATAACCCTAATAGAATTTTATTTAGCGGTAATACCATAATAAGGACTGTACCGATTCCATGGACGGCTAGTGGATTGGATTTTAAGCACCACAATAGTCACGATTAAGTGATCTGTTGTGACAAAATTAACCTTCAGACGTGAAACGCTGGCAAATAACCAAACGCTTCAGTGGTCTGTATGCAATAGAATTACTGGACATGGTCAGTTCCAAATGGACGAAGGAATCAACCTGGTAAGCCATCCCGGTATCTGAAGTAAGACAGGTTGCACCGTCAAAATTGTTCGTTGTGGAATGAAGAGTGGTTAAGTGAGTTTTCAATTATAGATTTATAAATAAGTATTGTTTCCTGCTTTGAATCAGATGTGCGTGTCAGCACAGCTGGGATTAACGACAGGATTTAATCTTGCCTTAATGATTAGAAACAATCTGTTGAACTGCAGACATTTCTTGCCCAATGATTAAGGCTTAAAGTTAAGGAAAACTTATATCGGCATACCGAATGTGTCTCTGACGAATCAGAACGCGAGCATGATGGATAGACTTTGCCAGACCAAGCTTGAAGACCTGAGTCTGAAGACGCCTCTCCAAGAAATCTTCGATCTTAAGACCAAGGACGTAATCGAGCTTCATTCGATTTTCATCCAATACTCCGATCCTCACCAATCTTCGCAACAATGCATTTCCTGTAGATAGAATTTTAATTATTATCTAAGAAGAAAGCAGTGAGCCTAATACGAGTTTCAATGAACATTCAGAATATTTGTAGTCCTATCATAGAAATTCAGACAAGAGGTGTCAGATATTATATTAATTGAGTATCATCACATTAATTTAATAACTTTATAAATAGATCTATTTCTACTTTGAAAAAATTAACACACCTTCGAAAAGACGCTTTGGGTCTTTCTCCTCCAACGTGAGCAGCTCACGAGCAGCTTTACGGATTTTGGCCAGGGTGTATTTCACCCTCCATACTTCACGCTTGTTACGCAGACCATATTCACCAATAATCCGTAACTCCTGATCAAGACGAGCCTTCTCATAAGGTCTCCTGGGTGTCACGTAGGTCTTCGAAAAGACTGACGGTATTCTACCGTTAACCATGATTATTGAACGTTACCTACAAATAACCATTCCTTAATATGAAATGAGCCTACACAAATATTAACGCAAGCACGAAGTATTCGATAGAAACAGTACACATCAATTGCGGTTATACACGTGGCGGATTCAGATAGATGGTTATTTCTTCAAAGTAAAACGAATAAGACGAAAAAAACATGCTATATATTTGAGTAAATAAGAAATTAAGTTGGCAGTCTGATTAACAATATTAAGGGATTATTTAATTAGAATTACTACTTACGTCTTGCTCTCACAAGTGCAACGTCCGAAGACCATCAAAGTCGCAAGCGAAATGGCCGAGAATAACGCGTCTTCCGGGAATGGAGCTACTAGGAAGATCGTTGCGCCATGCAGTAGTAAAGCGAACTATTTTTAACGGGATTTAGGATAGTTCGTAGAAAAGAGGATAGATGGCAGCATTATCGTTCTTGGTTGACGAACCAAATGCGTCATGTTGTTTTGACTCTATTTTGCTTTGATAATATCAGTTACCAGTTATGTACTTCATTATGCTCCTTTGAAATAGTATGTGGAAAGACACTTTGACCTTACTTAAAAATTAATCAATGCGATGACAGTTTGATTTTTCAGATTAAATTATGTTTACCACTGACGTATGTGTACAGTCGTTACGTCACAAATATGACCTGAGCGGCGGACACAAACATTCCCGAGTCGCAGAGACCAAATTGTGGTTATTGATAAGCAGATTAGTAACCTTTCCTTTTACTGATTGAAACAATTGGTGTGGTTCAATGATTCTAGTAGATTGTCTTCAACTTGTTAAGCTTTAATAGTTATTATGTAGAGCGTGCTAAAAGTTTTTATAAGCACAATTAGCTGTCAAGTATTTCTAAACATATTTTTTAAGGACAATGCTGTGCAATTTTTTTATCCACTGTAATTTTGTTATAATAGGCTGTACGTTATGTCAATTAAGATAGAACGGCAGTATAAATCTGTAAATTTGGGATTAAATTTTAACACTGTCCTTGACATACAATTTTAAAAACTTTCTTTAAGGGAGCTTCTACGATGCATTACATTTCAATTATTAAAATGGAAACTGTATCTCATGAAGTCACGTTTTCATCACGTTTAATTTTTTGTTTGGATATGAACTGATATGGAGGGTCACTCCACTGACCCCAAATGTGGTGAAATGGAGATAAATGGGGATGTAAGTAACTGTTATATGTCAAGTACGCTCAGTATTCTATTGAATAGCAAGAAAGACTCCTGGTTAAATCTTTCGCTTTGTTCTATTCACTCAACGAATCGTTGCCAATACCTTTTTTTACTTTCCAATACTTTCATTAAACTTTCATCACAATGGACGCTTTGACAGCAGTAAGTAACAAATTTTGAACATATCTTACATAAAGATGTAACATTGCTTTCTTCTTCGAACAGAATTATCAAAATAGAACAATCTTCAGTTATTGTTTGATGAATCTAATGTTTAATTATTCATTCTGTTTAATATCTAATTTGTCTATTTAGAGGCTCTAATTCTAATATAATTTTGTTTGCATATCCAAGAGTATGCACATTGAAAAATGTATCTCGCTAAGATAAACTAATGAATACATTAATTTCACAGTCACATAAATTTTTGAATCAAATAAAAGCTTGTACTCTTATCAGAATAACTCCATAAAATTAATCGCTCCAATGATCCGCGAGACTTGTACCTCTGAGATAAAAGTTGTCATGACCTCTTCGGATTAGATTAGAGAATAACTCACGTGAGTCAACTCGTGCAATGATATCATGCTTCAAGCATACATCACGCTCTCTGTTTGATAGAAAAATTATAATACACGAGTTGTACCAGAAAAAATAAGATTAATCACGCGACTTCTCATTTACTTCAATGACTCTCTGAAAAAAAAGTCATCGAAGACTCATAAAAATTTCATGATTTCAGTATCCCTTAGTAAAGTCCTTCATCGCAGGCTCCTTCTCTGGTACATTCTCCACAATACTGTTTCAACCTCTGGACTTGGTGAAAACTAGGCTCCAAAGTAGAATGAATAACACTCACACTGGGTAAGAAAGTATCATCATTAACCATCAGTGTGAAAAAATGTCAGAATTACATGCTCTGTCATTGAACAATAACAGCCATCACAGACTACAAGTAATTAATTCTTTATCTTTTTTTTCCATCATAGAGCCTACAGATGTAGTATGCTGACGACAGTCATTCAGATCGTACAAAAGGACAATGTTTTTGGCCTATGGCGAGGCATAACGCCGGTACGTAAGAAAAGCAACTTTTTCAGTGAATAAAGAAAATAATTAACATACAAATGACGTTGGTTAATGATCTTTAACATTATACAGTCGATAACCAGAGTGGTACCAGGAGTAGGACTGTACTTTTCCTCTCTGCACTGGCTAAAGCATGCACTCAATTTGGAAGAGCCTCTAACAGCGCTACAGGCTGTTTCACTAGGCATTACAGCACGTACTATGTCCGGTGCTTTGCTCATACCAATAACTGTAGTGAAAACCAGATTCGAGGTAAGACTGAACTTCATTAAATCCCCCATCAATCTGTAGGTTACGATGACAAAAATTAAATGATTTTCATTGCAGAGTGGAGTTTACAAATACAAGGGAATGGGCGATGCACTGAGATTAATCTATAAGTACGAGGGTATAAAAGGTCTATCCAGTGGTTTGGCACCAACATTATTAAGGGATGCACCCTACAGTGGTCTCTATCTAATGTTTTACACTCAATTAAAAAATTCTTTCAACCCTGTAACTGGTGAGTGCATTTGATAAGTTAACGACTGATAAGAAAGCAAGACTCGTGAATCGTTTTTACGTAACAGGAAAGTGCCGCCTCTAATCTGACCTTTTGCCCTCTTGTTTTCTTCAGAGAATGGACACATGATGCTTGCGCCACAGACACATTTCGCTTGCGGAATCTTAGCGGGTGTATTTGCCTCTGTGGTGACACATCCTGCGGACGTCATTAAGACCAAAATGCAGCTTTATCCAAACGAGTACAAAAACATCCACGAGGCAATTTTTATGGTACACAGAAAACATGGACTAATTGGTTACTTCAACGGTATTGTTCCCCGTATGCTTCGAAGAACCCTAATGACAGCTATGGCTTGGACTGTTTACGAAGAGGTAAATACCGGCTAAGTTATATGTTAAAAAATATGATTTAATTTAAACAACTTTTTAATATTCTTTTTTTCTTTCTTAGATGACCAGAAACCTGGGTCTGAAATGAGACGCTGAAGTTCGTGGTATCGAGTTCATTGATCGGATCAAGTTGAATGAATTTTGTACAGTATTACGAAAAGATTTATGAGTGATTTCTGGTATTGCTTATTAATAATTACGGCATAAGGTATTATTACGATTAGGCTATATTTATTTAATTATCATTAAGCATTGTAATGCCAAAGCCTGATCGTTAATGCGTTAAATTGTGCTACTTGGCTCATATTGAAATTTCATGTATATATGTATTTTTTTGAAATGACTATAAAAACAGCGAGTACCATACTATTTTAATTTTTTTTTATTCATTGGAAATAACAATCTTTTGAATATTACAATGCAACCTAATTAAAGTGATCGTTATGTATATAGCCAGTCTAAAGTAACAATTGTTTGGATAAAATAACATTTGCGGTTTGTTGAACCATTTGAGAGAGTCTCGACTTAAAACCCGAAATGCGGTCTCGGCGGTCACCGATTTATCGCGACAAATAATTCTTGAGCGTTCGATTATTATTGGCCAGCCGTATCGATCTTACGACCGATCCAGCATCGTATAAAACGCGTTCCTCAATTTCGAATTTGTTTTTTTTTCTGTAAGATTATGCAAAATCTTTACCTTAAGATTACAATAAGCGGCGTGTACGTATCTACTCCGTCTTATAGTCACATCCCTCCGCTTCTCTTGACTCTGAAAATAGACAATGGACAATTTAACACTGGAGTATACGTCGGTGCTCGCGGAACAACATAAGCTCTTCCGCATCCGTTGAACACTTTTCTAATAAACATTAGAAATTATTAGTTGGACAGCTTCAACCTTGGGAATCACCGTATGCTAACCTAATCAATTAATCACCTACTACCTTTATCCCATCCCATATAACATAGTACAGAATATTACACAAGTTTCTATATTTCTTTTGTTTTTGCTCACGTATTATTCCTACAAACAATCAAGAAAGGACAGCCAAGAATCTTCTTCCAATATAGTATATCATATATATGAAGCTAGCGTATGATGCATCGATGGGCATGTTTGTATAGATGTAAAAATCCACAAGAAATACTGTATTCAATAAATATAGTAATGCTGTTTTTGTTTTGTTTCATATGATTTCTAACAGAGACCAATATAAAAATAGTGACTGGTGATCTTGCATATGACCATCATAGTTCTCAGAATGGAACTTGTTTGCTTCTTTCTTTGTACAATCAATAACTGGGAAAAAGGAAATGTAATTGGCGGGTATTTATTTTTGTTATTCGCATACGAAGCACAAGAACGCGAGTTATACGTAGCTTTGAATAATATTATTTTTCTCACAATTGTTTTAATCCGTTTCAAAAATCTCTCCTAATAAGTAGGACATGTTGCTATTATCATTCCGACATAAATACCTCATAAATGCGTAGCAGAAGCTAGGATTGTATAGTCACAGTCACACAGGGCACTGTCGTGGCAGGTCTACGGTAGTAGGCACTGATTCCTCCACACTATCACTAATTTCTTTTTGACAAAAAGAACTTTCCTGTCGTTGGAATTATATAATGGTTTACCGTGTTTTAAGCCTACGAAGATATTACACCGATCAAAGCAAGTATAGGTATACCTTCTCCCATCTTGCTCTACGGACAATATCTTTAAGTTACTAAGCGTTAGAGTAAATGTAACTTGTCTGGCACGCTGGCACGAGTAACATGTGTCCCTTGAACATATCAATATAACAATGCTATTATATCAACGTATACATATGAATGTAACATATGTATATATTGAAATAATTGCATTGTTTAGAAAAGAAGTTTCTTTTTGATACTTCAGCATGAACATATCTTTCATTGAACAGTTTTCTTATTACGAATTTACCCTCCGATGTGTATAAAGACAAATCATTGCCTGCATTGCTGTTTTCCTGTCTTGCAAACCCTCCCACCCATTGATTGTAAAGAGATACTTTTCTTTTTTAATATCTGAATAATCGAATGCTGGCTATAGAATCACTGAAAATCTATACTACTTCTATCCCTTAAGGAAAAGAATTGTTTCTTAATGCTTGAACAAAGGTCTGAGATGTTATACCTATTGAAAAGTCACCTAATGAGAATCTGAAAGTGTCTTCCGTCGCGTACCACAGTAAATTATCATGTAAATTACGTGCGACTTTATAAAACTCACCTGATAAAGAATCTGTATAGTAATTGAGACGTTAAAAGTTTATTCTTTAGTGCATACCTGGCTCACTTCTCACTCACTAACCAATCAAGAGTAGTTACTTGTGACTTCGGCTTCTAGACCGTTGGCGACGACGGCTATGGTGACTGGAGCTTCGGTGATCACGATTAACTGAAAGAAAAAATGGCCTTGGTGTAGATTTTAGGATATAGAAGATATATCTAGAAACATCGTTTACGAGAGGAGCTTACCCTTATCCCTGGCATGTCGCCGATGGCCGTCTTCCTCTCTATGTCGGTCGTGTCTTTCTCGCGATCTGCTTTTACTTCGATGTCCGGAATTTCTAATGATAATTATAAGAAATTGTTATGATTTATTTCGTTGTTTATTATTTTTTTCGTATTAGAAATTTACCTGTAACTTGCTGATTCGTGCCTAGGTTTTTCTTCGTCGGTACGTCTACGACGCTTATCTCTTTCACGTTCACGATCTCTGTCTCTGTCCCGCTCTCTGTCACGATCTCTCTCTTGTCGACGTCTTTCTATTTCCTCATTCGCACGTGCTCTCTGTTTTCTGTCTTCATCTCTTTTCTGTTCTTTCTCATCCCTTGCCTTCTCTCGTTTGTTCTGTAAATTGCAGTTACTTGTTTGTAACTCTTATGTTTGTGCATACTGGATGGGTTGTTCGGTTTAAATTGTTCGGAAGGACTTACCATAATTTCTTGCAGAGCACTTTTCAGCCTGGCATATCCAACGTGTTGTTTTCCCATTAAATGATCATCTATGCGCTGTTGAGCATCACCGACAATGAGGAATGCACCACATACGTCACAGACTTCCATTTGTTTTTCTTGAGCTGCTGCTAATTCAGCAGTCTAATAGATAATTATTATACAGTTATTTTATAGAGTAGATCGAGAAGTATGCAGAGGATCTTTCCTTCTTATTCTTTAACTTACCTGATTATAGTGACTGTTATCATTGGATTTTCGTAATGTTTCACGTTCTTCTTTCAGTTGATCACAGAGACGCATCAACCCTTGTGCTTGTTCAACATTTCCTTGTATACCACTTTGTTCGGCCTCTTCCACTAACTTATTAATTTTTTCTGTTAGCAGAGCAATCTGTTCTTCGTTGCGCTGAGTCTGTGCTGGTGTTAGAGTAGGCTAAAATATTATAAAAGTTGATGTTAATGTGTACCATGCTTTGATCTGACTATGAATAAGTGTGTATAATGAAATTACTGCTTCGGTTCTTCCAATCAGTGCTAGTCGTTGTTTTCCCTTTATGATCTTACGCTCAACCTCATTAAGCATACTTTGGCAAAACCGTATAAATTCATCCTCGTACTGTTGCTTCCTATAGGAATAGGGTGCTTTTTCGAAGAGATCCCTAGCTTCATCATCATGTACCCTGGAGCAAGCTCCCAAATCCGCTCTCGTATTAACGAATAGATCATGAGGGCAAAATTTTACGAGATATAACTTGCAAAACTGTAAAAAGACAAAAATAGTACATGATTTTCAGTAAAAAGAAACATTATTGTCGATCATCATACTGGGATTTTGTAGTCCGAATAAATTCAAAGACGCGCGTCATAAATAAACGTGTTTCTCAAAAGAAGTGAACATGTCATTAAAGAAAGATATATCGTCATAAAGGATTATAAGAAATGTAACATACCTCAGGATCCTCCCAGTTTAATTCTTTCGGCTTTTCATTGGGTAGAACATTCCTATTTCTTCCCATAAGCTCATCGAGCAACGCAGCAGCAGCGGCAGCAGCCATTTTTCCGCAACGCCTTTTGGTTATGAGTCCCGCCTAGTAGAAGGGCTCCTCGCCGATTCTTATTTTATTAATTCTTAAGATGTACTACAGCTTCACAACTTCATTTGCTTCGTCTGCCACTACACTGCTTCTTAATATTTTACTGGATATTTCGACCTTCTCACGTTTTAAGGATACAGACACCGCTAACACAATCACTCGTTTAACTTCGCCAATTTTCGTTCCTCTTCGTCACCCTCTTCTTCTTCTTTCTCGACACAACGTAAACCTTATATGTATGAATAACTCGTGCGCAACTCACTATTCATTCATAATCAGAACGATACAGAAAATATACATATATTCCGGCTTGTTAGAAGGCACGCCGAAAGTTGTTTCCACAATTCATGTTAATCAGCGCCCACTACCGATTATGTTGTGAGAATTATTCACCGCCATTACTCCATTATTTCAAACCTTCAATAAGCACAAAACCATCAGTTTTAATAACAGGAATTTGCAGTACGACTTTTTATTAACCTTGATTCAGGACGCATAATGAAATTAATAAAGTCTGTTGTATTAAAAATACAATCTCTTAGGATTTAGCGGTACAGTTCTTCCTATCTAATATCAGTTAAATTATACAACACTGAGATTATATGTTACATATTAATATACAGTTATCATCACATAAGATTACAGTTTATCCTTTGACTTTCACCAGTCGTTGATTGATTAATAAAAATATGTCAAATTAATTTGTATGATGCAGCGATGCATTTCTTATTTCTCTGTCTCGATGCTTATGTAGAACTTCATTAAGTTGATGAACAAAAGCAGAGGACTTGTTCGCAGATCTCTCAACCATATTCATTTCTGCAGAGATTTCTTCTATCTAAACGATTAAGAAATGTTTATTATTGATAGCATTTATTGTAGCATTGCATAAAGCAAGGTTTTTTTTGTTACGCACATATTGTTTATACCCTATATATCTGTTGTACTTTTGATTGTTGTCATACATCTGTTTGAGTTGAAGCATCAAAATTAGACACAGGATTATACCACCTAGTATCACAAGGGAATGTATGTTTTGAAAACTACGAAGAATGATCATTCTTGTTTGCTTGAAATTGAAATACACCTCAGGAAAGGTGCACCAGGTTCTGAAACACATAGAAATATCAAGAAGCAGTAAATAAGCTTCCTACAAAACTTTTATTTATTCTTTTAAGACAGTCAAGAGAATTACCACTGAATAATCCCGAAACTAATGCTACAGCAATCAATTCGTTGGTGTTGGATGATGTTGTTACTCAAAATGTTTGCATGTGAAACAATATAAATAATATTGGATTCTTATGTGCAGTTTCGAGTTCTTATAGATGGCGCACTATGCACAATGGTTTCTTTAATGATGAATAATATATCCAGTGCCATTTAAGAAGTCGCCGGCTTAACTGTTTGCAATAATATTTTTTCTTATAGTTTTTCTATGGTCATTGTTCTCGTTATCATTTTTTTACGTTAATAGAAAAGTAGGATGATATAGAAATGTGTATTGAAAAAGAAACTATATTTAGTAGTTGAGTGGGAAGTGAAATTGTAGCTAGTATCCTGCATGATTAAAAATTCGTGACATTTCAGGAAGTCGAGTTCCGATAAGCATGCCAAGGTTCATCAATGATAAAAATCGAATATAAGGGTATAAAGACATAACATAAGTTAGAGAATAAAATGGCCAAAGTTGTACAGTTTGTGTTAGCCAGTCTTTGTATGATTGGTGCTGTACTTGCTGGTTCGGAGGAAGATGAAGGTGTCAAGTATGCAAATCAATGTGAAGGTATTTTATCATACACTGATTAGATTTATGAATTTGAGTGCAGTTGCTCAAGGCTTCTGTATGTTTCAGTGTGCAAGGTTGTTGCTACGGAGTTAGAAGCAAGGTTGGATGAAACAGGAAAGACGCGTGATGTACTTGAAATTGGATACTCTATAGACGACATTGCTCCTAAAAAGAAAAAGGAATATAAGAAATCGTAGGACTCTCATTTATTGAATTTAATTTTAAATAAGTTTTGACAAACTAATATTTGTTTATTTATTTTTCAGAGAACTGAGGCTGGTAGAATCTTTAGAGAATATTTGTGATCGGATCCTTGAGTACAACATACATAAGGAACGCTCGGATAGTTCAAGATTTGCTAAAGGAATGAGCCAAACTTTTAAAACTCTTCATGGGCTAGTGTAAGTAACTGTTGTTTTCCTTATTTTTAACAATTCTAAAAAAATGTTTAAATCATTAATTCAACTGTTCAGTGATAAAGGAGTCAAAGTGGAGTTGGGTATTCCTGTAGAACTTTGGGATAAACCATCTGTCGAAATTACTACTTTGAAAACTCAATGTGAAAATTTGATAGAACAGTATGAATCCGATATTGAAGACTGGTACCATAAACTCCAGGGTGACGTACCTCTTAGCCAGTAAGTAATAGTTATCATAACGAAATATTGTTTAACCGAATTTCATAATGCCAATATACTACTTTCCTTTTAAGACACTTATGTTCAGAACGAGCATTAAAGGGTAAAGATGATACCTGTCTAAAAGAAAAAGGAGACACTGGACGCTCTGATAACTCAGATAAAGATAAAAAGAGCAAGAAGAAGTCATCAAAATCATCCGACGAAGAAGTAGCAGATGGTATTCCAAAGAACAATCCTAAAAATGCAAAGGAAGAACTTTAGAAACCAAGAAAATTGAAGACTGTAATTTAAACAATAGTTCAATCTTTAATTGACCTCATTTTAACTTACTATATAATTTTTCGTCAAACGATTGAATTCGATAGTCGTGTCAAATCTATGATTGGTTAGTAAAGGTGTATTCGTAACAAAAGAAGGTTTTATCTTTTTTTCTAAAGTCACGAAAAATAATGTCAAAATACATAGCCTGCCTTTTGGTACTATTAAGTGTCAGCAAATTATCTATGGCTACCATTTTACGTGGTACAAGAATGAAAGAAGGCCAATTTCCTTGGCTTGTTCAATTCCAAACAATAACACCCTGCGGTGGAGTGCTACTAGCTCCTGACTGGGTTCTTACCGCAGCTGAGTGTGTTCAGTACAAACGAAATGTAAGCGACAAAAACTTTCTGTCTGTTCAACAATAACAAAGACACAAGATCCTCTTGATAATTTTAGTCCATTACTCTGTATGCTGCTGGTTTGAATAGTACTGACTCTAGTCAGACTGTCAGTGTGAAGGCAACCTACATATTTCCAGAATATAAGGCATACGCCAACCATCCTGACTATGGTAATAATGTCGCCCTGATCAAGCTGGTACAAGCATTTGATATCTGCAATGAGAACGTACGCCTTCTTGACATTGCTCCATTGACATTAGATGATAATTACAAGTCTTGTATGATATTTGGATGGCAGAGTTACATTGCACTGAATGATAAGATCCTTGCCAAGCCAGTATATTATAGTCAGGTGTTTCTTAATTCCTGGAAACTCTGCGCATACATGCTCCGTGGCAATGCCAGCTATAACAATGTCTTTTGCTCAATGGTTGAAATAAAAGATGACATGAAAGCTTGTGCTGGCAATCCTGGTTCTCCGGTTGTATGTGAGAACCAATTTCAAAGAATGGTTCTCGTAGGCATAGCCACCTTTTCAAACTTTTCCTTGAGCTGTGATGATTTTCCTATTTATCTTGGTGTAAACGCGTTTAGGTGATTAACTTGGTTTTTTTAAACAATTTGGTATGTTTTCTAGCTGATTGATATGATTCTGTTGCAGGTCTTGGATGTACAATGTGATATTTAATGAGAGAAAGAGTGATGAAGGAGAAGCCGAGTTAAAACATAGTGTTTGTGATTATAGGAAATATATTGGTGGAATATTCATGGACCATAATTTACAAAATCATACTGATCTTGTGAATTTGGATGGACAGCCATTACTACTAAGGAATATTTCCGTTTCTAAAGTACCTGAAATTGAGTTGAAACTAGAACCACCTTTACCTGACAATTATCTGAATGATTATCCAAGAATTCCAGTAGAATATGGAGCACGCGAGACTATGTCTATGGGGAACATCGCCAAAGAACGAGATGACAGTCTCAGTCAATATCAAGAAATAGGAATCAAGAACGTATTTCAAAAAACGAATAATATAACAAGAATTGTAACTAAAAGTCTCTATGATATTTCGGAGCATGAATCAGCGACTTCCGAGTTGGAACTTGCATTCTTGATACCTTTTGAATATGAAGAATATGAGAAATCTTTAGGCTCACTAAACTTACCCTTTGTGGCACAAAATCCAATACTATATGTAATGTTTGTTTTAGAATTGACCCTTTACAATTCATAGCATGTTTTAATTTTACATATGCATCGTACATAATATACAACGTAATTTCTAATATTTATTAACAAAAATTACTATTTATTTGCTTTCAACCTGGCTCGCTTGCCTTCTCCTTTCTTGTACGGTACCTTGCCACGAAGTGCTCGTAGCCTCTTGTACTCATCTTTGAAGTCCTCATGCTCATCTCTAAAAAGTCCATAGTTACGTAGATTGCTCATAAGAATATGAGTCTCAACGTGTCGAGGATAATAATTAACGATTTCATCCCTGCGGTCATATGGCTTTTCACTGAACAACGTGACAACCTTCATTGATGTACTGGTCGTAGGTCTTGTAACTTCTCCAAAAATTTGATTACTCAACCGGTTCATCCTTTTAGCGTAATTAGTCGCCACATTGGCGAGATTTACGTATTTGCTCATATTTCACTGTCAAGTACTGAAAAAGGTTAACGTAGCTTTAAAATCAGTCCTATCCGTATTGCCAGAAAATAACTCTCTCCGCTGTATTAATGTTAATAAAATAATTACGCCTCGTAAGTAGAATAACCGATGAACCAATTGTAGAATCTTAATCAAGTGATGACAATTCCGTAATTACTCTTTAAATTTCGTCTCTCTTCTTCAGATCTACAAGTAGCGCCATGTTTGAGGAGCTTGCGCCGTTACAAACATGCGTATATCTTCAAAAAGATATCCAATACAAAAACGTAACATATTACCTCATACAACTTATTAAAAATCTATATGCAAACTATAAAAAATACCTGAGATCCATTATCTATATACAAAGCCATAAGGCAGTCTCTATCTGAAATTTTAATCTATTTAATTAATGCCGCTATACGATATAAACTAAATAAATTCGCTATTCGATAAATATCAATTAAAAATTCTCAGAATTAAATTTCTGATTTACATACAAAATAAAGTATACTGAAATAAAAAGACATTCTGTTATTTAGCAATCCGAAAAAACAGAAACTATTATCAAACAGCATAGTAAAATGATGATATCAGAGTCAATCTACCATAGTACAACAACAACTAAAGATAATCTATTAAAGCGGAATTAATGGCAGTAAAAAAAAAGGTAAAAATATCGCGATTATAAGTAACATAGGTAAGCATCTGAAAGAGCCGCCTATACGTACGAAGATGGATTACGCGTGTGATAAAATAGCGTGGGCCAAAAGTGGCCGGCGGGTCGCGTAATCTAGCGTTAGTCATTCCCCCCAGTCGTCGGATTTATTTATGGGTTGGGCTACTTATTTGACGTAATGAAATTCCCGGTAATATGACGCGTGATAAGAAACCTGTTTTCTCCTCTCGTATCCCAGGCGTCGATGACGACGTCCAGTTTCGACCGATTACGAATCTTCGACTTGTCTGCATTAGAAGAATACACAAGTGAAAATGAAATTGCCATTTCTTAGCTATTATAGCATAAAGCACTGTAGTACATTTTGATTAAAGTACACTGTCCAAAGGACATACATTCTCTAGACGCTGATACCGTTCAATGATACGTGGAGTATCGCCCAAAACGGAAGTGACATCCATAAATTTAGTCCAGAGTCGTAAAAGGATCAGATACAAAGTTCTAATCGTACAATGTCGCAATAGAATCAAGCGACGAGTGATCCTTTAATTGAGATTCAAAAGTTCCCGCCGTTCCCGTTACCAGCAATCCACAGCCTCCTTGTATACGATCCAGGTTACGTTTCGAATGTCATTGACAATGAAACTACTTTGATAGGATGATTTAATTACGTATGATAATTACGAGCAGATATTTTAATAACATTTCACTATGGAATCATTGCTCAATATGAATTTTAATGCCCCTATAGTATTCACAACCGAATCCAAACAGTTTGTATAATCCTAGGTACGTATTATTAAAAAATCATCGAGTATAAAGTAAGTCCAACGTAGCTTTGATATCATATTAAAAGATCTTACATATCACATTTCAGACAAGGTCTGCACGAGCGGTTAGGCGTTTACTATATCGACTAGTCCTTTGTAAGTCGCTGCTCACGGATAAGATCATTGATAAGACTGGTCGTAGGGAAAAGAAGAGTTGGGTCCAGTGGAATAAAAGTGTAGTAACGAATGAGACTTCGAGACCAAGAGTATCATAGTAATGGCGTCGTAGGATAACGAGTGAAAAAGAGAGTCTATGTATAATTAAAGGTATAGTGTGAGAGAGAGAATAAGGAGAAGTTGGCAAGTTGATGAAGAGTAACAAGAGCGAGATGCGAAGAAAAGTCTATGAGAGATAAAGAGGAAAAGAGAGAGAGAGAGAGAGAGAGAGAGAGAGAGAGAGAGAGAGAGGACAGATGAAAGCGAAGCAAAGGTAGTAAGAAGTGACGGTATCCAAAGTAAGAGGGAGCTTCTAACAGGTCTATTTGAAGGATCTAAAAGGCAGTGGCTACGGAGGTGCCCGCAACGCCGCACGTACCGTCGACGGACACTGTGGAGATACTCGTGCTCCTACCTAAGGACTCCGATTGGTGCGGATAGTGCATGCCGCGTGATAGTGTGTTAGAGAGTAGTGCTTCTGACAATGAGCCGCGGCGGCGAGTGTGATAAGTAATCGCCGTAGAGCCCATTCCTGGTTGTGAACGCGTAGTGGCAGTGGAGAAAGATAGAAGCGCGGAGCAGCGCGGGCGAGCCTCGACTTAATGACTCGCGTTTTACGTGGGGCGCCCGGAGCCGGAGATCATAATTATGTTCAATGTACCGCCCAAGTTCTACGAGCTGTGTCGCCTTTGTTTATCGTCGGATGGTGTCAAGTTGTCCATTTTCGAGGAGGAAGGCGCCCAGCGGAACTTTGCCGACAAGATACTTACGTGCCTCGCGATTACGGTAAGGCCCTGAGTTATTCCAAGGGACCCCTTCGAAGAAGGCCCAGGCCCCGAAATAGACGCAACATCTGGGCCCCGAGAGTTCCTCTCTTGTGAGCGAGGAGCGCGCGGCGCCCTGTCTCGTTCTGTCTTTCCTTCTTACGCTATTTCCTTCCTCTACTGTTCTTTATGTTACTCTCTCACTCGATCTCTTTTTCTTGCTTAGCTCTCGGTCTCGTTCTAACTTAACTCCTTTTCTATTCTGCTTCTCTCTCTTCCTCTCTTTTTCTCTCTCTCCCCCTCTCTTCTCTCTATCTCTCTCTGTATGTGTGTATATGCGTGCCACGGGAGAAAGTTTGGCAAGAGATGTGTCCGCGAGATAAGCCGCCTCTCGGGGTTTTAAAATGGCAGTGATAAGCTGCTGAGGTTCCGTTGTCTTGGCTTTGGCCGCGGGAGCTCGACGGCAAGCCAGATTGGTGATACTGGGGCCTGGCTCCTTATTTGGACGGCCCTGTTATCAGGTTTCACACGCGGGCTACTGGCTACTCTTGTCAGACTTTCTTCCAGGATCGTCTTCTTTTGAAGATTACATCTTTCTGGCAACCATTGCTCTTTAAATCAAGATTTCCTACAATTCCTGGATAGCCAGATTATATAGCTAGATTATAAGCTACATTTATCACCCTTTTCTTATCTTATTGTCAATATTATGAAGCGTCATTGTGTACTCTTAAATTTGCATGCTTTTGTCAATACTTTACATCCCTGTAATACTAAAATACCAATTTTTCCTTTGTTCTTAGGATCTCATCGTATGTACTTAGGGCTTTGGAAAAGATTCAGGGAAAAGCTGCTTTCTGTTTATCCTTTTAAAATTAGAGAGTTACCTAAATACCTGGGATGATAATAAGATTGTGGATTTGCTTCTGCAGTGTTCTTACTGAAGTTGTGTGATTAGAGTAGGATGCATGCATTGAAGCTATAAATAGGATTACACCATGTGTTTCAAAGATAAGCTAAAGTTAAACTCAGTTCCTTGGCATTATCTGTGATTCTTTTGTCATGTGGAGAAGCACACTGTGATTTCAAGAATTTTACCAAAATGTATATAATATTATGTTGTACATCTTTCTTGTTTATCAACACGATACATGATTTAACTTTATGGTAGGCATTCGTAGTAAAAATAACTTATGCTATAGAGATTGTAATGATTATCTACATCTGTGCTCATAAAATTCATTATTAAATCCTATAGTTTTGAATGCCAACTCCAGAAGGATTACAAATCAGTTAAATTTAACTATTTGTAGTGTTGGGTCACTCCGACTAACCATAAATTTTATTGAGACAAAGACAAGGTCTACTGACACATTGTCAATCTTTAATTTGTATATACTTTCTCTTAATTCAACTATTTCCTTTTTCATTACAGGTAAAGGATGGAGACTCTTTGCCACCAATCATCTGCCACAGATGCGTGTACAAATTGGATATACTACACAATTTCCGTGAAGTCTCACGCAAATCCGATGTCATACTCAAACAGTACCTGGACTATGCTAAGCAGTTGTCGTCCCAAGACGATCAGGTAATGATAACCTTAGATTTACAAATCATTTTATTATCAAATTCACACCTCGTACCATTTCCAATAATTTGGTACCTACCACCAGAGTGTGAAAAGTATTATTCACTGACAATTGAATGGAAATTGGCCCAACATCATGCTGACGATAGTGGGCAGTCATACTGTTCCAAGTAATGATGCAACTAGGAATGTGCAATGTGTGCAATCTGATTGTAGATAAGATTGCACGGACATGTGGTACGCCCTATGATTCGTACATGCATTTACATTTACAGGATACTCTTATTTACCTCTTGTATACCGATATATCAATAATTATGTAAGCTATCTCAAGGTTCTCTTTAACTCACTCAGGCTTATCAGTGCGATTCTGTGTATCTTGAGAAAAGGTTAAAAAGAATCAAGGAATAACGAAAAAAAAAGTTATTACAACCAGGCAAAAAAGCAAACCACCTCATAAAATCGATATTCAAATGAATGTCACTCTAGAATCCTGGAATTTCTCTTTGTTACAGGAAAAGTCTTTCTCCACTGCCAAAGTAGCAGATTTAAGCCCACTTCAGTCGTTTCTCCAATTGAACAAAACTCTGTTCAACGAGGAGCCCAATTCTCCGGCCAGCATTAATCAAAACGTAATACCTCAAACTCAGACTCATCATCTGGAACTACGAGCTAATGAGATGCCCGAGCAGGAGAACATAAAGTGTGAACCAGAGGACGATACGTGCTCGAACAGCTCGGATCCCGACAGATTGGAGATTGAGGATCGCGACGATCAGGAGAGCGATGGCGAGGAGAATGGCTACGATATGACTGTTAACAAAAGGATCAAGATGGAGGCCGGTTACGAAAGCTCAAAACAGAGCACACCAAATCGCAGTCCGGTTAATAGAATGGACACCCCCGAGAGCAATTGCTCGGATACTCACATCGACCAGGAGACCACAAAGCTCTGGCAAGCGCTGGCAAAGTAAGAAACTCATTATTTAAACATAGAAAAAAGTAAACCAATAGAAAATACTGTACGCGTGACTCTGCAGTGCATTGAGAGCGTATTTCGACAAGAACGTGTCTAGTACGATATTAATAGTTATGATCATTATTCAAGATTGAATAGTAATGAGTTCGCGTAATGATATCATTGCCTCTACCACCAACAATGATTATTCAGGTGCGTACTAATCAGCATTCATACTAGATGATATAACTGTACTTAATCCACCAATGTGGTAGAGTAATCATTGCTGGTGTCTACATATATTTATCACGTATGATAACGATTTTGGTACGTCTGTCATTCTGTTATCAATAACTAATATAGAAACTGCTAGGGGAGCTTCCAAGAAATTTGTAGCTTCTTATATCCTCAGATAAGAGCACAGAGTAGTGAACAGATAATGTGAGTAAAAATAACGCAATGGTGAAGTTTATCGGACCACGGAGCTATCGAGAAGTTGTACTACGCGATTGCATATGAAAACAAATGTATTATCGGAAAACGGGGGCACGATTTCTGAACTTCTTATTAGCAGCTCTTATCAGTGACAGTAGCAGCGTTCATTCTTAGAATTTCTTCTTGTATTAATACTTATGTAGATAAGATAATATAACTTTGCCACCTGCTACGCGAAACCCGTGCACCATTCACTGGGTAAACAGTGCTCTTATCAGTAAAGTGTTATGTATACGCTACTGGGAGTTTCCTTATCCTTTGTAAATATAGAGGGAAAAAGGAGAGAAAGAGATAGAAAGAAAAGGACGAAGAATTAATGACCGTTTTCGAACGTACCGTTATTTTTTATTGTCCTCGTTAAATCTCTTTAGTCTTTTCATACACGTTTCCTAACACTCTCGTGACCTTGTTTAATTTTATCAGTAACAGGAGTCTCGAAATAACAAGGACAAATGGCGACAAGTTGAACAACGGTTTTACTGGCGAGGCAACCAATCTACTGCGCTCTCTAATTAACAACAGGCACATTGGTATTACTCCAGTGGACGCCGACAGGATTTCACCTCAAATAAGATTCTACAGGGACACCCAAGGAACGACGATCGAACGGACGGTTCCCGATTGTTCTGTCCTGGGTAATCGTACGAATATGCCCTGCGTTGAGAATAAGGTAAGCGGTTTTGCTTTAGATTGTAGATAGTCGTTTGTGGGTCTGCGACAAGCTGGAAAACGTTGAGGTAACACAGCAAAAAAGGACTTGGATATTCGAGAAATATAACAGTGGAAGAGTCTCCTTGGATCTGCGTGAAAAATATTAGTCCTGGTCTATGCCAAAAAAAAAGAGTCCTCCCGGCCGTTTGAATTGGGCCCAAAGCGCTGCTTGACTGCAGCTATGTGCAAATAAATTTCCTGCCGTGGGAAGAGGAGAGAGAATGCTTCCTACTAAGTTTGAGAGGGAGAAGGTGCAGTTGTGTCTAATGCAAATACCAGTGCGAGAGAACGGGAGTAATAGAGTAGACATAGGGGAATGGTGGAAAAGGTAGAGAAAGAAGGAGGGGGGGGGAGAGAAAAAAGGGCCAGGTATAGAATAGGAGAGGCAGGTCAGGTGACCCTTGGGTGTCAAGGGATCTTTTCGGGGCGCTATTCAGGGCCCACCTGCCCGCAGGTAAGGAGCCTTGAAGGTCCCGCAGATAATAGATAACTGGAAAGTGCTTTGTGATAGGCCATAAGCGTTAGAGACCCGGCAAACCTACTATGTCAACCCGCTGTTAACAGATGTTCAGATAAGCCCAGGCCTTCAATGGATTTTAGTTTGGAACATCTTTTGTCCACGACGAACGAGCTTCAATTCCATCCTATAATAAGGAGGTCGATTGTGGACGGCTTTGTGCCATTTCCCATTGCCTTTGCCAGGGATGCCTGGCTGGTATATAGGCTTTTGCTTCCTTTGTACCTGATAACAGGTAGAACAGGGTTCTTGGCTCTTCTTGCTGCAATAACAAAATTCCTATTTCTAGTCCGGCACGGTAAAGCTCCCAAGGTACCTGTGACTCTCGTATCCCTTTTATACCTTTACCGTCCAATACCGTGAAGAACATAATCAGGGTTTACAAAAAAAAAAGCAAAAAGAAAAAAAAGAGCGGTTCCGTAGGCTAGGGTTTCAATGTTATTGGTACCAATCGAGTAATATTTAATTTGCTATATCACAGAGTGCCTCCATGGATAGCAATCCATCCAGTCCTGCCAGTGTTGGCCGGAAGGAAACAAAGGGTCGACGGAAACAGAGTTATCCCAGCAAAGCTCCTACCAGTCCTGATGTCATTCACTATCAGCAGGAATCTAACGAGGAACAGGCGCAGGATTTCACAGCGTGGTCGAATAAGATGAAGGGAAAGGTAAGGAGAATAAAAGAAAGAAAAAGGAATGCCTTCGTATAGGATATCGTATTTCATTAGACTGATACATTATACCCATAGCCGATTGGACATTCCTTAAATAGAGACTTTTGTGTCCAGCAGGTCGAGGATCAGAAGCAGCAATTCGATCAGCAGGGTGGCAACGCTACGAAGAAGATGGACATGTCCTGCACGAACTGCGGGACCATGACCACTACGATTTGGCGACGAAATATGAAGGGTGAGATGGTTTGCAACGCGTGCGGTCTTTACTACAAGCTACACGGGGTAAATCGTCCTGTAACGATGAGAAGGGACACTATTCATACGCGTAGACGTCGACCCAAGGGCGAGAAACCTACCAGGCACAGAAGTAAGATCATCAGCGTCGATGCTGATCGAGTAACGGAAATCCTAGGTACCGAGGGTTCAGGTAGGGAGGCTGCTACAGGGTTGCTATTAAATTTTACAGAAAAAGGCGAGACGATATTGCCTACTCAGTCCGAGCAGATGGACGCTGAGAGTGCTGACATGTTGGCAGCTCTACGTAGACAAATACAACCTCATCTCATGATGGCGGCACTTACTCCTCAGCGTATACCTGGTGCGCACGCGCATCCACCGCCACCTACTGCACAGCTCAATTATTCGCTTCCCATACCCAGTTACATGATGCACGTGAGTATTTATTAATTAATTAGATTTTTCTTTATACGTTATGTATTATTAATTTATACCCCCTGGGACATGCTCTATCATATCTTCTACCGCAGCACGTCAAAACTGAGGGAAGAGAGCAGCAACGTCACTCGCCCGACGACGTAGAGGAACCCGACGACGGGGACGAAGAAAACGTTTCCGACGTCCCGTTGAACCTGGTCGCCACCACCCTATCCGAGGAGGCACACTGATTCGCAACACGAGGCTTCCTTCTATGCTATGATCATCATTCACTAGGTGATGGTACCACACACTTCTTCAACGAAGTTTCAGCACAGAGATCTGACTGTCCTGTACAAGATCGTCGCTAGGTACTCTTTTTACGAATAATCTCTAGACAGATCTGACTGTCCGGTGATACACAGGGTGTAGATGACGAGCTCCTTCTTTCTCTTTAGTACTTCTTTTTGTATGTGGTCTATCTTTATCCAACCTTATCTCGCGACTGTTTCTGTGATCGCGATACAACAATGGCCGCGGCTATTACTTCTCTTTGGTTTCTTGTTCTGTGTCAGGCTGTCTTATTCGATATCTGTCGGGTATCCTTGCGAGATTTATACAAATGAAATGATGAAGAAAAAAAAAAAGAAGAAAGGAAAGTCGAAAGCGCCAGTAGGAATATTTGAACGAAAATATAATAAAATCGGATAACACTATTGGAGATCCAATCGCGGGACTGTTGCTCGTTATTCCCATGGCTATCTGGCCCGTGGTGCAGATATGTAATAAGGATTGATATTAATTCGCAGTATTAATTACGAGGTTAATCGAATTATGTGTGTGTATTTATGTGCACACATATATATATATATATATATATATACGTATACGAAGAATATTTTTATACAAAATTTTCTATGCTTACAGTTTGGAAGCGACGGGCAATTGTACATACGCAATTACTTTGTTCTTTTAATTACTTTTTTTTCTTTCATCTCTTTCTCTTTCTCGGCATCTACGTATCTTCAATTATCTCTTCCAACTTCTTTTAACCTCAAGAGATTCTGTGGAAGTCGCGATTTTAATGTGTCTGCAGGTCATTTGAACTTTGCGTGATTTAGTTGCGATAAGCAGGAGACTTTCTCATTATTTTTATTGATAGAAAAATGGTTCAACGAGTTCTCATAGAAAATCGGCCATACTTGCGTCATATCTTTGATACGTTATACGATGGGAACATTTTCTCAGTGATCTGATTTTTTTTCACATCGATAATAAAGTCATCATCATGCTCTTGATGATTCAATGATTTTGTCATCGACTATTGTCGTACAGTGAAATGGCCGAAATTCTAGCTTTTAGCGTTATTTAAAAACATTTTTGTTTGTTTCACGGGTTATTGGCTCTTTTTATTTTTTTTTCTCTTTAGATTTTCGATTTTCCGTACTTAGACTTTCTGTTCGTGCCTTAAATTTTTTTTTGTTTCATTATCAAAACCCTCTGTCATTGTTAATAACTACGTAAGCAATCATAATATTCTCCGCTATCTCGTGTAATCTTAAGCTTCCCTACGAACGACCCAGTTGAGCATTACTAGTGAACGAAATTTTATTTTTTAATTGGCTTTAATGATATACGAAAGTGTACTTCAGGTTTGGGGCGGGTTTCGACGAACGATAATAATATTCGTAATAGGGGGTGGGGTTTCTTTAGAAACGAGGGGTTGGAAAAATTACGGGAGGGGGATATTAAAAACAAAAAGTTGAAGATATTTAAAGCGAAAAAAGAAAAGGACGAAAAGAAAAAAAAGAAACAGATACCTAACTGGACGAAAAAAAAAACATGGCCACATTCGATCATTGCTATAGGATTACAGTGAACGGCCAGATTAAGTAGCAATGGAAAAATTGCCGAGAAACCCTTAGCATACTCACTAACTTAAAGGATTAACATTTTTATACGAAAAAAAAGCAAAAAAACGTTGAAAAGTGAAAAACACAAGAATGAAGCGTAGGGTGGAAGTGTTTTTAATTAGGAATGTGATGCCAGTATCGTTTCTTACTTTGTATATTATTTATATATATATATATATATATATATATATATATATGTATGTATATATATATAATTATTGTACTTTAAAGTCTCTCTAAAGGAATCTCGAATTTTTGGGTTATCACCCACGCCCTTGAAATTTAAAAGAACAGTCACAAATATTCATGATTCGTAACCGGGCGTCTATCGCCAAGAATTTAAACGGAGAATTTACTTACACCTGCTAGACTCATAATTTAGGCTAGTTGTAGATATTCCTTTTGATACATTTAAACCTTAGGTATTTAAGTGTGATGACGACAGCGATCGTTTACCCTTTTTATTTTGCCGCCCTTAGCATTAATTATTTATAATAAGAAAGCCCCATGACGCGCAGATCATCCCTCTGTCTTTGTATATTTTCGATTTACGTCTTTTAATGGACACTGCAACATCTTTTGTCACTGTTGACATACCCGGCATAACGATACACCCCGAACTCAAAACGATTGTACTTAACGAAAACGCGAATTTCTGAAAATGCGCCTTAACCCGTATTAATACGGTATTTATACAATAGCAATAAGAACAGCGGCGTTTATTATTATTAATATATTGCCGTGGGCGCGCGAGTAGCTCTCGCTTCACAATTAATACTCCATCGACTTGAATCTGAATAGGGATTGGTCGAATTTAATATTATGACTTGTAATTACTCACTGATAATACTGATTTATTCTCTTATCGTGCCCGTAAGCGACGTCGAGCGTTGCGATACAAAACGAAAAAAAAAAAAAAAGAAGGAAATGAAATGCAGGAATTTCAGGTAATACAAATCTTAGGTTAAACGTTCGAGTTAAAATCGCGTCCGACCTTTTATGAGTAGAGAAGTAAAGAAAAAGATTTATTGCTCCACGTGAAGACGCTGTCGTACGGTCTTGCTGTTGCTTTATAACCAGTATCGAAGGACGAAAAAGGAAAAGCTCGAAGCGACAATTTTCTCGGGTTTTTCTATGGAAGACTAACAAAAAATCCCATTTTGCATTTCATGCGTCGACGCTAATTAGTATGGTCTTATCTGCCTCTGGGATACAGGGTCGTATTACCGATAGTGGATCGTACCCCGTTTTCTTTTTTCTTTTTCTTTTTCTTTTTTTTAAAGAATTTGTACAGCTATAACAGATATTAGTGACAGGTATTAAGCAGCCTTAAAAATAGTGCATAATACTATGGCCAGTGCATCTACTCATGTATCGTTAATGTCGTATACCTAAACAACTTTGCCAAAAATAGATTTAGTCTTTGTAACATAGAGTATAGTTAAGGGCATACAAACAAACAACAAAAATTAACGTTATCTCTTATTATCTAAACAAGTACGTACGTAACAGCAACAACCACTTTCATTTTGCTGCAAACTTTAATTTTATTATTATTATATCGCCCCCACCCCCCACCCCCCCACCCACTCTACGTC